GGGCTGGTACAGTACGGTTTTTCGAGGGGCGGAAACGATGTACAAACAGTATATCATGGTGCCAAATCGGCCACGGTCCATTCAAAACCGTGTATCTCGTCGGCCGGTGGAGATATCAAAAAGTTGTCAACTAGTAAAATGTGTATTGGAAAATGTTGTACATTTTATTAGTTGGCCACTTTTTGACATCTCCATCCGCCGCTGAGATACACGGTTTTGAAGTTGGGTGCTATCTATTCACACGGCACACAAAGAAAACGCAAATATTTTTTCAGTCTAGGGTTCAAAAATTTCGCCTCTCACAAAAGTTAATCCACTAATCGCCTAGATAATCAGCAATTACGAGCAAATCCTTCTCGAATGGCTCCAACTCTTATCTGTTTATCACACACTAGCTCACTTATTTCGCAATCGTCTGAATACGTGGCGGGGTAGAAAAATGAAGTGAAAACGAGCGGGATTTGTTTGACATACACATAAAAGTGTAAAGATTTCCGAGAATCGAGGCGATGGAGCAGCCAGCGACAGTTGTTGTGTGGCGAAGAAGAACTTTGGATGAATAGGAAGAAACAAAAGAAGAAATACGCAAAGAAGGGAGAAAAAAGCGGATCGTTCTGGCCAAGATGGTCGTCTGAATCAGAGATGTTGGGAATAAAAATTTTACTCTACGGAACACGGAACACGGAAATTTTTTTTTTACGGAACACGGAACACGGAAAAAATATTGAAAAAAACGCGGAACACGGAACACGGAAAACGGAAATTTTTTTTTTTACGGAACACGGAACACGGAAAAAATATTGAAAAACACGCGGAACACGGAACACGGAAAACGGAAATTTTTACGGAACACGGAACACGGAAAAAAATATTGAAAAAAACGCGGAACACGGAACACGGAAAACGGAATTTTTTTACGGAACACGGAACACGGAAAACGGAAAAAACTTACTCCTACGGAACACACGGAAAAAATATTGAAAAAAACGCGGAACACGGAACACGGAACACGGAAATTTTTAACGGAACACGGAACACGGAAAAAAAATATTGAAAAAAACGCGGAACACGGAACACGGAAAACGGAAATTTTTACGGAACACGGAACACGGAAAACGGAAAAAAACTTACTCCTACGGAACACGGAACACGGAAAACGGAAATTTTTTTACGGAACACGGAACACGGAAAACGGAAAAAAACTTATTCTTACGGAACACGGAACACGGAACACGGAAGTTTTTTTACGGAACACGGAACACGGAAAAAATATTGAAAAAAACGCGGAACACGGAACACGGAAAACGGAAATTTTTTTTTTACGGAACACGGAACACGGAAAACGGAAAAAACTTACTCCTACGGAACACGGAACACGGAAAACGGAAATTTTTTTTTACGGAACACGGAACACGGAAAACGGAAAAAACTTATTCTTACGGAACACGGAACACGGAACACGGAAGTTTTTTTTTACGGAACACGGAACACGGAAAAAATATTGAAAAAAACGCGGAACACGGAATTCCCAACATCTCTGGTCTGAATGACGGCACCAACCGAGACAGACATCGTTTCGCGGGTAGTGTAGAGCAAAACTAGGCGCGGTAGAAGTGTTGACCAGTTGGGCAGAAGAACACGGAAGAATTTTTATCTTTTTTAGAAAATTTTTTCATGAAATGTGATCAACTGACAAAATGTATAGCAAAGTGAACTGTGCTCATAGAAAAATAATTGTGAATTTAGCGATTCATACAAAAAAGTTAAGGGCTAACCAAAGACGAAAGGACATTTTCACGCAACAACTCGAATATAACTTTTTTGTATGAATCGCTAAATTTACAATTATTTTTCTATGAGCAGAGTTCACTTTGCTATACATTTCGTCAGTTGATCACATTTCATGAAAAAATTTTCTAAAAAAGATAAAAATTCTTCCGTGTTCTTCCGTTGAGTTCTTCCGCTCAACTCTATTAGATACGAATGGAATCGATATTCATGCACACCTCTTCAGCTTTTGTTGGAGAGAATAGAGAAAATAATTAACAATCAATTTTATTTCCGTAATTATTCATGTCATTCAATTAATTTATTGCTTGTTTATGTTTTACACATATAAAAATGTTTTTCAATCTGTATAAATGTCAGTCTTGACTTAATATTCAATTTTTTTTTCATCAATTATCCGTTTTGGTTGACTAAATTCTTGGCAATTGTGATAGTTCTTGTTTTATTGTTTACTTGTTTTCGTAATTTAAAATCTAATATTTCATTACACATTTCTAGTGATGAAGAGACTAATAGTTGTCATTTATAACATGAAAAATATTCGAAAAATGTTGAAAAATGAAAAATGGGCAAAATGAAAAATGGTCTGAAGGCTTTTCGACGTGAAAATGACATTTTTCGAAAGTGATGCATTTTCTGGTAGTTAAGACACAAAATGGAGTTGTAAATGTCCAAAATTGATTAAAAACTGCAGAAAATCAAGGTTGGGCAAAAAGTTGCCTTCCCAAAGGCCAATCTCTCATAAACAGCGCAACGCAACGAACGAAGTGTCGTTGGATACACGTCAAAACACGGCGGTTCTTCGCTGTATGTTCTAAAACTCTAAAAATCGTTGTTTTTACCAATTTTCCTTTAAAAAATCGTAAAAATGAGATGCGTTTTGAAAAAACACTATTTTGAGAATAGTTACTGTGGTTTCTGTTTTCTGCAAACACTTTGCGAGCACGTATTACTCAATTTTGAAGTGTTTAAGCTGATTCTTTCCGATTTTAGAGCAGAAAATGTTGAAATTAAGCGTAAAATAGTGAAATTGCAAGAGAATTGTGTAAAGTCGCACACTACGACACATGCATAATACAACAAAATTGATTTCTGTAAAAGCGCGACCTAATTCTCGTGTGTTCTTTGCAATTAGATCCGGCGGTCCAAGCCATTCAGTCCGTGTCGAAGCGGTTCTTCAGCCGTGGGTCTCCAAGAGAGCGCGACGAGAGAGTGTGGCGAAACGAGAGGGCGCAGAAGCGCAGACGGCAGATATCCATCGCTCTTTCCGCGCGCTCTTTCCCTCCCCGTTTCTCACTCATTTTCTCACAATCCCCAGCTTTTTTGTCTGCAAATATGAACATTATTTGGAATATCTGAAAAATTTCAGATTTATTCCACTTTTCCCGATCGGAATCCGACGACGAAGAGCGAAAAAACGGCGGGCGCAAACATGGCGACCTCCGCGATTTTTATACTCGATTTGAAGGGAAAAGTGAGCAAATCGGAGTGGAATTCGACAGAAAATGCACATTTTCAGACGATAATCTCGCGAAACTATCGAGGAGACGTCGACATGACCGCCATCGACAAGTTCATCACTTTGCTAATGGAGAAAGAGGAGGAGGGCTCCGCGTGCCCGGTGCTCACACATCAAGACACCAATTTTGTGTTCATCAAGCACACGAACATCTATTGTCAGTCTGAAATTGTTGAAAATGACAAAATTTGCGCGAAAAATGTGAACTTTCAAAAAAAAAATGGAGGAGATGATCCATTTCGGGCCAAAAGGTCCAAAAAATGTTTGGGTCCGAGCGGTCAAAGGCTAAAACACACACCACAAAAAAAGTCGCGACCGGCAAATGTCGAGCCCTGAGAAAAATACAAAAAAACGTCTAGTTTTTCCAATTTTCCCATGTTTTCAGTGGTGTCGGCATGCCGCTCGAACGTGAACGTGACAATGATATTGTCGTTTCTGTACAAGTGCGTCGAAGTGTTTTCCGAATATTTCAAAGACGTCGAAGAGGAGTCCGTGCGCGACAATTTCGTCGTCATTTACGAGTTGCTCGACGAAATGATGGACTTTGGATTTCCGCAAACCACCGAGAGCCGCATTCTTCAGGAGTTCGTTTGCAAACTTAGAAAAAAACGTGACAATTTTAGTCCGTCCATTTTCTACTGATTTTTCCTCAATTTTGCCCGCTTTTATGCAAAAATCGATATGTTTGTTCAGGTACATCACTCAAGAAGGCCAGAAACTGGTGTCGGCTCCTCGGCCGCCGATGGCCGTCACAAATGCCGTCTCGTGGCGCTCCGAGGGCATCAAATATCGCAAAAATGAGGTTTTTCTGGACGTCATCGAAAGTGTCAACATGCTTGTGAGTTTTTCGGATTTTTTGCGCAATCTTAGGTGTAAAATGAGCAAAAATCGATACTTGGGCACTTTTTTCAGCTTTTCACCTCAAAACCTTTTGAAAATCGAAAATGAATTCAGGCGAGCGGCAACGGGACGGTTCTCCAATCGGAAATTGTGGGCAGCGTCAAAATGCGCGTTTATCTGACCGGAATGCCCGAATTACGGCTGGGACTCAACGATAAAGTGCTGTTCGAGGGCAGTGGACGTGAGCTTTTCAAATGTTTTAATTCCCAAACAATTTCCACATTCTTACAGGCGGAAAAAGTAAATCGGTAGAGTTGGAAGACGTCAAATTCCACCAATGTGTCCGTCTGTCCCGATTCGACACCGATCGCACGATCTCGTTTATTCCGCCCGACGGAGCATTCGAACTCATGAGCTACAGGTATCCAGAGCTTGTTTTTTCTGCTTTTTCACATCGGAAAACCCGAAAAAACGTCGAGTTTCTACACTTGGCCAGGAAAATTGATATTGTTTCGGGTTCAGGCTGACGACAGTGGTAAAACCGTTAATTTGGATCGAGACGAGCATCGAACGACACAGCCATTCGAGAGTTTCGTTCATAATCAAGGTTTGTTCAAAATGTTTGAATTTTCTGCAATTTTCCTTCACAGTGTTGGCGCACAAGTCGTATTTGAGTTCACCGTACCGTATATTGAATTTTTGCAGGCAAAATCGCAATTTAAGCGTCGCTCGACGGCGAACAACGTCGAGATCATCATTCCGGTGCCGTCGGACGCCGATTCGCCGAAATTCAAAACGAGCATCGGATCGGTGAAGTACACGCCCGAGCAAAGCGCATTCGTGTGGCACGTCAAGAGCTTCCCAGGTTGGATCTTCCGAATATTTAAAGTTTTTTGATTTTGCCCCCGCCTTGTCATTTTGGCGCGCAATTCTGACATTGTGTTTTTCAATGTTGTCACAGGCCGGCCCTTTAGAATCATTTTTGTTTGCAGGCGGCAAAGAATACCTACTCACGGCGCATTTCTCGCTGCCGTCGGTGATGAGCGAAGAATCGGAAGGACGTCCGCCGATCAAAGTGAAATTCGAAATTCCGTACTTTACCACGTCTGGAATTCAGGTTTGCGCCTGCAAAAGTGTTCTCTCTGGAATGTGTGAAATTTTACAGGTTCGCTATCTGAAAATCATCGAGAAAAGCGGCTACCAGGCACTTCCGTGGGTACGCTACATCACGCAGAACGGCGAGTACGAAATGAGGATGAAATGATGCGGAAATTATCGATTTTTCATGTCAAATTGCCCGATTCTGTTCAATTTTCTCCCCTTTCCCCGTAATTTGTGGCGAGGAAATCAAGCGAAATCCTTCCGCTCGCCGCCGCTTTTTTCTATTTTAAATCGTCGTCCTCAACTCGGCACAACACATGCTCTTTTCCCTCTTTTCCAGCTGTGTGCTCGGCCGGAGCAGCGAGACGGAGCATTCCTTTTTTTTCGGATGACCTGACGAGCCCGAAATCCACACTTTTCGCTAAATTACCCACAATTTTTTGGATTTTTTTCTGAATTGAAAAAAGTTTTTAGCATTTTCCAATTTCCAGAGTTGTGCCCCTATTTTCCTTCCCTATTTTCGCTTTTTTTCAGCATAATTCAAATTAATTCCGTCTCAATCTCATGTGTTGTTTGGATATACTATTTTAACGTGTCCGGCGCTTTTAAGAAGATCCTCAAAATGAACATTTTATTTTTACACTGTTTTACCATTTTGCAGGTCCCGGATTACCCTGAAAATTATTTGTGCGACTTAAAAAATGCGTTCAAAATCGGTTTTAGAGCGGAAATGCTGCGAGCGACGGTGATTTTTCGACGTTGTTTCGCAAATTCTGCATTTTTGCGTCAAATCGCGTACACTGACGACGAATTGCGTCCCGACGGACGGCTCCTCGACAGAATCGTCGACGATCTAAAGGTTTGCACTACTAAACACCGGCGGAAAAGTCGAAAAACGCGAAATTTTGCAGAAGAACGGAACGACTTTTGTAATTCCGGGACGCGATTCGTTCGCCCGACACGAATCTGTGCAGGTTTTCGAGAAATTGGTCAAAAATGGTACGGTAGACACAAATACATCGGCGGCGTCAAAACCGTGGCGAAAACTGCGCGGAATATGAGCAGAATAATCGACTTTCTCCCAAATTTTTCATTATTAACGGTTACGGCAGGCAAACGTGTCCGTCTGTGTAGACACCATGGCAAAAAGAAAATGTCTTCACAAAAATTGCGTTTCTGTGCGTTTTTCGCGTGACGGTGTTCACGTACCTCCTCAAAACGAGTGAATTGTAGGTGTTCGTCCCGAATTTCTGATCGACGCGAACGTCAAAAACGCGTCGCTTTTCCGATCGGTCGTCTCGCAGCCTGCGCCCTCTTTCCAGGTATCCTCCTTGTTCCGAACACTTTTTTTTTTAGAAGGATTACTGTAATAAAGATAGAAAATGCGATTTTGCAGGTGATTGAGACACTCGTCAACGTCGGATATCTCACTTTCGAAGATGCGATTCGTCTTTTGGCACTGTAAGTCGATGCGTCACATCGTACGCGCGCGCAAACCTGGTGATTTCTGAACCATTCGGCTTGCGAACAGCAATTTGTCAAAAATTGCGCAAAAAGTTTACCGTTATCAGAGCGTGTCATCCATCCGCCCCCGATTTCACACCTCTTCAATCACTTTCACTTTTTCGCGCCCGCGCAAAATTGACACTTTAAAGACGTTTCTTGTACAGTTCTTGAAAATTTTTGTCCGATCATATCCAAATTTTGCCATATCATCGGTCTTGGTTTTTTGAGTTTCTATCTAGCCACGGTCTCCCAGGGCGATAATGCTAAACACAGTGCGCTCGTAAATTGCGGAGTGTCGTTGTAACTTTTGAAAATTTGCAGGTCTAAAAATAGAGTTCAATTCGAGTTTACGACCTTTATTTCTATCTTTTTGACTTGAAAAACGTCTAGAAAACATTATTTTACTGGTTGGAAACCGTTTTTTACAAAATTTAGAGTTTTTGATGTTTTTCGCATTTCGTCAAAACTTCAAACCTTTATATTTCAGCTCATTTTGCATTTCATGAGCCCAACGAACGATAAAAATGTTAGCTGAATCTTTCTTCACAAAATTCAGGTTCCGGTGGTTAGTTTTCTTGAGCAGTTTTCGAAAACTACTCGAAAAATATCAAAATACAGGCCAAAACCTTCAAATCGAAATAACTCGGCTAATTCTCAACGATTTCTGTTACCAAAACGTAGCTAGTGCTCTAATTATGCAAATCCAGGCTCCAGGCGTACAAAAATAGGTGTATTGTACATAAAACATGGAAAGAACGCGGCTTCCCGTTGAAAATTAATTAATCGGTCGCCGCGTAAATCGACACAGCCCGCCTGTTGCAAGTGCGCCCCATTGAAATTATTCGCGCCGTGGGAGACCGTGTCTAGAAAGTTTCAGTCCGAACGGATTATTTGATCTGGAGATGTATTGATTTGAAACTGAAAAATTCCGCATTTCAAATCAATCCACCGCATCGATAATCGTGTAAAGTTACGGTTCAATCGAGTAACTGGAGTGGTTTCGATATTATTAGGAAACACTTGATAATTGATATCATCAAATGTTAGTGTGATTTTGCCCAAGGAATGCGTGTTACAAAGCTAACAGAGAAACCGAAAAAAGTGGGCATTCGGGCGCCGCCGCGATCTCTTCTGTTTTGTGGTTTCATCGATGATGAGACATTCTAAAAGATTATGGCCATTCTGCAATCATAACATTTTGGAACATGGTTTCAATTTCCCACCCTTTCTTTCTTTGTCAGCGACTCCGTCACTAAGGTTACGGTTTTCGATACTGATTGCAAATCCAATACGTTTCAATTTTCCATAAATCGTTGCAAAAAGCCTTGCAACCAAAACACACTGATCCCTCCACAAAACCCCTTGTTTGTCTCCCAAAATGATGCGCATCCATCTTCGTCGCGAATGCTCCGAAAATCCGCGGAAAAGAACAAAAAGCACCACGCACTAATCGAGTTATCCCCCCTTTTCGCCGTCTCTTTCGCTCTCTGCCTCCATTTCGCTCCGAAACTCTACAATAAACATTCAGATTCCCGGACGAACTGCTGCGACATGGTGCATCGGCGGTCGGCAAGTCGATCGAAGCGCTCGCGGCGTGCGGAATCTCCACTCCACGAGCCATCGCGTCGGCGATCAAACGGTGTCCGCCGCTGCTTTTCGCCCGAAATCCACACGAAATGCAACGATTGGCCCACGAGATTGGCGGATTCTTCTCCAGAAGACAGGTGGGTCGAAAATCGTGACGAGACCCATAAGTGCTTGATATCATTGACCCGGATAATCTCATCCACGAGGGTTTCGCTTATCCGCTAATAATCCAATCCATATTATCCATCCTACTTTTTTCTTCTATTTTTACCGCCCCATTTTTTCAGGCGGGTCACCTCATCTCCCGATGCCCGCAAATTTTGCTCAAACCCATCGACGAAATTGAGGAAAAATACGAGTACATCTTCTATCAGGTAGGCCGAATTTTACGAAAAAGTACGCAAAGTGTCGTAATATTCGTTGTGCGCGGTGTTTACGGACTTTGCACTCGAATCGACGAACGTTTGCGTAGACGCGCGATGTTTGAGAAACGGATTGAACACCTATGAACGTTTATTCCGAATTTGAGATGAGCGGCGACGCGGAGGAGCTGGCCGACTGCACCGCGTGGATCGATACTATGAGTTTGGAGGAGCTGATCGACCGTCACAAATTCCTGCTCGCCACCGGAAAATACACGACGCCCGACGCGAAGCGGCCGCAGATTCGGATGGAAAATCCGAAATTGAGCCGCATCATCGACAGTTCCGACGAGGATTTCGCCACAAATGTATGGAAACGAAAGGGGGAATACGGGAAAAATGCGACATTTTAGGTCGCCCGAGTGAGTATGGAAGAGTGGGTGGTGTACCAGGCGTTGCGAGTCAAACAGACGATCAACGAGACGAAGGTGAGTTTGGGGTCTAGCAACGGACGCCGATTCGATTGGCGGCGCGACAAACTTCATGCCTAAAACATGGTCAAATTAAGGAGCGCAAATTCGAGCGTGTGAAGCCGTCGAAACGGAAGGCGTACGAACGTCGGCACAAGGAGCGTGAGGAGCTCGGCGAGCACGTATTCTCTCAGTGACCGATGATGTCTGCCCCCGAAAAGAAAGAAAGAGAGAGAGAGAGAGAGTAGAAGACCTCCCCTCTCTCTTCTTCTTCTTCTTCTTCTTTTCCCCCCGTTTCCTTGTCTCGTTTCGGGCGAAGGGACCCTCTTCTTCTTTTTCTTCTTCTTTTCAAGACCCCCCCTTGTTGCTGTTGGAAATATTGTTCATTTCATTTCATTGTTCTTATCACAAAACATTGTTCTCGAATTTGTACCCTTTCAAGGTTTTTGAAGGTTCGTTGCCTTGCCTTATTTATCTCTTTAAACAAATTTCTGAAACAATTAACCACGTTTCCAGATATTTTTGCCAATTTGTTGCCTTAAAGCTCAGGAAATATGCAGTGATTGAGATTTTGAAGGTATTCAAAAAGTGTTATCCGATAAATATAAGGTTTTTTCAAACAATTTCAAATTTTAGGTAATGTTCAGCTACAGCGACGAGGCGGCGTTCACCGAGCACCTTCAGCCCTGGTTTGAGCTCGTCAATCCGAGAGCATCCTGTTATTCCGTAAGTTTGTGCACACTTTTGAGCCTCTTCTTCATTTATGGCGTTAAATTAGCGGTTAAGAGCTGACGCCCGTCCCTTTTTCACTTTTTTGAGCCTCCTAGTCGTTTTGCTCTTTTTCTCTTCCCTTTTCAAAGAAAGCATGTGAAAGAACGAATGAATGCAACTAGTTTTCGCCGTCCTTCCGACACCCTTTTGCACATGAAAAAACGACGCCGACGACGCCGACGAACCTTTTTTTTTCGCTCTTTTTTCGCTCGCGCCCGCCCATTTTTGCTGGACGGGAGGCGGAAAAGAAGCGAGAGAAAGAGGCACGGCGCCAAGAGCACACGAGGGTCTTCAGGGCTCGCGGAGCCCGCCGTGGCGCCAGCGCCCGCCCTCATTTCCATCGGCCTCCTGGCCAACTGACTGCCGAGAACGAGAAGAACGAGCGAGAGAGAGAGAGAGAGAGAGAGAGTGTGTTTCGTTTTCGCGCTCGCCGCGCACACAGCCACTGTTTCAAGAGCATTGATGAGGGAACCTCTTCTTCCTTTTCCATTTCGTGTCGATGACGTCACACTCGCGAGGCAACCGTATCCTTTGCAGATTTTGAGAGTCTGAAACCGTGATAACACAGCTGTGCTCGACGCAATACCCGACCTTTCCGATAACAAACTCCTCACTTTTTCGGTCGTTCTTCTCTTCCGAAAAACACGAAATTTTATCGCTCGCGAGTGTTTCTTCGGGTTTCTAGAAGCATTTTAGCTGGAAACGCACACCGAACACTTTTTTTTGAATGTTCTCACGAAACGGCTAATGATAGGGTTCCGATGCGGCGAGAGTTTCGAGAAAAAAGGGGCGTGGCTTTGGATTCGACGCATTTTTCAGTTTTGATTTCTATAGTTTCTACAAGGCGCTCGTTGAGTTGTAAGTAGAGACCTACATGGCTCGAAATTTCTATTTTAAGGACGTTTTTTCTGAGCACTTGAGAAAAAACGTCTCACTCATGGTTGCGAAACGTCCCATGACATTACCACGTTCATTTTCATGTGCAAAACAATTATATTCATTTTCGATACGCCAAAAGCAATTAGAAGTTCACTCACTCGGCCCATTTTCCAACTTTATGAGCGGAAATAGAGTTGAGCGTAGCTTTTGTAGAATCACATTCTCGACGGCCTGGTTTAGGTTAGGACATTTTTCCAAACAAGTTTCGATCACGATTTCCAATTTTACACATCCCCGGAAATCTGAAATTTCCAAAGCTCCCGCTCCTACCGTAACCCCCTCAAGCCCCTTGATTAATGCGAACCTTATCTGAGAGCAGACGAACACCGCCGCCGAACCCCCTCATCATTTCACGTGTTCTCGTTCGTACTGCCCAATTTTCGACGTTTTTTCTGCTCCGAAGAACCCCGTAATTCGCGCATTCCCATCGGCTCTTTTTTTGCGGTAAAATGCCCACGCATCGGTGCGTTCGCGAGTGAATTCTTGAGATTTCGCATTTTTGATTAGTCCGCGCAGACACGGGGGTTTTAGAAATTCAGACGAGATTAGATGAACTCTCTTGTAAGTGCAACGTTTTTGTTACCAATAAGACCTCGCAGTTGTACTCGATTTAAAGGCGCACAGCCCGAAAAGGCAAGAAAAAACCGCATCGGTTTGCTGTTTTTGCAATTCAAAATTGTTCGAAATCGAAACGTTCGCATGAAAATGATGGGAACGCCATGATCGGGTTTCCGTTTTTTCCCCTCCCGACCGTTTGACATGATTTTTATGTGCCCACAAAAACACACACACACACATCTCCTTTTTTATATTCGCTCTCCTTCTTCTTTCATTTCCGTTTCGTTGAAAATCTGAACAACTTCAAAATTGTCCGTTGTTTTTTTTTTCGGGAAACCCACCCGGAAAAACGAGTGTAATAGACTAATAGTATTAAAATGGGTGACTTTGAGAGTTTGAAACTGTGATAACACAGATGTGCTCGTCGCAATACCCGACCTTTCCGATAACAAACTCCTCACTTTTTCGGTCGTTCTTCTCTTCCGAAAAACACGGAATTTTATCGCTCGCCCGTGTTTCTTTGGGTTTTTAGAAGCATTTTAGCTGGAAACGCACACCGAACACTTTTTTTTTGAATGTTCTCACGAAACGGCTAATGATAGGGTTCCGATGCGGCGAGAGTTTTGAGGAAAAAGGGGCGTGGCTTTGGATTCGACGCATTTTCAGAATTGGCAACCGTTCTTTGTCAGTTGCAAAACGACGTCTCGGTACCGACGTGAACTTTGCAGTGCAATTTATCGTAAAAGTAGTTCACGTTGGTTGCGAAACGTCGGGTTTCAAAATGACCGGTTAGAACCTGTTCGACAACGTGACCCGATTCGTCACGTTAACACGTCTCCCCCTCACTCGTGTTCGCCTCATTCCTTCCCGATAATGATGATGATGGTGCCATCCGGATACTTCCAGCACCAACCACCTCCTCCGCTCCCGCACCATCACTCGTTCGCAATGGGATCCACCACCGAAGACGTCGGCAACAACAACAACTTCGAGGACACGCGGACCGTCCGTCAGGCGCTGCTCGGACTCAAATGCGAACCGCCGTCCGCCAGCGGAACCCCGCCGCAACTATTGCTCAATTCGTCGCCGGTGTCGGGCGCCGGAGGAGTCACCACACCGCCCTTCTCGCCGGCAAACGCAGATGGTAAGCGAATTAATTAGTTGCCGTTAATTTTAGCAGACGCTGTTTTTCAATTCAAAAAAAATTAATTGCCCAAAAAAACCATTGAAAACACTACAGGCTCGAATCTGATCAAATTCTTCTCCGGATCCATATTTCCATCATGGAGTAGGTTCATCCGAAAAAGCCACGTCATTTGTCTCTTTTTCTCTCTCTCTCTCTTTCTCTTCCCTCCGTCTCATTCTCCCATTGTTTCATCCCGGAGCGAGCAAAAAAAAAAAAGCGATGAAAAAACCATGGAATGGGAGGTCGACACTCTGCGTCTCTCATTTTTCTGCCGCATTCGGACGCCCTCCGTGTTCCCTTTTTCCCCGCTTTTTCTTGTGTGTGTTCAAGTTCCAACACACAAACGCCGTTTTTGAGAGTGTCCCTTAAAAAATTAGAGAAAAAGCTTCGTCCAACAACCTTGTCCAAAAATTGCTTTCCCCCAGTCGTTTTGATTTTTTATTCTCCGAATTGCAGACAATACCGTCACGCACGCGCACTCGCAGCAGCTTCAGCACCATCACACGGGACTGTCGGCGTTGTCCGTCGTCGGCAGCATGATGATGAAGGAGACGGCCGGATGCGTGGGCGGCGCATCCGCAGCCACATTCGGCGATTTCGACTACATGATGATGCAGCCGCTGCATTTGGGTGAGTCAAGCGACTTGCAACGGGCGTTCTGCGCTGGGCAAACCGTCTGGACGTTAGACACACTTGCAACAATCCAAACCAAAACTTTTTCGGCCTCTTGAACACGGATTGAAGTATTTCTCGTCCAAGTTTCAGACCGATCGGATTGTCGGCCCCCCAGGCGATCTTCTCGGGGCCCGATAATTCGATCGGCCTGAAACTTTGACCCAAATAACTTTAATATTGCAAGTGTGCCTTCTCCGGCCTTTGAAATCTTTTACTCTTTTACTCTTTTGCCCTACACTGACCAAGACCGGGGTTCAACTGAACTATTCGTTTATTGGGAGTCTTTTAACAAGTATTACAACAAAGAGGAAGGAAATTACCTGCTAGCTTAAAGATTTTAAAAGGAATGCAATTGTGCTCTTCCAGAATTCAATAGAAAAAGAAGTGGAATTTGTTTCGCGGCAGAAATAGTTTTCATTTGAAAGTCTGCATAGCGCTGAACTTCAGCGGCTGAAGTACTCAAGACAAATCACGAACGTTTTGAGTTCAGAATCGATCCTTCCAGCGATTGGCCGTCACTCGTCGCAAGGTTCCGAACGTCAAATGTCAACGGAGAGTTCAGTGGCGGCGGCGGCGGCGCCGATTCCGTCGACGAAACGCTCGCGCTCCACACACGACGGACTCATGAAATGCCTGTTTTGTCCGAGAAAAGTGTCGAGCGAGGATGCGGTGAGAGTCGAGAGAAAAAAAACACGGGACTGTGCACACAAACTCGGATTTCAGCTCGACCGTCACATGGCCGAGTGTCAGGTGATCCGGCCGCACGAATGCGAGCGGTGCGGCAAGAGATTCAAGGCGCGCGGCGGACTGCAACAGCACATGCGCATTCACAACAACGAGAAGACCTACTCGTGCCAGTACTGCACCAAACGATTCACACAGAAGAGCCATTTGGATCAGCACGAGCGGATTCACACCGGTTAGTGGATTTTTTTGCGAAAACCTTTGGTACCACGAGACACCCCCCGTCCCAAGCCGTTTGGATACCTGTTAAGCTGTTATCGATAACGTTTTTCGTTGTTTTCCTCCCAATAATCCCCAATTTTTCTCGCATTCAGGCCTCAAACCGTTCATGTGCACATTCTGCGGCCGCGCCTTCCGTCAACGCTCGCAACAACTCGGGCACGAGGCGACGCACCTCAGCCACTTTGCCGCCTCCAATCACATTTGCGCCTCTTCCGGCTCCGCGTCGGCCGTCCCGACGACTCCATCCTCTTCGTCGGGAGCATCTTCCGCGTCGCCGATCAAAGAGTCGCCGACTGTTGCGATGGGCGGAATCCACCCGCCGACGCCTTCGCCCGAACAACAGCAACAACTGAATATGGCGGCGGCGGTGATGATGCAGCAGCAGCACGAGATCTCGTCGCTTCTCGCCCTTCAGGACTTCCATCAGAATTCGCCGCCCGCCGCCTCGCGCTCTTCCGTTCAATTCGTGCCCCAATCGGCGGCCGAGGCGACTGCCAATGGAATGAGAATGCTCAGCCACATTGCTTCCTAATACTCCTTTTCTTGTTTAGGCGCGAACCGCAACGCGACCGCTACGCAGCTAATTTTGGATTTTTTTTTGCAATGTTTTCCTCGTAAACCCTGTTCGGTGTGAGACCCGGAATGCGCCTTTAAATAATTTATATGCCCTTCTCCAAAAAGTTACAGTTGATTTTTGGAGGCTACAACGTAATAGAACTCGCACGGAAATAACGTTGCGAGTTCTGTTACGTTGTGGCCACGATTTTTTACGGGTATTTGAATTATTTAAGTTTAAAAGCAGAAAAAACATAATTTTTCCATGGTTTTTTGCCGCTTTTGAATAGGTTTTACATGATTTGCTCGCATCTTATTCGGCTGCAAAGCGGTCGCGTTGCGGTTGTGAAAACTTTTTTTCGCCGCTCTTTTTGTCTCCTCTTCTAGTCATTTTTCTGTAGTCTTACTGCACAATTTTCTCACCATCCAAAATTAGTCATTTTTTCGCGGCTTTGGCCTAAAAATTGCAATGTTTGCAAACGATTTTCCGCTCTTCTCACTGCTGGCAGTGTTCACTGCGTTGTTCGCACCCGCCCAACCCAAAAAAAATATTCTCTCACACATCGCTAGCCTAGTCATTTTTGCCCCACTCACCATTTTTCACGCCCCACCAAACAATCGATAATTTATTGTAATTTACCCAGTGATTGGTCAAACCAACTCAAAAGAAAGTGCCCCGGTTTTTTTCCTACTCGATTCATTAGTATTTCCCCTTGATTTTTTCCCCAAAAAATTCAATTTTTTGTGTGTGCCAACCTATTAATTAGTCAAGTCTCTTTTCTTTCCCTCGGTCAAACCCTAATTTTACTGGAAATTTTCTAAAAATTCCCTCTTCGAAACACGTGCAACGTAATTAATAAATTCGATTGGAAAAATGAAAGCCATTTTTAGGCAGACATTCGAAGAGAAACAAACGACCAAGAGAGGTAGCGATTGATAAGAGAGCAATTGATCGATTGATTGGCGAGTAACATTTGGCCCTTTTCGATAGATGCAACTTCAAAAATGCTTTCTTTCAAGAGCAAATGCAGCGATTGCTCGGCAGTGTCGGTGAGAATTTGCGCCAACTTTACGCGATTTCTACTAGAACATTTCGCAAACATTGCCTAAAGTTTGCGCTAAAATTGCATAACGTTTTTCAGAATTTGCGCAAACTTTAAGCAGTTTTAGCGCAAACCTTAAGCCAATTTTTGCGCAAATCATCCACACATTTCTTAGACTATTTACAACCCTTTATTGTTACAGACATATACTCTCTCTCTTTTTCACTCTCTGCAAGTGTATCCCTTTTTGTGATTTCTATACGAATTCGCTATTCAAAAGAGTCGGCAATATGTGCCAGAGAACGCGTCAATGCATTCGCGATCATCCGTCGCGCAGAACACTTTGTTGAGTTTGAAGATGGGCTCGTTCAGCTGCTGGAAACAAGAGAACGACACTAATAGCGTCGCATCAGTCATATAAGGAATCACGAGTGATTGCTTTATAATGTAAGTGAATGGAAAGTACACGGAGCCCTCCACTATATGCAAGGAGAAACTGAGAGTCATTATTAAAATTAGGGCTTTTTTGCGAGCTCTGCACGATCACTTTGTCGCCTTTTTTCCTTCTTTGCTCCTGAAACGAGTACATGTCATAATTAGATATATTTTTTTAGATTAGATAATTAGATACGAACAGATTCGACTAGATAGTTGTGTTTCCATGATTGAGTTATCTGATCAAAACACAGTTGTCTATCAGAAAACATCAAAACGCGCTAACAGGATGTGTGTACACATCAACTCCGTTCAGGAGTTGGACGACAGCTTGGGAAAGATCTGTGCGTTCAGTAAATTTTTTTAAAAACTGAATACGAATTCATCGGTCTTTGAACGGACAAAACTCACGATATTGCTCGCTTCTTCACGACAAGAGCACTCTACTCCGAGTCTCCTAGACACTATTGAACGTATTCGTTCCGAGCAAAAAGCGTACTCAATAAATTCGCATGAACCCATTTTTAAGATAAAAAATGTCTGAAAAAATAAATTAGAAACGGTACAATGTTATGACTCTGAACGAGAGGTGAAACACCGAAAAACGGGTGGGTTAGTCGCAGAGAATGGGGGGAAAAAAACGGGGAAGAGTCTTGAAAGCTAAAGTAATCGAGCGATCATCACAGATTTTAAAAGAGCGCGTGGGCGGAAGGGAGGAAGAGGAAATATGCAAGAACCGAGTTAGAGATATTACATTTTTAGGGGCGGAAAGAAAAATGAATTAAATTCAAGAGTGCGAAATGATCATCCAGCTGACGACAAAATAGAAGAGGAACACCGGGTAGATGACGAGAAGGCGCTTCTTGTCCGGTTGGCACCCTGCCAGGAACCCCATCGACGCTGAAAATTTTGAACATTTGTCACGGGCAAAAGTTTATAATTTTTTCTGAAAATTTAAAGGTGTCGTGCACTAAAAAAGTGACATATTTTTAAAGTGAAGTTCAAAGTCTCAAATTTCCCGAATTTTTCTGAATTTTCCAGAAAAGCTAACACCCGGATATCGACTTTTCGTGAGGTACTCGCATAATTCTGCACCATTAGAATTCTAGAAAACGGCAAAAAAAAAACCGTCGTACCATAAGTAGACCAGACGAATCCGACGGCGGTGATCAAAAGTCGCGCCCAAAAAACGATTCCGTGCAGGAAAAGCGAGCAGAGAATGGCGGCGACGAACGGCGGAAGCAGACAATAGCCGATGACGCACAGCGATTGGAAAAACGAACTGGAAAAATGATCTCTTCATTAAATTTTTCGATGGAATCCATACATATTGCCCCCGAGCAATTTGATGTTCGCCGTGACGACGACCGATCCGAAGAATGTGATTGTGAAGACCTGCGTGAATTGAGGCGCCGATTCGGTGCCGCCGTTGTATTGCAAAAGACTGAAAAAGCGTCGTTTTTGGGTGAGAATCGAAGATTTTCACATTTGTTAGCCATGAAAATATCAAAAACTCACAGCGCAAGACCGACACAAATGAAAAGCGGACCCCAGAGATCCCAATCGCGCAGCAATTGCTGCTTGTCGCCGTGCGGCAGGATGACGTGGCTGAATTTGGCGCCCACAGTCACGACGTCACGCTTCTGAAATTGAAAACTTTAAAGGAAAATCAATGAAAATGACTGGATTTCCAAACAATTCAAAATGTGTCCAGCTCACCACAGTATCCCAAACGGGCTCCTCCAACGTGTCAAACTCGGCGTCGAGGTCCACTTCCTGCATCGGACCGCGTCGCGTCGACGACGAATTCTTCGGCGCGCTCATTCCGGCGATATTTCCAGACAGATTCGCCGTCTGCTCGGCCGCCATTTCGCGTTCGAGCTGCAATTGAAATTATAGATTTTTTTTTGGGAATTTTTTAAACTAATTTCTAAGCGATTCTCAGCTTAAGAGTGTTTCTCGTTACAAATCGACTGTAAAATTAAATTTCTTGCGAAATCCGGCACCTTATCGATTGTCAGCGAAGAGTCGGTGGCGAAAATTTGCAATTTTGACTTTGAGACGCCCATTTTGTGTGGAAAAGTGTTCAGAAATGACAGAACAATGTTTCAGAATTATTTCCCAACAAACGTGACCCTTTATTATTGGTTTTTCGAACGAAAACGCGCTGACTCACCATGTCAATGTCGACGGAGGCGTTGCCGAAAGAATTCATGTCTTCCTGAGTGGATCGATGAATTTCCGGAAACGAAATAATTTTGTCCGTCTGAAATTGTGACATTTTCGAGGGAAAATGAGCAAAGACAGCGGCGAAATCGATTTAAAACGTGGATTTTCCGCCGAAATAGACACAGAAAATAAAGCGGGCGCGGTACGAGACTCCGCCGATTCGGCCCCGTGGCGAGCGCGCGAAAACTCACATTTTCAAATTTCTGCCTGAAAAATCACCATTTGCAGCGATTTTCCTCTCAAATTTAGTTTGCTTTCAGGCGAATTATGATTTTCAACGGTTCTAACAGTGATAACCGAAACGTCCGAACTCAAATATCCAACAATCGGCAGAGTATCAAGGTTTTTCCCCTGCTCTCTTTGACTATTCAATAAGACGTGCAATTTTCAGTATTCCAATCATGAAACGACATCAGAAGTTCCCGGATACCTGCAATTATACTTGAAGCCGCCGGGCGACGAGATCAGCCTGCTGGAGTTCGACGAAATCGCCATGGAGCGGCTGCAATTGCTGAAAACGCTGGAGATTTGCAAGGATAGCCATCCGTTGCACAGCGAGGAGTTCAAGACCAAGTTCAGGAAGATGTGCAGCGAGTGCAAGCTCATCAGTCAGTCTTAGATCACTTTTTAGCCCAAAAAACTGATTGTGAGCTTTTTTCCAGTTTTCCCCGACCAAAAGTCCCCGGATCCGGTGGATGTGGCGGAAAGATGGCGCCGCGACGAGCAAGGTCACTTCATTCTGCGTCTCGCCTTCTGCCGATCGCCCGAAAACCAGAAATGGCTGACTCAGATCGAAGGCGACCTGTTCCGGTTTCGTCTGCGCCAGGAGAAGCCCCACGTCGTCGACTCGGCTCTGTACACGTGCAAAATGAGTATTGATCGGCTGTCGACGAAAGAAAAAAAGGATATGGAAGAATTGCTGGCCTACGGATGCACTCTTCACGTGAACGACGTTCAGAGCAGGACATTCTACAAGGTGGACTTTGTGGACGCGACCGATCTGATGCGAAGGGGCCACGTCTATCTGAAGAAGGGTCTCGCCTACTTTCCGTTCGACGATCTCGTCCTCATCTTGGCTACCAAAATGAAGAATAACATGATGGCGGCGATGGCGGTACGGAAATTGATCAAAAATTGAAAGGAAAAGCGGGAAAGAAAACATTTTTGACCATTTTAAAAGATATTCTGAAAGTTTTCGATAATTTATAATTTTTTTCAATTTTTCACAAACGCCAACTTTTGCAGCGCTCATTCAAGCACCTGGCTTATCTGGAAGAGGAGGGCCGCCTGCTGCCACGTCTCGCCCTCTTGGCGAACAATGCGTACAACGGAAAAGAGTACACGGGCCAGCAGACGGACGGCGCGCCCGTAGTCACGCGCCACGTCATCGACAAGCTCGTGGCGCGCTCGTTTCCGCCGTGCATGAAGCAGATGCACAAGCACTTGCGGCTGAACCACCACCTAAAATACGGGGCACGTCGGCAATACGGACTTTTCCTCAAGGGCATCGGACTGTCGCTGGAGGAGGCACTCGCGATGATGCGCGAAGAGTTCACGAAGAAGATGACGGCGGACAAGTTCGAGAAGGAATACGGGTACAACATCCGGTACATGTACGGAAAAGAGGGACGGCGCGTCGCGCAGACGGCGATGAGCTGCGCGAGCATCATCCTCAGGAACCCGCCCTCGGCCGTCGACTGCCATGGCTGCCCGTTCAGACACTCGGAGCCGCCGGTGCTCAGGCAGAAGCTCGGCAGCGAGAGTGTTCTGCACAAGGATCACGTTCAGAAGGTGAGGAGGAAATTTGCATAGAACGCTTGCGTATTCTGAAAAACGCCTCTGATCCACATTCAGGGGTGTGCGGAAAATTTTTTTCGGAAAATTTCGGAAAATTGGGTTTTCCGAATTTTTTTTTTCGGAAAATTTTGGAAAAATCGGAAAAATCGGAAAACTCACTTGTTCATTGGTTCAATAAAGTGTTTAAACAACGTTCTAATGCAAAAAAATGCTTATTATGATTTGAAATCACTTGAGTGGGCGGAAGCCAAGCAATGGAATATTTTTTTGCAAAAAAATTAGCCGAGAGAAGCTCTCCGGGTCCAGTGTTTTCCGATTGTCAGTGAGAATCAGGGGTGTGCGGAAAATATTTCGATTTTCCGAAATTTTCCGATTTTCCGAGAAATTTTCGGAAAAAAGACGCTCGCTGCTAGACCCTTCCAAAAATTTTGTGATGCGCCTTTAAAAAGCATACGGTGGTTTCGGACAAATTGACCTTGAATTCACACTAATTTTCCGAAAATTTTCCGAAAATTTCTCGGAAAATTTCGGAAAATCGAAATATTTTCCGCGCACCCCTGATCCACATCGGACCGGTTTGAAACGTGGACCCAAATAACAAAAATCCGTGTCCTGTAAAGTAAGGATTCGATAGGATAATTGCATTTTGTCAAAATTTCAACGCGGAGTTTTGTTCAGATTCTGGAGCTGTCGGAAGCGAAACAGTACGACAAGGCGTGCACGCGTTACTTTGAATTCACGCACAAACTGGAAGAAGGCGCCCTCGGCACGCTCATCACTCACCCGAATCAGTTTTACGAGGAATCTCAAAAGGTTCGCGAATAATCTTGTAAAAATTTCAATGTTTCCCGAAATTCCAGATTGTCGCCGAACGAATCGCCGCTAAACTGTCCACTTTGCAACCGAAACAGGAGAAAATGGACACACAATAACACTTTGACACTTTTTCGATAAACTTTGTATCATCATTATTGTTTTTGTGTAATTTCATTGGGTCCCGCCACCTGTCACACTACTTTCTTATTGAATTTTTATCCGTATTATTTGATTCCAATTCATTAATTCACTTTCTTTGCTCTCTATGCGAGAGACGCAGACCCGTCGCTCTGCGTGCCTGCCCAAGTGCTCTGCCCGTCTGCGCCCTCTCGCGCGGCCCCGCTCTCTCGTCGCTCCTCTCGTTCCCTGTCCGATCCCTCGCCGCGGCTATCCGACCTCCGCCTTGAATAACCGCGCGTCCCGCAAAAAAAAAAATGCCAATTTCAGCGGTTTCCGGCCATCTTCAGCCCGAACCGATAGTCGCATCGTTTCGGAAATGCTCGATTTGGGTCCCGACGCGAAATTTCGTGATAACTTTTCGGGCGCCCCAATCCTGTGTCCCAGATCCCCAGATACGGTAAAACGCGCGGGTTCTGGGATTCGCGCCGATTTTTTGCGAGACAATGAGTTGAAAATGCGTGTTCGGCATGATTTTCTCGATAGAACTTGGATAGAATTCGAGTTGACTTTGGAAATTGAAGACTCTTGAACATTTCTTCAATTTTTGTGAATTCTCGCTGAGCAGTTTCCGGTGAGCGCTCCAAAAAATTGGATTTTTGCGTAGATTGTTTATATTTCCGCTTGGTAGACACTCAAAATACCTGTCAATTTTTACGCTTACCCTAGCCTAGCCAACACATTGTTCCAGTTTCCCCTGTGTGCAACAATAGGCCATGACAACATTTTCTAGCTTTATATGAACTTTCTAGATCAATGTGCAGAAGACAATCAACTGTCTAGAAAACAGATTCCTCGCACTGCGATTTCTCAATATTGCATAAAGACTACGATTTCGTGCCAGGACCCAAACCACACGAATCATTCGCATTATGCGTTTTCGAGTGAAAAGGTGACATTGTTTCACCTGAAAAACCGCCCAATTTGGGCGATTTCCTCGCCTTTTTGCGATTCCGCGTCTTCCGCGCACCTTCCGCATCCGTTTTTCGTCTCCGTCTCTCGACTCGTCACCCTCTCACCGCCCCCATTTTCTTTTTGTTCAACTAGTTCGATTTTTGTATTATTATACGTTTACTATAGTCGGGTCTCGCCACGAAAGTGTCAACCTTAACGGACAAAGAATGTTTGTCATTGTTTTTACTGAATTACTTCCACTGTTCCGTTCATTTTTGCGTAGTGTCTCGTGGTGTACGCAGACTTCTATTGTCAACCGTAACCGATAAGCTCTGCCCTCTTTGAAGCAAAATGGTGCGGAGCTTCCTGATTGTGAATGATAAGTTGAATTTCGTGGCAAGACCCGACTGACTCACTCCACAATTTTCCGTTAATTTCAGCGAGAAATGCGCGCAAAACGATCCGATTCGACGGCAGAAAAGGTGACGATGATGAGCGGCGTAAAGACGGAAAGTCCCGCGGATTCGCGAGAAGGATCCTTGGCTCCACCGGTGCTCACCGCCGAAACGACGACGACGCCGCCGTCAAAGATTCGGAAGACGTCGCCGCACATGATTCTCAACGAAATGGGCATAGAGGAGGAGGCGGACGAGGAGGCCGAGCCGGTTCCGAAGAAAAGAGCGAAAAAGTCGGCGGCGTGCACGACTCCGGAAGAGAACAAGAATCCGAACGGAGCGCAGAAGCAGAAGAGCAAAAGTGAGAGCCGCGAAGGCTCAAGCTCCGCTCACTCGGGCTCTTTCTCCCCGCCACCACCCCTCTCACCGGCCTATTCGTTGACGGAAGAGGTGAAAATGGAGGTGGAAAGTGAGGAGGACGAGCAAAAAGAGCAAAAAGTGTTCCGATCGCCCAAAAAGCCGCCGACGAAAAAGGAGGAGCCGAAGAAGAGTCGGGGATTGTCGAGGAGTTCGGTGTTCGGAGGAGGCATGCGGAAAGTGGAATCGAGTCCGGCACTCGGAGCAACAAGTACCAGCGAAAAGGCCAAGTACAAGGTAAGCCTTTTCATAATGGTAATTTGTCTGGGAATAAAACTGTTTTGAAATAGAACTGTCCCGTTTTAGAACTGCTGCCGGTTTATTCCTAAACACGTTTCCACATAGGACTTTTTGGAGGACTGCACTTTTTAGCTAAAAGCGCTGGTCTGAAACTGAATAAAGAAAAAAATAGAGGCGTGTCTGCTACCCGACCCATTCTGAATGTTTGCAGCGAAAAGACAAGGACGCGGTGCCGTACATTGACCCGAATGCGCCGAAACGAAACCGATCCGCCTACGTGCACTTTATCATGTGAGCTCTCCGCGTTTTCTTCATCACTTTTACCACATTTTGTGTTTACAGTAGCCGTCGTTCGGCGTACTCGAAAGCGACAATGTCTCAGCGAGACATCAACATTGCGTTGGCGGCGGATTGGCAGAAATTGAATGGCGACGAGCGAACGGTGGGGCACAAGAATTTTGGTGGCGAAATTTGAGAGAGAGAGAATGCCAATTTTTACAGCCGTTCCACAAAGCGGCCGAAGAGGAGAAAGCGCGCTATTTGCTACTGATGGAGGACTACAAAAAGACGGATTCGCACCGGGAGTTTCAGAGTTAGCCTTCAATTCGCCGCCCCAGAAAAACCGTGTCCGTTTTTGCAGAGAAACGCGGTCAATTTCTGAAGACGCAAGGCAAAAAACGGAAGCACGGCGACGATTCGGACGACGATGAAAACGCGTCGAGTGTGCAGATGGCGTTCCCGAAGACGGCCGCCTTTTGTCCACTCCTCCTCAATCCGTCCTCCTCTGAGTCGTCATCGAATTCGGGAGCCCTCCAGTACTCGGGCCCGATTTTCACGCCCGAATTCGTGGCGTACAACAAGACGCGCGACTCGTACCGCCGGCAACTGGCCATCGAACGGTCGAATGTGGAGCACGAGCTGGAGGCGTTGCACGAGCACGACCTCGAGATTCGCATCCAGAAGCGTAAGAAGAGCGTCGTACAAAACACGACAAATTTTGCGGCGTTTTCAGAGGAACAACGCATTCGGAGTCTCGATGAGAATGTGGAGGGCGCGATGAAAGTGATGCGAGCGGTGTTTGGATGCACGGCCGCAGCAAAAGGTACAGTAATTTAGCCAATTTTTTGCTCAAAAGCTCAGCTTCGAGTCCACTATCTAAATTTCTCATTCAGACCACCTCTCCGACATTGACTCGCTCACCGAATGGCTCCAGACGGTCACCAGGCTCGGCGCCCGTGAAGGAGCACGAAAAGCGGTCCGCGAATCGCTTCAAAAGTACTGCAAATCAGCCAAAAAATAACGTTTTTTTTTTCTCACCCTTTTCTCCGTTACCAATCCCCATTACCCACTTTTTCAGCCTTATCATTTTCTCAATTCGCCTACGGTTCTCTCTCTCTCTCTCTCATTCTCTAGGATGTTCCCTTTTTCTCTTCTAGAACTTTCCGATGATTTTGTGTTATGTGTCTTTCGAGCTGCAAAAATCGCCCCCAATACCTCTGTCTCTTTGTTTGCTCAGGTAAATCGTTTGTATTAATCTAACTAGCTAATTCGCGTTTCTAACCGGACCTAATTAGATTGCTAATTTACTGCGATTAGATTGCAAATTCTTCGCACTGAACTGATAAATTTTCTAATTAGATTGCAAAATCACTGATATCACATTCAAAATGTATCTAATTAGATTAAAATTTCGGCCAAACCTAGCTAGATTATGTTTAGATTGCAAAAAAAAAAGCCAGCTAGATTCAGAAATCGGTAGCAATCTAACTCGGTCCGGTTAGAAACAACGAGAATTAGCTAGTTAGATTAGAAAAGATTTGTCTGGGTGTTTTTGAGCTCGTTTTATCAGTGTCCTTTTTTTTCATGATGGCATACATTTTTGAACTATTTATTTTCGTGAAACATGGAATTTTCGTAAAACCGTCTGGCCTCCGATCACGTGTCTCGATATTCGTTGCGCTCCTCTGAGAAACGGGAGAAAAGCGAACGAGAAAGGGCTCGCACGGTCTCCAGAGCTGACAATATGGGCGTGGCCGCGGCCAAATGGCGTTTTCACGAATTGAGCACGTTTTCTCTGATTTTTTGTGGTCAAAGGCGATGAAAAATTATTGTTCGACATGAAAACACACTAATTCTCAGAATTAATGACGTTTTGGCGCATTTTTCGCCGACTTTGCTTTTTCGACTTCGCCGCCTAAAAACCGCACTTTTCATTTTGCGCTTTCTTGACCGTTTTCAGACAGAATTGGTTTTGAGAATGATAAATCACGTAATTACAAGCATTTTGAGCGCTCGAGCCGCGAAAACTTCCGAAAAGCAACTGAAATTCACGCAGTTTTAGCGAAAAACCTTCAAACGGATAAATGTGATTTGCGACTTGACCAAATTTAACGCTCTTGCGCTTAAAAAATTCGTAATGGCCTATAAAATCGGTCTATCGAGAGACAAATGAGAAATTATCGGTTTTTCGTGGCTAATCTGGCAAAAAACACAAATTTTGCTGTTAAAATTTGAATTTCGCTCCAATGAATCGCTCTATTGGGCGGGGCGCACTTGCACGCCCATTGTCAGCTCTAGAGACCGTGGCTCGTGTGAGTGAGAGGCGCAAAATGAGACTTTGTCATCGATCGGCGACGGAGGATGGCGATCTCCGCGAAAAATGCGCCGAAACCAAAGTAATTTTGAAAATCAAGATTTTTCTTGTCAAGGTATAATGCATTTGCCGGAGACTTTACGCGATTCTCGATGTGCGGGTTTCGCACGGAGCGAAACTTTTCGAGCTTCAGTTCTGCGCCTTTAAATTTGAAGACGGAAACGGTGGATCACAATTCTCCCCATTTTTCGGCAACAAAAAGCCGATTTCGGACGGCTTCCTATTACGAATACTAACAAAATCGGCAGGAAAAGGGGTGTCTCGTGGGGGGTCCAACCGGGATAAAGATCGGAGACGTAGACGGTCAGAGTGCACACGCCATCTGCCTTCTCCTTCTATTCGTGCTTGCTTCTCCTCTCCCCCAACACACTTCGCTGCCGATATTCCCTTCGTACTAATGGCCTCTTCTCAGCAACTGCTTCCATTTTCAACCAAGGACACCGAAAAAGGATTGAAAATCAAAGAGAAATACAAATTTATTGAGCTCAGGCGAGATGATCTTCAAATTAAGCTTCATTTCGATTCAGCTCACTGGGATTTTTCTCGAAAGAATGAGGACGAAACATGGCAAATGAAAGGAGTGGACGGAAGAAAAACGAAGAATATCCAGGATGAAGACGTGGATGCGATGATAGAGGATATCGTCCGAAAGTACCTGAGCAAACCTGGAATCAAGATTCATGAGCTACGCTTAATTGTGAGTGAAACAACATTTTCGTGATTTTGTCTGCGCTTTACTCAAATGCATTCATTTTCAGAATGTTTTCATCTGTTCTCTGCTCTTTTCTCAACTCAAAGTGAACCGTTTCATGGCATATGTAAAGGGTACGGCTGTATACCCGATTGGATATTTTCGATGTTTGAATACAACTTCTATCACTTATTTTTCGGTTTTCGATTTCTCTCAAGCGAGGGATGTTATCGCCGATATTAGAGTGAGTGTTCTGTTCAAAATAAGACATTATAGTATTATTTATCAGTGCCTGAACTTGAATCGAATTGAATATTTTGCCTACGAACCGAATAACCCCAATTTGCTTATCAATTTTTCGTGTGAACAGTGGAAAGTCACAGAAGAATTCGAGAAGGGTTCGACGCCATTGATATTGGAAGCTTGCCAGGTTTTCAAATGATCCAATTTCCTTCATGAGTTCTTTCAAACTATTTTTTTCAGAAAATACTGAAAGATCAGCCGGCTAGAGGCTCTTATTACACAGCGTTTTGTTCAGATGAGGATGATCATGAAATGAAAAAGTTATTGAAAATGATTGACGAAAAGATTCCCGGCGGACAGTGGAAATGGAAATATGGATTGTGAGTCTGAACTATATTCTTCCCTTCACAGAGGTTTTTTTTTTCAGAAAACTGCTCTGCTATGAAATGGAACACTCGGAAATGTTGGTTCTGGTGCAACCGCCGGTTACAATGAAGATATTCCCAACATTATCGACTTTTGTCATCAAAAAAGGAGCAGCTGTGAGTAGTTGAGCTTTACTTTTTCTTAAACATATGAAAGTATTTTTAAAAAAAGTATTTATTCCGATTTTAAAAGTTTTCTGTTTAAAAATTCATGAATTCTGAGAATACAATTAGATGGTAATATGCCTTGAGTACTCGAATCAAATGTCAAATATTCTCATTTCAGAATGACAACATCACTATTATTCAACGATGCTTCCGTCTCCGATGGCAGATCGCTTCTTTCCTCCGGCCCACGTTTATATCGATACGGAATGCCGTCCGAAAAGTGATTCCTGGATTCGAAGGCTTTGCTTTCGACTGTATCCTCTTCTATTTGCCCGTAATCCCATTATGGCTCATTTTCTCTGTCATCATCGTTTTTCTTATTATCCCGGCCATACTACTAACTAAAGATTGTATAATTGTTTTATTTAATTCTCTGTTTTGTTCTTAACATCCCCCCACGATTCACTATTCTTAGACAGTGTTATACCATATTTATTCGCATTTTTCACTCATCATTGTCTGCTATCATAAAGTTATTTCCCATGGTTCGTGAGGAAAAATGAGCGCATAATATTCTGAGAACGTCGGCGAGATCGTTCGTTCGCAATGTCAAAATGAATCTTTCAAACGATTCACGGCGACCAAAAACGTCGAAAGTGGCGTGGCCTAGCGGCGCGCACGGTTTATCACCATTTTGGCGCGAAATTCGAAATTTAACCCCATTTTTCATGTTTTTCGTCAAAAATTACCCAATTTTGTACGGTTTCGACGATGTAATTGCACAATAACTTTGTTAAACTAATCATCGCGCACTTTTTGAGCCTAAAACGAGCAGGTTTCATTCAGCGAATGAATCAATTTAATCGATTTTCAAGTTTTGTGCTGAAAATGCGCGAATTTCAGTCATTCGCCGATACTTTTTGCCGTTTGAACGCTTAAAATACTTGTATTAACGTGCTTAATCACTTCCGACACTCACTTTGTCTCAAAACTATCCAGATCGGCCGGTATGAAAATTCCGAATTTGCGGCGGCGTTTGGCCGCGGAGTGCGTATTGCGAATGATGCCAAAAATGTCTCAAACGCCACTGAGTCACAGCGTGGACGTTTATCATTAAAGCGCACTTGCAGCGCACGCGCGGGAGTTCAAAAATAATAAATTTTCGGCGAAAATTGCGTTATTCCCCGTGTAAAAATTGAACGCCGTAATTTTTTCGTTTTTGTCACAGGCTATATTGTAGCTGGGAGTTAGACGGTCATTTTGAGCACACACAGAGCCAAATCGGTGCAGCCGTCGTTTTTCCTTGTGCAAAACTGTGTAGCGATGCGAAATAAATTTAAAAGTTTGAGGTTATTTTTGAATTGTTTCGCAGATTTATTACGACAGTGACGCTTGAATACTGTTATATAATGGCTAGAGACGCTGTACGGATGAAAAAAATCGCAACTCAATGCAAATAGACCGATTTTAAAAAAACCATGAAAGAGTAGCGTGAATTTCTGGCTGAAATACATGAAAAAGCAGAAGTTTGTCAATATTAGAAGTTGTAGAGATGAAAGAGAGCTTTATCAAACGTAAAAATGATTATGTGCGCGATTGTTACGTCTTTTTTTGCCGTCAGAAATCTAAAGTGTCGCTGAAAGTGAGCTTTGTAGGCAAACTTCCGGCCACAAGGATCGAGTTTTTAGAATTGTAGAAGTGAGATAACATAGCGATAAAAAGAAAACTAAGAATATTTTTCAATGAGCTTCATTCAGTAATCAAACAAATTTAGTGTTCCGTTAAAAAAATTTTTTTGCTGGAGATTCCTGGTTTTTCAGTTGAATAGTGCTTTTTTTCTATTCGCGTGTCCGCCGCAATCCGATAAAAATGATGGGGAAAACCTGAAATCATTTATCGGCGAAGAAATAACTGTTCTTTTTTTATTCTAACCGCTACTCCGTGCCGCTCGGCAATTTCCACCAGCTTCGCGCCTTTCCAACTGCAGAAATTGTCGCAACGAGTCCTGAAAATTTAAATTTGAGTTTTTTGCAACAAATATTTAACGAAAAATTGCGTTTCGACATGTTTTAAAAGATAAAAACGAGAAAAAGATTTTAATTGCGAAACCAAAAAATCCAATAGTGCGCCAAGTGAGTGCAAGATGCGCCAGCAGTCTCCTTTGGTCTCATGTCCACGCTGTGACTCAGTGAACGCGGCGTTTTCACGAAAATTTCAATGTTTTCTCTGTTTAATGTCTTCTTTCGTCGATAGCAAACACAAAAATATCGGAAGTGCTGGAATTGCGGCAATTTTCAGAAAATGCGTCTCAGATTAGGCCACGCTCCTTTCTACACTTTTGGTCGCCGTGCGATTAGGTTAATTTTCCCAGTGATTCGGACTCGGCGAGAAAAGCAAACGAGAAACGCTCGTGTGAGTGAGAGCATGACGTCTCCGTCCTTCGCTCGGCAGGAAAGGGGGTGTCTCGTGGGGGGTCCAACCGGGATAAAGATCGGAGACGTAGACGGTCAGAGTGCACACGCCGTCTGCCTTCTCCTTCTATTCGTGCTTGCTTCTCCTCTCCCCCAACACACTTCGCTGCCGATATTCCCTTCGTACTAATGGCCTCTTCTCAGCAACTGCTTCCATTTTCAACCAAGGACACCGAAAAAGGATTGAAAATCAAAGAGAAATACAAACTAATTAAGCTCAGGCAAACCAATTTTCAAATTGAGCTTCATTTCGATTCAGCTCACTGGGATTTTTCTCGAAAGAATGAGGACGAAACATGGCAAATGAAAGGAGTGGACGGAAGAAAAACGAAGAATATCCAGGATGAAGACGTGGATGCGATGATGGAGGATATCGTCCGAAAGTACCTGAGCAAACCTGGAATCGAGATTCATGAGCTACAATTGATTGTGAGTGAAACAACATTTTCGTGATTTTGTCTGCGCTTTACTCAAATGCATTCATTTTCAGAATGTTTTCATCTGTCCTCTGCTCTTTTCTCAACTCAAAGTGAACCGTTTCATGGCATCTCTAAGGACTGCGGAGAGATATCCGATTGGATATCTTCGATGCTTGAATACAACTTCTATTACACATTTTTCTGTATATGATTTCTCTCAATCAAGGAGGGTTATCCGCGATGCCAAAGTGAGTGTTCTATTGAAAAGAAGACATTATAATAGTATTATTTATCAGTGCCTGAACTTGAATAAAATCTCTTACTATGCCTACTACCCGCAAAACCCCCGTTTGCTACTCGATTTTTCGTCTAAACAGTGGAGAGTCACAGAAGAATTCGAGAAGGGTTCGACGCCATTGATATTGGAAGCTTGCCAGGTTTTCAAATGATCCAATTTTCTTCATGAACTCTTTCAAACTAAGTTTTTTCAGAAAATACTGAAAGATCAGCCGGCGATCGGCTGTATTTACATAGCCTTTTGTTCAGATGAGGATGATCATGAAATGAAAAACTTATTGAAAATGATTGACGAAAAGATACCCGGCGGACAATGGAAATGGGAATATGGAGTGTGAGTCTGAACTATATTCTTCTCTTCACAGAGTTTATTTCTTTCAGAAAAGTACTCTGCTATGAAATGGAACACTCGGAAATAACGGTTCTGGTGCAACCGCCGGTAACAATGTGCCAATTTCCAGTAATAACAGCTTCAGTGGCCAAAAAGGGATCTGCTGTGAGTAGCTGAGATTTTATTTTCCTTGATTTCGATGTTTCTAGAAAAAAAGTTTCGAAGAACGTTGTTTTTCGCGGGCATAACTTGAGAAAACAAAAATTTTCAGTCTTCCACGATTTTTTTTTGATTAACAATCGAGTTGTGCACATTGGAGCACCAATCGTGCTACCGTAACCCGAAGCTGAGACCAAATATTGTGAATATGGGTCACTTATACTCTTATAAAATCTTTCTTTTGTACAGGTGTCTTATAGAGAATGAGTTATACATGACCCTTTGGTGAAATGATAAAAGAGAACTTTGAGTACTCGAATCAAATGTCAAATATTCTCATTTCAGAATGACAACATCATTATTATTCAACGATTCTGCCGTCTCCGATGGCAGATCGCTTCTTTTCTCCGGCCCACGTTCATATCGATACGGAATGCCGTCCGAAAAGTGATTCCTGGATTCGAAGGCTCCGCTTTCGACTGGATCCTCGTCAATTTGCCTGTAATCCCCGTATGGGTCGCTGGCTTTGTCATCACCGTTTTTCTTATTATCACGACCATACTACTAATTAAAGATTGTGTTATTGTTTTATTTAATTCTCTGTTTTGTTCTTAACATCCCCCCACGATTCACTATTCTTAGACAGTGTTATACCATATTTATTCGCATTTTTCACTCATCATTGTCTGCTATCATAAAGTTATTTCCCATGGTTCGTGAGGAAAAATGAGCGCATAATATTCTGAGAACGTCGGCGAGATCGTTCGTTCGCAATGTCAAAATGGATCTTTCAAACGATTCACGGCGACCAAAAACGTCGAAAGTGGCGTGGCCTAGCGGCGCGCACGGTTTATCACCATTTTGGCGCGAAATTCGAAATTTAACCCCATTTTTCATGTTTTTCGTCAAAAATTACCCAAATTTTGTACGATTTCGACGATGTAATTGCACAATAACTTTATTAAACTAATCATCGCGCACTTTTTGAGCTTAAAACGAGCAGGTTTCATTCAGCGAATGAATCAATTTAATCGATTTTCAAGTTTTGTGCTGAAAATGCGCGAATTTCAGTCATTCGCCGATACTTTTTGCCGTTTGAACGCTTAAAATACTTGTATTAACGTGCTTAATCACTTCCGACACTCACTTCGTCGCAAAACTATCCACATCGGCCGGCATGAAAATTCCGAAATTGCGGCGGCGATTGGCCGCGGACGGCGTATTGCGAAATATGCCAAAAACGTCTCAAACGCGCCGTTTTCACGAAAATTGCAATGTTTTCTCTCTTTAATGTCTTCTTTCATCGATATCAAACAGAAAAATATCGGAAAAGTGCTGGAATTGCGGCAATTTTCAGAAAATGCGTCTCAGATTAGGCCACGCTCCTTTCTACACTTTTGGTCGCCGTGCGATTAGGTTAATTTTCCCAGTGATTCGGTCTCGGCGAGAAAAGCAAACGAGAAACGCTCGTGTGAGTGAGAGCATGACGTCTCCGTCCTTCGATGGGCAGGAAAGGGGGTGTCTCGTGGGGGGTCCAACCGGGATAAAGATCGGAGACGTAGACGGTCAGAGTGCACACGCCGTCTGCCTTCTCCTTCTATTCGTGCTTGCTTCTCCTCTCCCCCAACACACTTCGCTGCCGATATTCCCTTCGTACTAATGGCCTCTTCTCAGCAACTGCTTCCATTTTCAACCAAAGACACCGAAAAAGGCTTGAAAATCAAAGCGAAATACACATTTATTGAGCTCAGGCGAGATGATCTTCAAATTAAGCTTCATTTCGATTCAGCTCACTGGGATTTTTCTCGAAAGAATGAGGACGAAACATGGCAAATGAAAGGAGTGGACGGAAGAAAAACGAAGAATATCCAGGATGAAGACGTGGATGCGATGATGGAGGATATCGTCCGAAAGTACCTGAGCAAACCTGGAATCAAGATTCATGAGCTACGCTTAATCGTGAGTGAAACAACTTTTTCGTGATTTTGTCTGCGCTTTACTCAAATGCATTCATTTTCAGAATGTTTTCATCTGTCCTCTGCTCTTTTCTCAACTCAAAGTGAACCGTTTCATGGCATATGTAAAGGGTACGGCTGTATACCCGATTGGATATTTTCGATGTTTGAATACAACTTCTATCACTTACTTTTCGGTTCTCGATTTCTCTCAAGCGAGGGATGTTATCGCCGATATTAGAGTGAGTGTTCTGTTCAAAATAAGACATTATGGTATTATTTATCAGTGCCTGAACTTGAATCGAATTGAATATTTTGCCTACGAACCGAATAACCCCAATTTGCTTATCAATTTTTCGTGTGAACAGTGGAAAGTCACAGAAGAATTCGAGAAGGGTTCGACGCCATTGATATTGGAAGCTTGCCAGGTATTCAAATGATCCAATTTCCTTCATGAGTTCTTTCAAACTATTTTTTTCAGAAAATACTGAAAGATCAGCCGGCAATCGGCTCTTATTACACAGCGTCTTGTTCAGATGAGGATGATCATGAAATGAAAAAGTTATTGAAAATGATTGACGAAAAGATACCCGGCGGACAGTGGAAATGGAAATATGGATTGTGAGTCTAAACTATATTCTTCCCTTCACAGAGGTTTTTTTTTTCAGTAAACTGCTCTGCTATGAAATGGAACACTCGGAAATGTTGGTTCTGGTGCAACCGCCGGTTACAATGAAGACATTCCCAACATTATCGACTTTAGTCATCAAAAAAGGAACAGCTGTGAGTAGTTGAGCTTTACTTTTTCTTAAACATATGAAAGTATTTTAAAAAAAAGTATTTATTCCGATTTTAAAAGTTTTCTGTTTAAAAATTCATGAATTCTGAGAATACAATTAGATGGTAATATGCCTTGAGTACTCGAATCAAATGTCAAATATTCTCATTTCAGAATGACAACATCACTATTATTCAACGATGCTTCCGTCTCCGATGGCAGATCGCTTCTTTCCTCCGGCCCACGTTTATATCGATAAGGAATGCCGTCCGAAAAGTGTTTCCTGGATTCGAAGGCTTTGCTTTCGACTGTATCCTCTTCTATTTGCCCGTAATCCCATTATGGCTCATTTGCTCTGTCATCATCGTTTTTCTTATTATCACGGCCATACTACTAACTAAAGATTGTATAATTGTTTTATTTAATTCTCTGTTTTGTTCTTAACATCACCCCACGATTCACTATTCTTAGACAGTGTTATACCATATTTATTTGCATTTTTCACTCATCATTGTCTGCTATCATAAAGTTATTTCCCATGGTTCGTGAAGAAAAATGAGCGGATCATCTCGCCTGAGCTCAATGAGTTTATATTTCTCTTTGACCTTTGAATTCCTTTCGAAAAACTTCAAAAACATTTGGTGAGGCGTTAGACCGGAGCGGAAAAGCCAGAATTAAAGAAGAAAGAAGAACGAAATTACGGAAGACGGAAGAAGAAATTTTTCCCGGAAGACGGAAGACGGAACAATGAATTCAACAATCTTCGCTAGTGCTTGAACTTTAAATTATTTATTGAATTCAACATGATTTTTCAAATTTTTTGCTTTTTTCCGAGACTCGACTTGAGAACTGGTTAATTTCTGCCAGGATGCCGGGAAATAGTCCTTCTCCTTCATTTTCGCCACAATTTGATCTTTCACTTCCGCTGGATCTCTACAAAAATTTGTTCAATTTCCCGAAAAAACAAGTTCAGTGGAGCGCACTTACATACCGATAATAAACTTGCGCGTTGTCCTTTGCCAAATACGCGAGCCACCAGCCGAACGAGCTCGTCGGCGCAGAATGACGTCACAGAATTTTCGGGAAAATGCCAAATCGTCGGCCGGCAACAGTCCGAGCGTCAGAATTGCCTGAGAAATTTGTTGAAATTCGTATCCAATCCCTCCCCCAGCCAAATTTTTTTAAAGACTGAATAGAAAAGTAAATTCTGTAAGGAAAAAATATTTTTCAGGGTGCTGGTAACGCGGACGATGCACGACAAAGGCAGGAAGAAGAACAATAAAAAGTTTCGGTGATATTGTAATAATGTTGTCGTGTGTTCGTTTTCATTGTGGAATAAAAACATTTTTTTTTTAAATAAATGCGGTAAAGACATAGATTTGCAGAAAAGAATAGAAGTAGTGGAAATGCCTAGAAAAGCAACGAGTTTTGGTCGATCGTTAAAAGTCTATATATGCTGGATAGTAGGTGAGGGCCAGTTCGGAGAGTAATATATTCGAAAAGAGGGTGAAATTTGCCGTCGATTAAAAAAAACGTGTCAAAAAATGTTGTCTGCAAGCCGAGTTATCCAATTTGAGATGACTTACAAAGACGAACTGAATTTTTGACGAACTGAGACCTCGAGGCACGCGTGGTCGACTGGCTAGTGAGGCTGTCCGTCAGAATGAAGGTGTAGAGTTCGAGCCCGGCGCCGGAAAATATTATTTTGTCCTACGGCTAATGAGTTTGGCTTACTTAATCTTTCCGTCTGCTCAACTCCGTCGGCGATGAAGCTCCGATGAGGAGGCTGTCAGCATAACTGTTCAGCTTCCTTTTAACTTCGTTTGGATCAGATAAAAGATAGTAATACGCATCGACGGGATCCTCTTCGAACAGCTCATCTTCATAGGTATCCACATTCTCTTCCTGTGCCGGCTCTGTCCACAGCTTGGACTCCAGCACGGACTCCAGCTCTTCTTATTTTCAAAGGAAATAATTGTTCGGCTCTAGTCTGATTGTGTGTGCCTATCTCTTTCTGTTTGCTAATCAGTGTTCGCGAAACAAAAGAGATCCTGGGCAAAGTGCCTTTAACATTTGGGTAACAGCAACATTTTTATGAAGTTTTGCGATACGAAACAACAAGGAACAATCAACAAACATCAACAACAAAAGAATAGATAACCAACAACAAGAGACGCTAACAAGAACAGTTAGACACCCATCGCGTAGACGTCCGCCTCTTCGTGCAGGAGCTCACGTCTGAGCTGGTCGAGGCGGCGGTGGACCTCGTCCTCTTCCCCGCCGCGACGTCTTCGACCAGTGAGCTGCTCCCACAGGTCGTTGGCCCAGCGGCCTCCGATCTGGACGGCCCACCAGAAGAACACCACGAGTACTCCTCGGCCGCGGCCCATCCACTCGCCGCATCTGAAGAAAACTATCGATGTTTTTAATTATTCCTAGCTCTGAGCACTCACTTGTTGTAGAATACAACCGCTCCAACAATCGCGAGTAGGTACACGACGAGGTCGTAAAACAGCACGATGTCGTCGCGTGTCACACCGTCAGCGATTCCTTCCATAATTCCTGCAAGACCGCCGTTTTGTGTACATTATTCCCTTTTTTGAATTAATGTTCACTTACGAACGAATCCTGGCATGTTTGCGTTGCTGCCGTCTTGCTCATCGGCATCCTTGTTGCAGCCACTCATCACCATTTTGTCCTGAAACAAGTAAATAATCAGTCGGAAAACGGTAGGAAATTTCAATTTTATAATTAGAACGAAGATTTTCTATAAAAAAGGCCTAAAATTCGAGAAAAAACCTAAATAATCAGTTGGAAAACGGTAGGAAATTTCAATTTTATAATTAGAACGAAGATTTTCAATTAAAAAAAAGCCTAAAATTCGAGTCACCTAAAAATTTGCTTGTGCAGTTGCTTACTGTTTATTTTCGTGTCGAGACCCGGTCCTGAAGCGGCATGCGCCTTTAGTTTCCTACAGTAGTCCCTTCAATTACTAAATGTTTCTTTGCACAGAATTTTTTCTCTCTAATCTCATAAGGGGGGAGTCTTATGATTTCCGCTGGTTCGGAAAAATTCTATTCAAAATTTTTGTCATAAGGGGGGGGGGGGGTCTTATGGTTGCCGCCAGGTCGGAAAATTTTTTTTTAGTTTTTCAAACTCCCCGCACCTATGGCTCCGCGCGGGCTCGCGAAGCCAAAGTTTGAATCAACTGTTTTGTACATTTTCAGAAACTCGTGCGCCTTTTGCTTTTTGACTCGTAAAGTACAACGGTGGATAGGCCAGGACCGGAAGGGCGCGGGTTGACGTGTCGCTTACCTGTGTTGTTGGTCAACACGTGCACGGGTTCATTCGCTTGGGAGTTCAGTTTGTAGAGAAACTGGTACCTGTAAACAATTGTATCCGGTTCAAACTGTATTTTACTCGGGAAGTTTGCGCCAACACTATTTGCTGTTTTTATGAGCCTAACAAGTAAAAGATGAAGTAGATGCCTCTGACCACGGAAATGATCTGGACGATGATTTTTCGAGAGGCTCGCTTTTCAGCCCGGCATCGCCCGGCTTTTTTTCCCAGCCCTGAAAAAAACTTACAGACATTTGCCCAGGAAAATCGAAAGTGCGAACACAGCCAGACAGCCAAACGGGATTGAGACTACCAATCCAAGGCTCCGGGACATTTCGAAACCGGACATTTCGAAACCGCGACATTTCGAAACCAGACATTTCGAAACCGCGACATTTCGAAACCAGACATTTCGAAACCGCGACATTTCGAAACCAGACATTTCGAAACCGCGACATTTCGAAACCGCGACATTTCGAAACCAATTCAGTACAAGTATTAAAAATTCAAAAAAACCGCCATATTCGCAGTATGGACAGTAATTTTTCATATTGTTCTGTGTTTTTGTCGAACATTCTTATTATTTTCGATGATCCGCTTGCTGGAAATCGTATTTGTACAGAATAATGCCGAAAAGAGCACTCCGCCCGTTATATCCGCACAACGGATTTACAATGAGACCTGTCAAGCTCCTGGCCGACGCGAATAATTTTGTCAAGTTATACCGTATATAACTTATACGTTTGTGTTAGTATAAATAGTCCGAAATCATAACTAATTGCTAAAATACACTTAACATGCATTTCTACCGCGAATTTTGCGGTTTTTTGAATTTTTAAATACTTGTACTGAATTGGTTTCGAAATGTCGCGGTTTCGAAATGTCTGGTTTCGAAATGTCGCGGTTTCGAAATGTCGCGGTTTCGAAATGTCTGGTTTCGAAATGTCGCGGTTTCGAAATGTCCGGTTTCGAAATGTCGCGGTTTCGAAATGTCCGGTTTCGAAATGTCCCGGAGCCCAATCCAAGGCACTGGAAAATAAATAATTACTATTAGAATTAGCCTTTGATACCATACCAGGACGCGCTCCTTCACAGACAATTCATCGCCTCCTGTGGCATTTTTACACATGCTGAAGGCATCGCTGGTGTTGAACATAGACGCTAATATTAGCAGCTGTACAAGTCTCGACGGCCATTTCTGAGTCGTTTACAACAACGTTGGTCAAGAGACCAATTGAAGTCGGTGGCCCGGATATCATGCCAAACTTATTTAATTCGCCCAAGTTTCTGAAAATGGAATTAGGAAAAGATGTCGAGTGTACATTTCTCGCTAATCCGATCAAATAGTGCGCCGCTCGTTTCCACTATCGTATTTTCTGTCTTCCACGCGGTTTTTCTAAAGTTCTCGCCTTGTTTTTTGTTTCTAATCTGAGTTTGAATTAAATAGTCAATTATTTCATCGAAATATCTGTTATTTTTACTCTTTTTTGTTGCTTATTCTCAATAGAAGTATGAGTTGATGCCGAAACTGTTCCGAATTAAGAAATTCGTTGAAAAACTCCGGGGAAGTACGATTTTTAGAGATTCACAGAGTAACAAACCTCCATAATGAACTAATGAACCATAAAGATATTCCCTTTTCTAGCCTAAAACTTACAACGACGTACTGAGCCAACTCGAGCTTTATCGATCCGGCGACTTGCTTCATGGCCTTGGTCTGGGCAGCAGATCCGCGTCCGAGAAGATCGTCTCCGACTGGAACGTCGGCGATGACCTTGTCGTTATCGAATACGACAACTCCGACGTTGTCAACGGTCATTCCGCGGGCGGTGGTGGCCATTACCGGTGATTTGGGCCTGCAAATTAACATTTCATCAGTTGATAACAAAAAAATCGATAATTCAGGCCAGAAAATTCGAAAAATCAATGAATTCCGGAAAAAAACGCTGAAAAACTGTAAAGAACGGTTACAGTTTCAACGGTATGTTTTGAATTGTCGCAATTTTCGAACAGACGGTAAATTTCAATGAAAAAGAAAGAAAAACGCGAAAATTTCACATTTTTGGGGGAAATTTTTCCGGAAACCTTTTCCGGCAGAAATTTGTCAACTTTCGAACTAATAAACGGTAATTTTCGCGTTCCGAACATAAGAATTACAACGAAAAGCGATTAATCAAGTCTTAAACTGAGGAGAAAAGCGGCGAAAATGGTCAACATTTCGAAACGGCAAAGTGTAAAGAAAAGACTATTTTTTGCAAAATTGCATCGTTTTGTGGTAAAATCGTGACGAAAATGGAATGAACGAATTTTCAAAACGATTTTGAGTGGAAAAAAGTAAAAGAAACTATGAAAAAAGCGCGGGGGAGATCAATTGGGCAAAAAGGGAAATTCGCTGGCGTGCGAGAGTACGGTAGAAGATCTTGCAATTGCGAGTAGATCAAATTTGAAATTGGCGGGTCTGGAGCGAGCGAGTGTTGCCGTTGAGCTCAGAGACCATATTTTTCTGTCAACTTTTTTTTTAAAACGGAAGCTTATTGAATTTCAAAATTTTTGATAGAGTCAGATTTTCTATTCAAATTTTCGTTTTCGAGTAATTGTTGAAAAACCTTCCGAGGTCCAGATTGCGCAACCGAGAGAACAAAAGTGCCACTGAGGTCGTGAACGTGGAAGAAGACGTGTAAAAAAAAAAATTACGACACACTTTCCTAGTAATCGTCGTGGAGCTTCATTCATGATCGATCATTTTGTAGTTACTAGGCCCGAAACAAACTTCGCTTGTGCTTGAACTTTAAATTATTTATTTAATTCAACATGATTGTCCAAATTTTTTGCTTTTTTCCGAGATTCGACTTGAGAACTGGTTAATTTCTGCCAGGATTCCGGGAAATAGTCCTCCTCCTTCATTTCCGCCACAATTTGATCCTTCACTTCAGCTGGATCTCTACAAAAATTTGTACAATTTCCCGAAAAAACAAGTTCAGTGGAGCGCACTTGCATACCGATAATAAACTTGCGCGTTTTCCTTCGCCAAATACGCGAGCCACCAGCCGAACGAGCTCGTCGGCGCCGTGAGCAGAATGACGTCACAGAACTTTCGGGAAAATGCCAAATCGTCGGCCGGCAACAGTCCGAGCGTCAGAATTGCCTGAGAAATTTGTTGAAATTCGTATCCTAATTTGTTTCTCGTTTTTACAGTATAATTTGGCGACGATTCGGGCGTCATTACGTCGGTCGGCGGCAGAAAAATACTAGACTTTCCTAATTTATCTGCAAAAATGTCCGTTCTGCGCCTTTAAACTTCTCTACAGTAATCCTGTCGTCGCGAAATTCAAATTTCGTACCGTAAAATAAATCGTGCGCCCAAATCGGGCCGTTTCCCAATAAAGCCACTGTAATATCTGTGTTTTCTTGTGATTGATCTAAAAATTGTTTTATAAATGTTTTTAAATTGAAAAGAAATGTGCACATTTTTTCACCAGAAAATCGGTGGCCGCCCGTGTGAAAAACGGGTCGGAAGGCTTTGAAATTCCGGCGTCGACGACTTCTTTTTGTTTTGTGTGCGTACAAATTCTAAAATTTCCCACAAAAATCAATAAAATTCACTATTCAGCGTAGCTCACAAAAAATTTCCGCGAAACTCTTCCGGAATGATCGCTTCGGAGCGGATCGAATTTTGCGGTTTTGGCCGCAAAAATTCACGAATTTCCGATCGATAATGGTTGAAATATTTGAAACTCTGAAGATTTTCGAGGAGAAAAGTGCAGTGGAGCGCACTTGCATACCTGGAAATAAACGCCGTTGAGAAGCACGTGTTGGGGAATCAATTCGGCCGATTTCGGCGGCGTTTCGTGCACACAACAATAGCGAATGTTGAAATTTATGGAAAACGCGTCGGTGAGCTTCAATTTTTTGGATTTTTGACGCCGAAAAACGCCAACAAACCTGCACATTGATTTCTTCGAATTTCTCGCCAAACTTCGGAAAATGCTCTCTAATCTCTCTCATCCGATCGATAATTTTCGCGTCTTTGATTCCGTTCAGAATAGGAACCCTTCCGAGCTGTCGAGCGAGGCCGAAAAGAGCCGAGAGCTCGAAGAGCATTTGGCCGACGCCGCGATCTTTTGCGAATGTGAACATGGGAATCTGGAGGGTCTTGCGCTCGTCCGGCGGCTTTTGGAGCGGTAAAATCGGCAAAAACGGCACGTTTTTCAGGTCCTGCAACGAAGTTTTCGGGAAGAACCGTGCAATTTCTCAATGGAGCGCACTTGCACACTCACCGACATTTTGTACCCGTTCAACAACAGTTCTCCCTTCTTTTCATCGCAATTTTTCCGGCCCTCTATCATAAAATTGGTCAAACTAACACTTCTGGATATGATCAAATAGACAAAAATGCAAAAACCTGGAAAATTACAGGATTACTGTAGGTACAGTATCCCCAGAAAGTTACCTAATAGGAAAAAGAGAAGGAAATTGATAAAATTCGATTTGGCCGAGCGCATTTCAACGGTAACACAATATACAATAGTTCATGGACGTTTCGCTCGTTGGGCACATTTATTTGAATAGCTGTGCTTGCTGGAAAAGGTGTGCAAGTGCGCTCTATTGAGAATTTCGCTATTTTGGAGATTTTAAAAAATGAGAAAAAAAGAATGTTTTTCTTCAAACTCAATTATCAAATTATAGCAAATTTCATGCTGATCAATTTTGTCTCTTGACACTTTAACCTATCTTTGCTAGTTCTCGAGATATACCCAAAACTAAGCGATTCTCAATAGAGCGCACTTTCAACAATACAATATCGGTAGCGAAACAATAAAATACTCATGTTACTATGATATATTATTATTATTATATTATTAGTCCGTGTAATCCATCGGGTAAAACCAGTCGACCGCCCGTTTTCCGTACATCGTCATGTGTCCATTTAATCGCCAAACATCGGGCCCCAAAACTGTGTATTATCGTCTTTTTGTACGTGATTAGCCCGCAGATAAACTCGTCGCTTTCTCCGCGAGCACAACTTGACAGTAGCGGCGGCCCGACTGACTGTTTGCCACTTTGCCTCCTCCGTGGGACGGTAAATACTTGCGCGCCGCCCGTAACCAAAAGACATTCACTGCTCCTTTTATTTGTTGTTATTATTACTCTCTCCGAGATTACTACTATAGTTGTGGTCCGATTCAAAACTAGTTTTGTGCCGAAAATTTGCGTTTTCCCCGCTAAAAACCGTCGTTTTTTTATTTTTTTTTAATTTTCGTCCGTCGACGCATTTGCGCTCCAATGCGAATTCTGACTAGTCGGCGAAACGTCACGAATTTCCAGAAAATGTCGCTGGAAGAGCGAGAAGTGGAAATCGAGGGATTCTATCCGAAACAAGTGATTTGGGGCCGAAAAGTGCTCACTTTGGACACTTTTTACGCGTCACAATGCCGCGGAATCACGAAAATCGTCTGTATTGTATGTGAACGCGCAGAGGAAACGCCAATTTTTTTTTTTCGAATTTTTCAGGCCATGTGCTTTTTCGCCGTCGTTTTGGTGTGCGCGAGTCAGCCGGTGAACGACGAGCGCGGCCCCGCCCTCTTTTTCTGTTTTTTCGGAATTGTCGTCAGTTTCGGTGTACTTTTGGAGTACACGTTCATGTTGAACACGAAAATCACGGCCACGTGCGGCTTCGTAATGGTATGTGTGTGAAATTGCGTCGCCGGCGATTAAAAATGGCCTGGAAAAAGCTAGGCCACCCCGAATAACCGTTTTTCAGGAAGCCCTTCTGTACGTGACCATTTCCGTCGGTCTCCTGGTCTCCGCCATCCTTATGTGGGTTTTCTGCGCCGCCCATTGGGCCGACATGAATCCCGATTGGGCGACAATGCCCTCGCTGGCCACGGTACGCATTTTTAGGCTCAATTTTTCGATTAAAACCCTTAAAATTGAGCATCCACCGAAAATTGCGAGATTTTTCAACGAAAAACATTTCGAATTACTGTAGAAAGTACGTTTTCAACTATTTTTCACTGAAATTCCAAGAATTAAGAATTAAGGAACGCAAAATCCCTGTTTACGATAAAACTTATTTCATAAAACAATTCCATTCGTTTTAAGACCCAAATCTGTAATTTCCAAGCGTTCAGGCGGCGCTCTTCCTCTGCTCGGGCCTCTATTTCGTCGAAATTTGCATTTTGCTCAACGACGCGCGTCGCTGCAGCTGGAGACCCCCACAGAATCAGCCGATCGACACCGTCCTGCCACAGTAATCCGTCCTTCCGTCCTCCAAAACGGCTCTTTTCCCGCTCTTTCTCTCCGCCTTCTCACTATCCCACACTCTTTCTTCGTCCCACTGAATAAATAATGTTTGCCGTCGTTGTCGCACGTCTTCTTTGGCCGCGCGGAAGCGGAAAACGGCAGATGCCCGCGCGGCTCACGGTGAGAGACACGTTGCGCGTGCGATGAGCGGCGAGAGACGCAGACGCTCACGCTTAAAGGCGCACGTTGTTCGGCGGCCGACGGGTCTCGCCGCGACACGACATTCACTCGTTCTGTTCGATTTTTCATTTTCCCGCCGCCCCGTTCGAACGTCTTCGCCGTTCTGCCGTTCGTTTTCCGACGTTTCTATCGATTTTTTGCCGAAAATCTGTTGTTTACATTATATTTAAACCATTTTTTGTGTATTTTACTCGAAAATTGCTCGGTTTTTCGTGTAAAATAGGCGGAAAACGGCCTATTGCTCTGTCCCCTCCTCTTGGCGCCTTTTTCGAATTATTTAACTGTTTTGTGTATTTTTGAAGTAAATACTCGTATAATTTGTTAGAATTCCTATGCGAAACGTGTCAGCTCAATGATTTTGATTGGCTTATTCCGTGTATGTACTTTTTCGGTTTTTTACGTCAAAAAACGAGAAAACCTTCAATTTTTCTCACATTTCGCGCTTTTTTCTTTCAGTACTCGCAATGAGTGAGGAAATTAAACAAGAAGTCAAGGAGGAAGCTCCAGAGGAGATAAAAACCGAAGCTTCAGCGGCGACTGCATCGGCCACAACGACCGACGCTCCAGAAGCGGCGGCCGCCACGTCGGAAGTGGCTCCAGGAGCTGCGGCCACTATCGCACCAGCCGAGGGCTCGAATGGCGCCGAAACTGCCGCTTCCAATGACAACGGAAGCGCTTCGGATGCCCCAAGCGTGAGTTAATCGTTCCAGTGTCTGTTCCAGAATTCAGCTCGTTTTTGCAGAAATACGCCGAAACAGAAAACTACAAAAAGTTGATCAGTTTGAAAATGAAGCCGCCCGTCGCGGATCTCGTTTGCGAGATCTACGAGTCGGGTCTGCTCGGTCCCGAAGACCTCGACGACCGCGCCGTCGACATTATCAACTCGGTGAACGTCGACCAGGCCAAATTCATATTCACCGAGATCAAAAACTCGCAGCTGTTCGGCGTGGCGACCAAGTCGCTCTACGTCACCTCGCTCATCCGATCGTTCAAGGATCGCGTTCGTCAGCAGGGCGCCGCGTCGGCCACCTCCGGCAAGCTCATTAACGGACCCGACGTCGAGACGCTGAAAAAGTTGCTCGCCGACTCGGGCTACAGCATCGAGGTGACGATCGGACAGCGAAAGTACGGAGGACCGCCGCCCGGATGGGAGGGACCGGCCACTGGACCCGTCGGTCAGGGCCACGAGGTGAGATAAGGGGTCCACGGGGTATACACACAAAAAATGTTCGCCCAACGGTTGTTGACGAAGTAAAACACGTTGTCTTCAAATTTGCAAATGTTCTGTTCAGATCTACGTCGGTCACATTCCGACCGACATTTTCGAGGACACGCTCGTGCCGTTGTTCGAGAAAAGCGGCAAAATTTGGGATTTGCGTCTCATGATGGACCCGCTGTCGGGCGCCTCGCGCGGCTACGCCTTCGTCACCTACTGCCAGAAGGAGGACGCGGCGGCGGCGGCAAAAGAGGTAAGTACGGTGGTTGGTGGAAGTTACTGCCCGCCTCCCGCTAGGTGCCCTGCCCTACAATGCGTTCAAGCATTTTGGACACTTTCTCTCACACCAATTTCTCTCCAAAAACCCAAAAAACAACGCATCCTTTAGTATGACGGCCACGAAATTTCGACTGGAAAACCACTCAAAGTGAACGTGTCTATCGCTAACACTCGCCTCTTTCTGGGAAATATTCCGAAGACGAAATCTAAAGACGAAATTCTTGAAGAGCTCAAGTCTCATGCAGGTACAGCCCACCCGAAAATTCCATTTTGCAACCGATTTTAGCGACGAAAATCGAGAAGGCGAGAAAAAAAGACAGTTTTTTTCGTCCATTGTGATGTGGTCCTCTTTTTTTCTCTCGATAATATAATCTCTATTTTCTGGCAGAGTCCGTCCTATTTTCTCGCATGCTTCATTTCTGTTCTTCATTTTTTGTGTAAAGATCGCCGTGATTTCAGAGGGCGTCACTGACGTCATTGTCTATTCTGTGCCAGACAACGAGAAGATTCGCAATCGTGGCTTCTGTTTCGTCGATTTCATCGATCACAAAACCGCGTCGGACATTAAGAGGAAGATTGCGCAGCACAAGGTATTCGGAGCGACTTTTGAATCCCCCGAAAACACGCGAAAACTCTGTTTCAGATCCGTCCGTTCAACGCCGACGTCTATGTGGATTGGGCGGAGCATCAGGAGGAGCCCGACGAGGACACTATGTCGAAAGTGAAAGTGCTCTACATCCGTAACATCAAGGAAGCGGTGACTGAGGAGAAGCTCACCGAGCTCTTCAAAGAGTACGGCGGTCTGGAGCGCGTGAAAAAGGTCAAAGACTACGCGTTCATCCACTTCAACGAGCGCGAGGACTGTCTGAAGGCGATGGAGGCGTGGAACGGAAAAGAGCTCGAGGGCACCGTTGTGGAGGCGTCGCTCGCAAAACCGCCACAGGAGAAAAAGAAGAAGCCGGTGATGCGCGGACGCGGATTCTCGAGCCCCGGCATGTTCAGCGGAAATCAGGGACAACGCGGAAGTCATCGTGGAGGTGGAGGCGGTGGAAATCAACATCAGGGCGGTGGTGGTGGCGGATACGGAGGATATCCCAACCAGTACGTTTTTCTCAGACGATGAAGTCAGCTGGAAACTCGCTTTAAAATCAAGGTTGTGCGTAGAGCAACGAGATCTACACCGAGATCGCCGAGATCTACAAACTGATGTGTTGTTCAACGCACAACTTTGATTTTGAAGCGAGTTATAAGCCAGCTAGAAATTGGCCCACTGACAAGTCCGCCTTTTTCAAACTTTCCAGAAAAACTGTATTTTTTGCAGCTTCAACAACGGCTACGACATGCCGATGCCGTGGGGCGGCGGCGGCTACGGCGGAGACTTTGGCGGTTATGGTGGCGGCTACGGTGGATACGGAGGCGGCGGATACGGTGGCGGCGATTTTGGTGGTGGCTACGGCGGTCCCGGTGGATTCGGCGGATTCCGAGGCGGAGCACGCGGATCACCTCGCGGCGGACGAGGCGGAGTCGGCGGCGGCGGTCCGGGCGGACGCGGTGGAATGTAAGTGGAGGCGTGTGCAAAAGAAGAAGAAAGTTTAAAAAAACCTAAAAAGGCGTTCAGGTCGAACAGACGCGGTCGCGGCAAGAGACCGGGCGACGGGCGCGGCGGTCCGGCGTCGAAGAGGGACAACGGGAAACCGGATTTTTCGGCCGACGTCAACATGAGCACCTTCTGAGCAACCCGTTCTGATATATAATTTATTCGTGTCTCTTTATTTTTTTTTGTCATTTTATTATACTTTTCTATTATTTGACCCTCCTTCTCCCTCTTTCCTCACGACCTCAACACAGTTCACCGATGCTCTTTTCCGAACAATTGGCACTGCAAAACAAAAACTTTTTGGAAAAGTTTGGTGGTTTTATACACACGCACACGCACAAAAAGACTGAAAACTTTGTTTTCTCCTGTTAATACGTATCTCTTCTACTCTTCCGCAAAATTATCCCCCTCCCCCTTCCCTCCCCTTCAACACTGTTTTATTCGCTCTCCTTTTTGGCGGTCCTCTACTTCTCAACTTTTGATTAGAGACCCCCCAATTCTCTCATCTCTGCTATGCCCCGCCCCAATTTATATTCCCCACCAAAAACTACACACCCGCACTGGATTGTTTCATTTTTCTGACAACATTGAATTCGAGTGCATTTGCGCACTCGTCTCCACGTTTGTTTTGTATTTTAATAAAATGAAAACAGTGCCCCCCAAAAAATCGGAAAAAATTGTGAATTTCCTGGAAGTGTTCCCAATTCTCATTTTTTTTGTTGTTCAATTTTCCCCAGACGCCCTTTTTTCCCCTCTCGATTTTCAGGCTCACGTGTGGCGGCGATCCGATGAGAGATGAGGAGAAGAAGAAGAAGCGGTAGGAACAGAAGAGCCGTCCACACATTCAGGCCACGCCCCCTTTTTGCAGCGCCAGTTGCAGATTCAGTTTTCTGAGCACCGCCACCACTTCGTCGTGGAGCACCGCCATCGAGCAGCTCAATTCGACGTATGGCAGGTAGCATTTGGATTTTTTGTTTGTGATTAAAAAAATGGAAAAAAAGCTCGAAATGTTTCGATTTTTACTGTCAAACATTGTTCGTTTGTGACTTTCCTTGTCAAAAAAGGCACGCATTTTTGTGAAAACATTTTGGTTCCGAGCACAATTATATTATCGAGTTCAGCGCGAATGAAAAAAAAAGATCCATTAGCAGATTCTTATCCCTTTTCCTCGCCCCGTAAAAAGGTTTTTCTCTCTCATTTCGAGCTCTCGAAACGGGCGGCTCACTTCTCTCTCTCACTCTCTCTCTTTTTGGCCACGCCCACTTTTTCCACTTCTTCTTCTTCTTCTTCTTCGTCTCCTGAAATTTCCACGTCATTTCGGCTCCGAAATGTGCTCATTTATGTCGATATTCTGTCTGAAATTGTTCGGAAAACGAACGCCCCGCGAAAATGACTATCAACTGTACGTTTTTGTTTTCGGCGAAAAATGAATGAAAATGGACACTTTGCAACTGGAGTATCTGAATTTTTTAAAATTGGGACAACCCGGCTGCAATCAGTTCAACTGGGAACATTGCCAATTTTCTCGGTTAGACACATTGCAACCGAGTTGCGAAATGTACCAGCTCCAGAAAATTCATGTCTTCCGGTTGCGAAACGTCCAAAACGTTTGTTGTTCTTGAGACTACAAATTGAGAGTGATATTATCGTTGCCTCTGTCTTCAAACTTCAGAAGACGTCAACGGGTTTCCATGCTTTTGTTCCTCGAAAATGGTGAACATAACATAAATTCCATGGCCAACTATAGAAAATTTAGCGAATTTTCACCTGTTTTCCACAAACTTCTCGACTCCGGCTCATTTTGAGGCACTTGAAAGTGTTGTTGATGTTTAGAACCGAAAAAAAGCTATTTTTAGGAGAAAACTTGCAACGAAATTGGTGATTTTGACCAGGGTTGGGCAAACTTCGGCCCGGGCTTTTTGTAAGCTTTTTGAGGCGTGGACTTCTGACCCACTTGCAATAATCCGATCGGGACCAAACTTTGCAAACCTCTTGGACTTGGATTGGAGTACATTGGGTTCAAGTTTTGGACCGATCCGATCATCTCGTCCCGAGATATACTGGTTTGAATAATCAAAAGCGTCAGCTCCTTTTCCTGACGTCATCAAGTGTCTCTGGCTTGATTTATGGCGAGTTTTTGGGAGAAAAAACGAAGCCAAATTGTATTAAAATTTTGCTTGAAAATGCATTGGTGAACACTAGAAACTGTTCTAATTTTTCTGAAAACGGAGAGGAAAAACAGGAACTCATAAAACGTTTCACTTTTCGCCGACGCGGATAATACCGGATTACCCGGCCGACGGCGTTTTTGATCTACGCCAAAAATTTCAAAAATGCTCATACTTTTCCCGCCTTTCCCGCTTTCGAAACGACGAAAAGAAGAACAGTTTCTACTGCGCAAAAGCGTGAAAAAAAGGAGAAACGTGGTGACCTTTCGGCTCGTGACGGCCCTTGTCAGTGCCGTGTCCACGTGGATGTTGTTGTTGTGTTCGGACTGTTGCGGGTCAGTTTTTTGATTTTTCTTCTGCGAAACAGACGCAGAAATCTAATTGATTATTTTCGTTTCTCTGCGTCTCCGTCCGACGTCTTCTGATAGCAAGAAAAAGAGAGAGAGAGAGAGAGAGAAAAAGGCGGAATTTCGTCCCAAATCGCCATCAAAATCAACCTGTTCATCATCTGCATCTTTCCATCATTTTCCAACCGATGTTCAGTATTTCGCAATCGGCCGTCGCCGCCGCCGCCGCGCCCGCATCCACGTCAGCAGCATCGGAGCCCCCGCCCGAAACGCCACGCCCCCTCTCGATCCAGCACAAAATGAGCCGCCATCGATCACGGTACATCGGACTGAAACGGTGCGGACACTGCCGACGCTTCCTCATGCAGTTTATGGTCAAAAAGGAGGAGGTGTACGCGTGCGATGTTTGTGGGTGAGTACACGATTTTTTTTTATGATTGTTTAATCTATTGTGTAATTTGACGATTTTCTGTATTTTTCGACGAAACGTTATGAAAAACGGAAAAGCGGAAAACGGGGAAAAAGCGGATTTTGTTTAGACTCTCACAATTTTCGCAACCGAACGATTCGCAACCTACACTGTGCGTTGAAAGCGTAGAGACTTCAAAGTTTTTGATGTACTAGCGAGTTGCGAAAAACGTAGCGGTTGCGACAGTGGTGAAAGCCAAAAATGAACGAAAAATGATGTGAAAAGAAGCCAAATCAATGCAGAAAAATGGCGTAGAATTCTAGAAAACGCGAAATGACAGTAATCCTGCTGATATTCGCCGGCATAACCTCGTCATGGATGTCCCGATGGGCAACACTGTAAGCCCATGTCGTTTTTGTGTTCTTCGCACAATTGTCGTCGATGTATTATTATTGCATGACAGAATCGGTTCTTTTCCCTATGTGTCCACTAAAACGTCTTAAAAATGTTTGACGACTTTTCCTTGAACATTTCCCCATTTCCCCCAATTTCTTTTCGTTTATCTTGTCTGAATTCCGTGAAAATTAACGGGAACGTACCTGGGTGAGCTTGAGTTTGCATTTTGACGGTGATTTTTTTGGAACGCGCGGCGGTTACAGAAGAAAAAAAAGCGGTTCACTGGTTTGTGTCTGCGTCTCGCACTCTCTCGCCGTTTGCATTTTAACACCGTTCAAATGCAAACTTCGCCTATTACAGCGCTCACCTATCCCGTTGCGGGAAAATGTTCTTTAAAAAAAATATATATATAATTTTTCCAGAGTGCGAGTGCACGAGGGATGCATGAAACTGCTGATGACGAGCTGTCTGATAACGACGCAGTACGTCGGGGGGCTCGTCGAATCGGCCGTCATGCGCAGCAACCGCGACAAGTGGGAGGCGAATCCGCGCAAAACGACGGCGTCGACGACGTCGCCGCCGACTCCCACACATCTCCAGGCGTCCGTCTCCACGCCACAATCGCCCGTCTCTCTTAACAGTCAGTTTTTGCTTGTTTCAAGATTCTTCTCTGGCTTTTCTTGGAAAAATTGAAATTATATGGATTGTTCATGAAAGTCCCAAACAAATCAATATTCAAAAGGGAAAAATGTGAACATTTTGCAGAAAATGTAAATAGTGAAATAATGACGACGACGTCGGGTGCGATGTCCGTGGAAGAAGGAGCCAGAACGGACCTGTCGACGTTCCTGGATGACGATCTGGAAAAGCAGATGACGTGGGAGGACGTGACGATCCGGCCGGAAGACGTGCAAGTGCGCGGACGGGTCGGCGAGGGCCGCTTCGGAAGTGTTCACTACGGACACTACCACGGAGACGTCGCCCTCAAATTCATCAATATGGCGTTTGTCGAGGAGCCGGAGAGACGCGTCGAAATGTTCAAGGCGGACGTCGTCACCGCCTACAAGGTACGCAAAATTCAATTCTTTTTTGTGACACATGAAGCCGTGTCGCTTCGCTTCGGAAACCTTACACCCACTTCGAATCTAGACTGAATAATTTGCAGAATTCGCGGCACGACCACATAGCGCTGTTCCTCGGCTACGTGGCGGATCCGTCGTCGAACACGTACGCGATCTGCACGAACTTCTACCACCACAAGACACTCTACCACCGGATCCACGAGGCGACGGCCGAAGACGTCGAGGTGACGTGGGCCCTCTCGATTTCCCTGCAAATATGTCAGGCGATGTCGTATTTGCACAAGAAAAAGATTTTGCACAAGGATTTGCGCTCGAAGAACATTCTATTGGATAAGCCGAACCGGGTGGTCGTCGCCGACTACGCTCTTTTGCGGCTCGAACGGATGGCGCAGCCGAAGAGGAACTACTCGTTGATGGTCCCGAACCACTGGATCGACTACCTCGCGCCGGAGATCGCCGCCAATCTTTTTATTGAGGACGACGAGGTCGTGCAGACCGAACTGCCCTTCAGCCCCGAATCCGACGTCTTCTCGTTTGGGTTCGTTTGCGCTTCTTTTTTTTGTTGAAAATTTATCTCTCGACCCGCTAGCAATAATCCGATCGGGTTCAATTTTATACTGGTTTTAGGCCGAAAAGGCCGAGTTTCGGCAAAAATAGCCGCCTTTTCGGCGTATATCTCGGGATCTCTCGGACCCAGAATACTTCAATCCAGGTCCAAGAGGCCTGCAAAGTTTGGGCCCGATCGGATAATTGCAAGTGGGTCAAAAGCCTGTTTGAACTGTTTTTCTAAATCTTCTAAATTTGCAGCACGATCTTCTTCGAGCTGCTGACCCGTAAGATGCCGTCGGGATCGATGCCGTGGGAGCAGAAGGTGTACGAGAAGCTGATCGGCACGAAGGCGGCGCTGTCGCGTCTCGACTCGCAAATGCAACGGATCGACACGTCGCTGACGCTGCTGCTAATGCGCTGCTGGAATTTCAACGCGGCGAACCGTCCGACGTTCGCGTCGATCGTCAAATCGCTGACGGTCCTTTTGCGACGCAAAGAACCGTCCGGACGGAGGTCGACGGCCCACGAGAATCCGTATTAAAACACAAAGACATGTTCCATTTCATAATCATATCATAGTTTTATCCGCCCACACATTTTCATCATCATGTTCCATTTTCCCATCCAATTTTTATCCGCGTTTTGCCAACCGTTTTACCACTGAAAATTGTATTTACACAATGATTCCTCTCAATCGAAGACGCCTACAAATTAATCAGAATATTAATGTTTTAGTACCCAATTTCTTGGGGAATGTCCCCCTCGCGCCCACGCATTCCCATTCCTGTGCCATGTAGTCAGACGAGTTTTATATGTTACAGAGCTCCCAGTGCATTCGCTTTTTCCGAAACACCCAAATTATTATTATTGTAGTTATTTCAATTATTTCCCACCCGCCCGCCCGCCCGCCTCTCGCATCCTCTATACCATGCAATTTTTCCAGATTTTTACACATTTTTTTCGCCCACCCCAAAAAGGGGAAAATTCTGAAAGCGTTCAGAATGAGACACACGAATGAAGTTGATTTTTTAGGAGTTTTGCGTAAACATTTGCAGACCGGTTTCGAGCCATTTTCATCCCTTTTTTGTTTTCGGTTTTGGAAATCATTCACAAGGGGAGAAAAGGTTTTTCGGTGTGCACAGCAGAGTCCCCCTCTAAAAAACCAAAATTTCCAGATTGTTATAAACCTCCAGATGAAGAAGACGACGATTTCAACAGATGCGGCGGTGATAATCAAGCCGCCGCGTCGCATAATTCTCGGCAAAAAGACACGTGGCCGCCTGACGGATCTCGACATTTTCGGCGATTTTCTGGAGGCCTTTTGCCACGTGGCAATCGAAAGATGCTCGCCGCCGCCGCCGCCACCGAGCAGCTCGGACGCCGATGATGCCGCGTGGCAGACGGCGGGCAAATTCGGCGCCGATTACGAATTCCGAAAATGCGCGCGGCCGGAGACAATCCGCCACGTGGCAGAGAGCTGCCAACTCGCGAAACAGTACCTGACGGCGCGGAGGTTGTACGCTTTCGAAGGTACGGTTGAACAACAATTGCGGCGCGAATTCAAATTTCAACCCAAATTGTCACATGTTTTCCGCACAAAATTACCCAAATGCAGAACAAAATCTGTGAAATTGAAGATTACGCACATTTTGCGCCTCAAACGAGCAAATTTCATTCGGAAATGAAAGAATTGAATGCAGGTGGAACGCTCTCTAAATCTTGTAGTTTTGCAGTGAGCATGATCACTCCGTCCGAAACGCAACTGCTCGGCTTCCGAATCACTGTCAGCCAGTTGGAGTACGCGCCCGAACGGTAATTTCCAATTGAATTCGAATTGTTTCAACAAGAATTTTTGAAAAAGTTCACGTGTTCTTAATTTCTCCGTTTCCACTTTTTCCGTTTAAAAAACGAAAAAAAAATGACCGGACGAACGGAGAAAGAAAGAAACGGACAGACCCCGCTAGAATTGTATTTAACACGAATAATGATGATGATGATGATAATACACCTTTTTTGCAGAGAACGAGTCCGGAAAATCTACGCGACACTTTCGGCGATTCTGGAAAATGTGCGAACGATGGAACTGCCGGAGCTCACCGACGCGCAAATGTTCTCGACCAGTTCGTTTCCGTTTTTTAAAGCTTGCCTCGACTTTTGGCCCACTCGCAATTATCCGATCGGGCCTAAACTTTGCAAGTTTCTTGGAATTGGATTGAAGTTTTCATATCGGCCTCTGATGCGATCAATCTGAAACTCGGACCCAGAATACTTCAATCCAAGACCAAGAAGCCTACAAAGTTTAAGCCCGATCCGAGTTTAGCAAGTGGGTCAAAAGCGCGGCGGGCCGAAATTTGCCTGAAAATGTCTGAAAGCGTGTCCTCATTCAGAATACCGTCCACGCGTCCGTCTGCTGACTCGTCTCCGTCCTGAATCGCTCCGAAAACCGGATCCCTCATCGGCCGCCTGCCACGTGTCCATTCCGCTCGCAAATTCCGTCTTTTTGGCGCCCAACTTTTTCAATTTCTATGCTCACATGTAACACACAAATAACACAATGTCTAGATCACAAATCGTTTATTATTCGTCTTTTTTTCGGAAATTCCGTTCGAATACTCTCCGTTCACATGGCTTTTTCAACCTAATGAGAGTTGGTCAAAACCACGATAAAGCGGAGAACAATTCGCGGAAAATCCTTGTGATCTTTGGATGCTTTTCCAACAAAAAAAAAAGGGTTTTTGGGGGCGATTTCCGATAAAAAAAGCTCATCTGTCAGGTGTTCGGGGTAGACGGGCAAAAAAAAAACAAAAATCTCAGTGGAAAAAGTGGCGGGACTTCTCGGAATTCGGGCTCAAATCGCGACTCGTCGAGTCGATTCTTCTAAACCGCCAAACTGCCGAGAAAAACACAAAAAAGGAGGGGGCGGAGCTTGATGGCAAAGTGAGAAATTCACAATATTTCGAAACATTCGGAATGCGCACCGCGGAGAGATCGATTCGGACCGACTCGACAGGGAATTAAGGCTTCTAGGGGGAGAAAAAAGGGGCGGGGCTTACAGAAAAATTGGGGGGAAAAGGGGCAAATTTTGGAGTGGTAAGACTGGGAAAATGGGCACTGGGCGACCAAATTTTGGGGGGACAAAAAAAATCTAACCAACACAAACTAAGGGGAAAAAAGGGGCGGGACTTGTGGCTTCTGGCGGATAATATGCACATTTTAAGTGAGAGATGAGGAGGAGAAGGGAGAGGTGCTAAAGGCGAGAAACAAGAAGAAACATGAGATAGAATGGTACAGAAAAGCGGCGGAACTTCAAAATGTCCCCCAAAAAAAGTGGCCGACAAGAAAAACCTGAAAAGGTCTTACCGTTGCCGACCAAATTCTTGCGGAAACGTTTTCGATGTTCCGCTCAACAACAAACAGAACATTTTGACACAAAAACGCGACACACGCCCATCTCGCACGTTTTTTTCCCGCTTCTTCCGACTATCGATTTTTTTCTCGTTTGATGCAAAAAAGAAGAGTGTGGAAAAAAGTGTGTGGAATGGGTGAGTGGGTAGATCGATGAATGCGCGGCCCGGGCCAAAATCAATTTTTGAAAAGTGGGCGCACACAAAAACAGAACTGCTCAAAGTATAAATGGTACGGCGGCTTTCGTGGCGAGACGCCGGGTCTCGACACGAAAATCGCAAAACTTTGGAAAAAATAGGAAGATGAAGAAGAAGCGCGCACCGTGAAAACAATCCAACTACTACTATGTACAGGAAAATTGTCACAGATAAAATGAAGCTAATCGAGAGCGGAAAATTAGGGGGGAAAATTAGGGGGAAAAATGGGCGGTGCGAGTGCGCTCAAAAAACTGGGTGCCACGTTTCTTCTATACATTCTGACATGATTCTTTTAGCACTGGGAGATGGAAGAATGGGGGGGGGAGAAAAAAGTACTCGATTCGATCAAAAACATTCAAAACAACAGACCCGCGTTTTGCGCAAAAATCTATCGATATCAGAGGAAAAATGCGAAAAATTTCGAGGCACATCCTAATATTAAAAATATGATATTGGGGATGCGACTCAAAATTCTCTCAAAAAATAGAATGAATGAATGAATTGGTGAGGATGGATGATATAATATGTATATATATATTGAGATGGATGATATTAGGAGAAGCCAGAATTGTGATTAAATTGGTCGAATATGAATATTGTTTAATTTTAAACGGAAAAAAAGATGAGGGTGGGTGGGTTGAACTACGCCGAGGCGACGGCCGCAATCAATTGAAGCGGACACACGCGAACGCCTTTCAGCTCTTGCTCCGCCTCTTTTTGCTCCTGAATCTTCTGATGGTGTTGACGAAGACGACGTCCGCCGTGCACTTCCAACATAGTTGGAGACGACGGAATCGGCGACGACGACGAAGAAGACGTGGCGGACGACGAGGAAAAGTTCGAGACGGACGAGGATGGACGGGATGCCGACGGCTCCGACGACGATGGAACGTGGAGCTGAAAATAGGAGAAATTAGTACGGGTTTTCGTTTTTTTTGTTAGTTTAATTAAGTTCTTTACGAAAACCTATTGAAACCTAATTGCATCATAAAACAGCCAAATTTCCAAATAAAATTCAAATGTTTACCTGGTTGAGCCACTCGACCGGCGGCATCGGCACATTTCTGGCCGACGGCGACGAGCAAAGCGACGAATTGGCGAACGTCATCTGCGACTGTGGGCTCATCGACAGAGCCTTTCGCTGCTGCTGCTGCTGGGCCAGATGACGTTGCGGCCTCTGATGGCGTCCCGAACTCTTCGGCGTCTGCTGCTGTTGCTGCTGCTGGTGTTGAGCTGAGGAAGAGGCACGCGAGTGGTTGGGCGACGTGTGCACGGATTGCATTGTTGACGAAGAGAAATGATTACGAACTTTGAGTTTCGATTAAATTTTTTAGACAAAAATCGTTGTTTTTTTAGAGCCTTTGATCTTTTGACTACACCGGGCAAAACCCGAGGGTTTGTCGCGAGTTGACCGTTGATCTGAAAAAAAAATGGTGAAATTATGACAATGAACATTTTTGAGGCGAACGGAGAAAAATTGCGAAATATCGACGGAGAATTGGAGGAAAACTGAATGGCTCGAGAATTGCGAAATCGTGGTCAGATAAAAGCGCTCATAAAACTTACATAAAATGCTCGGCAAAAAATGCTATTTTAAAATGCTAGGGCTATTTTACAGTTTCTGACGACGTCGAACATAAAAACTAAAAAAAAACTGAATCAATGATACCTACTTCTATATTTAGTTCTAAGGGCTCAAAAATGAAGAACGAGATTCAAGGAAAACAAATGAAGAGAACAAATGAAACAACCCATCAAAACTAAAGAAAACATCTAGATACTGAAAAAGGGCGTGCCTCTTTTCCTAACCCAAACGTCGATATTCGGGTAAAGACTCGGAGGTGTAGATGTGGAAAAAGGCGAAGATGGCCGCCCGGCCGGTCGGCGTATCACGAGGTCGACCGCGACGCGCGACCGCTCGCGGCTTGATAGCACTCTGCGGGCGGAGGGCCGAAAGAAAGAGAAGCCGGAAAAAGAAAGAGTGAGAGAGATAGAAAGAAGACCGGGCGGCCTTTAGGCCAAGGGCGACGAGAGAGAAAGAGAGATGAAGCAGAGAAGTGAGAGAGAGAGAGAGAGAGAGAGAGAGAGAGAGAAGGGCGCCAGTTTGTTTCAGAAAGTGACGTGTCTCTGGCTTGGGGAAAATAAGAAATTTGTGAACTCGGACTTGGAGGCTTGGAAGCAGGACTAGAAAGAAGGGTAACTTTCTGGTCCAACAATTGATAAAAATGGCATATTTTTTCGCAAGATTTTCATCCTGAAACTGCAGGAAACTTAGATAAGCTAGTAGAAAACGCAAAATGCTTTGGGCTGTCGACACAAAGCATGAACCAATGTTTCACTGCAACAAAATTGCCTAAATCATCTGATTTTGCCAAATATCTCCGCTGAATTGCCTAAATTTGTAAACATGCGATTTTCGGGACAAAAACAGAAAAAAAGTGAGGAGTCGAATAGAAAATAGTGGCTTTTTGCAATAATTCGGCAACGGCCGGTTCTCCGCCACTTTTTTTGCAGTCTGAACAGGTCGTGTCCATTTTTGACGCACCCGTTCATCTCCGCGTCATCGCGGCCGCAAATCTACACTTCTACAGAATTTTGTATAGCCGTACATGTTTTTTCACGGAGAAATTACCGAAATTAGACGTAGAAACTGGAATGTTCCACTTCCGAGCTAAAAAAGACATTTTCGCTATTATTTTGAGCAATTACGGAGGAGAAAGACCGACTACGATGTCATCTGAATCAGAAAACGCATTTTTCTCATGGAAAAACCGAGGATAATTAAAAGTAGAGAAACTTCTCAAAAGCAGTGCGATCACCGCGACGCAACTACTGCACACTCGGCATTTTACCCTACGCGCAACTATTTCTTCTCCGCACAAAAACAGGCTTCCTCAGGGTCAAATTTTTGCGTTTCAACAGCAAAAAGTGAAAACAGACGATCGCACACGCGTCCAAGGCCGTGCGGCCGTCAAATTATTACACATTGTTGGCAGTTGGCCAGGAAAACCGACGATTATTTGTAAAACTCTTATTTTTCGAGCAAAAAGTGCCCAACATTTCGTGGTCGAGTTTTGCGGGAGTGAGGGTGAGGGTGAGGGGGAGTACATGAGGTACATGGAAAGGAGGGTTATTAGATGAATAAGAAATTCGGGCGAAAAACGATTAGAACACTTTTAAGATGAGGGACAAAAAAAAAGATTAGACAAAATTAGGAAATGGGGTGAGGGCGGGGGAAGGTTGATTATTATACAGAAATCATAACATCATCACCTTATTATAGGACAAAAAATCATGTCAATAGAGATATTTCTGCAAAAAAGATGCGAAAAACGAGAACTATTGCACGAGATGATCGGCAGCGTAGGCGTAGAGGTGGACGTGATGCAGATTATTGTTCATCATCAAATTGTTGTTGTTGTTGTTGTTATTATTGATCTTGTTGTTTCCGTGCACCGCCTGTCCGCTGCTCATCATCAGATTCGCCATCAGCAGCGAATTGTTGTTGAGCGACGGTTGCGGAGACCAGATCGGGTGCGAGTGCAGCATGTCCAATGGCTCGTTCTGGAGCTGGTGGTGGTGTCCGTACGAGTACGCGTTCGTGCTCAGCAGGTTCTGCAATGTCAAAATGATGGTTTTTTGCAGTAAAACAATTGGCTAACCGAGAAAACGTCGCAGTTCTCCTGATCGACGAGCGAATCGGTCTCGTAGCCGGAAGAAGAGGGCGATCCGGGACGTCTAATGGCCGATTCGCCGCCGATGAGCGAGAGATGGTGCTGTTGCTGCTGCGGACGGTACTCGGAAGCGGTCGCGGAGGAGGAGCCGCTCGGTTTGCGGTACACGAGCGTCGTCACCACGTTCTTCTCACTCTTATCCTTCTTTTTCAGCTCCAGCATCGTCACCGGCACGCTCGACAGGTCCTGAAACTGGGTTTTGTTGGTTTTCGAAACATTTTGAGACATTTTAAAAGTTGAAAAAAAAACTCTGATGTAATAGCTGACTTGGGATAATTTTTCACTCGTTTATAGATTAATTCAGACGAATGGAAAATAATTGAGAAAATTCTGGGAAGCTTTAGAAGTAGTTAGAAAAAAGATAAATACCTTGGACTTGATCTCGAGATGCTGCACGTAGCTGTTCGGTTGTTTCGGCTTGAGCGGCAGAATCTGCTTGCGGATCGACGCATTTCCGGTCGAAGAGGCCGAAGAGCAGCTGGAGGAGCCGCCGACGCTTCCAGAAGAGGATCCGATGCACGAAGACGTCGACATGTTGCCCAGACGGTCCAAATAGTAGACTTTCGACGGGAGATGGTGTTGCAGAGGCATTCGTTCGTTTGCGGGCGCTTTTGTTCGCCGGCCGCTGCAACAAATTCGAAATTACGCGCCGACGGGGTAGATCAAATTGCTTGTAATCGAAAAAAGACAGCAAACATTTTTAGGTCTAAAAAAGCATGCTTTTTCGCAATTTTCCGAAAAATTCTTGAAAACTACTTCAAAATCGTGGTATTTCGTAAAAATTCTATGAAACGTACCTTTTTCAGACGAAAAGTATGTAGTTTTCGTCATTTTCTCGTTGTTTATATGTCGAAGAGGCGTGGGAAAATTGCCGTTTTCCCACACTTTTGCTCGTGGGAATGTGTGCACTTTTGCGTGAAAGTGTTTGCGGACGTCTGCTTACCGTACCACTAGAAGCTCCTGAAAATGCAGAAAATTTTGTAAACTTGCAAGGATGATTTACAGACGCTTTTCAGCGATTTTCAGGTCAACATTTACAGAAAATGGAATTAATCGTCATGAAGATCACTTGTACACTCAAAATTCTGCTGAAATATTTCAAAATTTGTAAATTTGCCAGTTTCCAGCAGTTTTTGATTTTTCTGAAGAATTGACTGGAAAAAAGAAAAAGAAACAGTTATAATTCCCGCAGAAACGTACATATCTGAAACATTTCGCTAAAATTTGTGAAAATCTCATCAAACCGCATTTTTTCATTGTTCCGCGCAAAATTATCGATTTTCCACAAACACTTTTGAGAAAGTTGGAAATTGAACTAAAACGAAGACCCCAAAAGCGCAAAAATCACATATTTATTCAGAAAAAGCCGCGAAAAAACGCAAATCTTCACCACGGATAGCATTCTCCGGGGCACGACTGCAGAATCGTCTCGAAACGGGCGGTCTCGACGGACATGAGCACCGTGTAGGTGGTCAGTTTGTTCAGGTTGGTGCGCGACGACAAAACGTTGAAGACGCCCTCGAATCCGGCGTTTTTCTGCGTCAGTTTGTCCATGCACCGGATTCCCGGAGTGTCACGGTCGTCCAAATAGAGCGCCTGAACGAAGCGTGTGGTGAAACTTGTGCCGAGAACGCGCTCCACCGGTTTACCTCGGTTCCCTGATCGTAATTGGTCTCGAGCAGATACCATCCGTGCGGAGAATCGGCCATTTCGGAAAGGATGGCCGTTCCGTTGAGACTTCTCGCAATTATGCACCCTTCGTCCTTCTTCGCGCCGCCCAAAATGAAGTAGACGGGCGAGAGCATCGGAGTGTTCATCAGGTGCTCTTTTGCTTCCAGATACGCTGAAAACCGGGTGAATTTAATGAATGCTTTTAACAGAATAGGGTACTGTTCTTCTGCTCCAGAGTTTCTCTGGCGAGCCATGACATCCATTTGCCCTCTGGCTCGAGTCCGAACAGCCATTTGAAGATGCCGTAGTAGCCGCCCTCGAGCTGGAATCGGTCGTCGGCGGTGATGGAGAACGCGTTCGGCTTGAGTCCGTTGTAGATTCCGACGTAGCCGGCGAAGTTGTTCGACTTGAACACGAGTTTTCCGTCGCGGATCCAGTTCACGTTGATGATCATTTTGCGCAGTTTCGCCGAGATCGGCCAGTCGTGCACGTTCGCGTCCCAGCCCATGAAAAGTCCAAAGTCGAGGTTTCTGCAAGGAGTTGTTGTTTTGTTTATCACTTTTTTGTACGGTCACGCTCTGGAGGCAGACTTGCCAAATTACGGGCCGGGCCGAAAATTTGCTGGCCCGGCCCAGCTCAAAAGGCGCGAATTCAATTTTTTGGGGGAAATCTATTTTTTCGTATTTTTTGCGGGGATCAAAATTTAAAAAAAAAAAACTACGACACTCCGACATTACTATTTTTTTCTATTTTTGACTATTTTTGAGAACTACATTTCTTTTTTATGCTCGAGATACTTGCAAAATTCGTTAGTTCTACTAAAAACAAACATTTTATTTAATCAATAGTTCAAAATTTGAATTCCCGCTTTTTGAACCGGGCCGGAGTTTTGAAAATTTCGGCCCGGCCCGGCCCGTGGCAACGTTGCTTAAAACTACGGTATTTTTTGAAAATTTGCTAATTTCTTGAGAATATTTGAAAATATTCATATTTCTTGCGCAAATTTTCACAAAAATACCGTAGTTTTAGGGGTACGGTTACATTCGTTGAGCTGTACGCACCGCCGTTTTTCACGCACCTTTCGGCCGATTTTGGACAGAAAAACCGGCGGTTTTTTCGGTTTTTCCGAGACTTTGGAAGCGGCGCATAAGAGCTTCAATATCGCCGGCCAACACAGTAAGACTACAAAAGTACAGTACTGATGTTACCTGGCATGCGTGACGTGTCCGTCCTTGTCCTGCGCGATGATCGACGTGCAAACGGTGAAGATCTCGTAGAAGATGTTGTACATGGTGATGCGTCCCAACGGAATGCCCGTCACCTCGGAGATACTGTAGATCTCATCACGGTAGGGTTGCGAGAGTTTCGGCGCGAGCTCTCCGAAGACGTCGTCGCAAAAGTTGAGCGCGTCGGGGAAGATCGGCACGACCAGCTCGATGAGCACGCCGATCAAATCGTTGATCTGCTCCTTGTAGGCGGCGCCGATCTGCTTCCAACGCTCCGATGGCGGAAGATCGAGGTTGACGTCGAACCTGAAGCGCAACGGGTTACTGTCGGATCTTTCGAGGCCTCTATGTAGTGTAAACACATTCTATTCGGAGCACAGTTCGAGGTGAACTGATAAGAGTGTGGTGGTGATTGACACTAAATTAAATTTGACTGAATTGTGACTCCGACTTATCAGGAACAAACATTTGCGGGTGATGATTGTGATGGTCGGGTGACTTTCTAGTGATTATTGATGCACCATAACCAATTTAGTGGAGTTTCTAGTTTGAATCGAACGCACCAAAAACCGTTCAGCTTCCAACTACCATCAAATGTATGTATCTCAGCTGCGAGTAGAGATACCAAAAAGTGATCAACTGATAAAATTCACAAAATTTTACAACGAACATTCTAATAGTTGACAACTTTTTCCTATCTCAACCGACTGCTGAAATATGACGTCTTGAACATGTTGCTCGACTTTTCGAAGTGATTTTTCGATACACTTCAACTTTGACAGTTGTTTCAGACCGAAATTCGTTTCCTAGATTGATAAAAAAGAAGCTTACCATGGAATATCGAACTGTCGGTTGGGATCGTACAAATTCTGCTTGTCGTCCAGAATGCAGTGATCCTTGTAGGGCTCGGGCAGTTCGACGTGCTTTGCCGCCACGAAAGCGGCCAACGAAACGAGGAGCACACTTCGGAGCATTTTTCCGAAGACTGACTCTCCCGCCCGACTTTGCCCGCTTATCTACTCGCTGCACACACGTGGACAAGCATTTATCAAAAATGTAATCAATCACAAGAATTTCGAGTGGTTTTCGGTCGCCATTCTCATCGTTTACAGTACAGTATAGTCTATTCTTGCTCGCCGAAATCGTTGATCGGAACACGATCGGAGCCGAGCACGAATTCCGTCGTTTCGTCGCCGTCCTCGTCGGGTTTCACCGTGAATCGGGTCGAGTATTCCGAAGCGGCGACGTCGTCGATCCGATCCGACTCGCTTCCCAAATCGTCTTGCGGATCGATCGGTTCCGGCAAATGTAAGATCGCTTCCTGAAACGAGGTGTCTATTATTATTCATTTCTTGCCTTTTTTCCATTGTTTCTACTTACCGCTCACTGTTTTTTTTTCAATTTTGGACTATCAAAACAGAGCTTTAGGCACGCGGTGATTTTGCCTGACTTTGCTGGCCGCCCGCGCGCCAAAACTTCAGAAAACTTCGAAAAATACTGATTGATTTTTCCTAATTTTTTGGCAACGCGCGCGCGGGCGGCGGACGGCGATTTTCAGAGTACTGATTCATCTTATTGATTGTCATAGTGAACGAGTCCATAACGATCAAAACTAACAAAGAGACACAAAAAGCGCGCGCGAAACGGCCATATTTCGAAAAAAGCTATTTTCGCAGTGACCTATAGACATTTTTGCGAGTTTCTTGTTGCTCTTTGTTAGTTTTGATCATAATGAACACATTCACTATGAAAGCCGCGCATCTAAAGTCCCTGGAACGTTTTGTTCATTCTCACTCTGAAGAACAAAAAAAGAGCGCAAACACACGTGCCTTGTCGCTGCCGCACTGCCCGTATCGGTTCCATCCCCACGTGTAGGCGTCTCCGTCGGCCGTCAGAACTGTCGTGTGCCATCCGCCGCACACCACCTTCGTCACTCGGATGCCGGCAAGCAAATCCACGAGCGCCGGCGTCCCCGCCTCGTACACATTCGATCCGATGCCCAGTTCGCCGCGCCTGAAAATTGAGAAGGAGTTTTCAGAAGGATTTCTACAAGCAACGACCCAAAATCGCTATTGACCCTCTGAAAAAACGACGTTTGTTCGAATTCTGCTTCGATATTCCAACTAATTCAATCGATTTAATGGGCCTATTCAGGGGATGAAAAAATGATTGTTTTCCGTTTTTTTCCCTATTCAGCGATGTCAAAAAATGGAAAAAAACGGAAAGAAATGCATCGCTCGCAGCGTTTTTTTCCGGCGGGTCTCGCAGCGATTTCCCGAACGCGATGCATGCGGCTACTGTAAGTGGCGTTTAATGAGTGGATTTACGAGAAGGGGAGGATTTTCGAAAATGTTACTGATTTTTCAGCGAAATTACAGCTTTCTTCAGCGAATTTCAGCAAAATTGGCACGTTTCCCCGCTATTTTGAACCGATTTTCACCAAAAGCTCAACGTTTTGAACGATATGACGAGGCACTCGAAACTATCCAAAAAAAAGAAAATTTTAGTGGTAAAGATAAAAAATCCAGCATAATAAATGTAATAAATGTAAATTTGATTTTCTTCCACTTCTTCTATCCGCGCTCTCCCGTTCAATAAGCGTCGGAGGGGGAACCTTCTCGGGATTCTCGTGCAACTCATCGTCGTCCATGTTTACCCTATAAAAACTTATTTCAAGCGAACTCAGTCGGAAACAGCGGTAAAACGTGGCAGATTCGAACGAGTTACAATCACGGCCTGAAAACGATAAAATTCAAGCGATATCGGTCGGAAATAGCGGTAAACTTGGCAATTTCGCATCAGTTACCATAACAGATAAATAAGAACTGAAATTCCGTTGAAAATCGGTTGAAAAAAGCGGTAAAACGTGGCAATTTCGCTGAAAAATTAGAAAAATAACTCCTCCCCTTCTCGTAAATCCACTCATTAAACGCCACTTACAGTAGCCGCATGCATCGCGTCCGGGAAATCGCTGCGAGACCCGCCGGAAAAAAACGCTGCGAGCGATGCATTTCTTTCCGTTTTTTTCCATTTTTTGACATCGCTGAATAGGGAAAAAAACGGAAAACAATCATTTTTTCATCCCCTGAATAGGCCCATAATCGATTTTGGCAAAATTAGCGCAAAAATCGTATTTTCAACCAAATCGATTATTGAAAAATGGAAAAACGCGGTGATATTTACGGATATCTCGTTAGAACCGTCGAAATGTTCAATTTTTCTCCGGTTTTTTTTGCTAATGAATCCCACTCACGTGCCGGTGCCCATCGTGTACACGTTTCCGTGCTCATCCAGGTAGACGGTGTGCTCGTGTCCTCCGTCGGCCGCCACGATTCTCGCCGTGCGCGGAGGGAACCGAATCGCGCGTTTCGGCCGTGATTCCCCGTGCGCGTCTACCCAAATGCGGTAGATTTCCGAGCCGATGACCGCATAGATTTCGTGGTCGTTCGCCACGAGAATCTTCTGTCCTTGCTTCTTCAAATCGACCACTTTCGGCACGTTTCCGACGTCGTCGGCGCGTCGGACGCGAATTTCGCCGCTTTTCAGGAGGATCGCCACGTGGAGGTTCGTGCAGACGACGTTCTCGATGACGTCGGCCATTTCGACGACGTCTTCGCCGCCGGAAGTCGCTTTGATGGCCGCGACGACGGAGATTCGTACCGAACGATCCTCGTATTCAACCGAGCCGAACCACGTGGAGATCTGAAAAAAATTGGATTTTTTTGGGTTAAGATATGCCATTTTTTAGAACGTTGCAAAATTTTGAGCGTCATTTGAAAGCCTTTCACGGTCTCCAGAGCTGACAATATGGGCGTGACCTCGGGCAAATGGCTTTTTCATGAATTGAGCAGGTTTTCTCTGATTTGTGTGGTCAAAGGCGATGAAAAATTATTGATCGACATGAAAACACACTAATTCTCAGTACTAATGACGTCTCGGCGCATTTCTCGCGGACTTTGCTTTTTCGCCTTCGCCGCCTAAAAACCGCACTTCTCATTTTGCTTTCTTGACCGTTTTCCGACAGAAGAATGATAAATCACGAAATACAAGCATTTTGAGCGCTCGAACCGCGAAAACTACCGAAAAGCAACTGAAATTCACGCAGTTTTAGCCAAAAACCTTCAAACGGATAAATGTGATTTGCGACTTGACCAAATTTAACGCTCTTGCGCTTAAAAAATTCGTAATAGCCCTATACAATCGGTCTATCAAGAGACAAATGAGAAATTATCGGTTTTTCGTGGCTAAACTGGCAAAAAACACAAATTTTTCTGCTAAAATTTGAATTTCGCGCCAATGTATCGCTCTATTGGGCGGGGCGCACTTGCGCGCTCATTGTCAGCTCTGGAGGCCGTGAAGATCTCAAAATCGAAAATGTTTCTCTTTTACCTAGAATTGTGCGGATTTCCGACTCTTCCTTTTTTCCCTTTCCAGCTCATTCCGCTTTTCCCCTGTGAATAATCCATCTTTCCATTTCTTCCATCACCATTATCAAACATCATCGAACAATGACGTCGTCATTTCTTCGATAAGGCAAGGAATGTGCGTACGCGCGCATGTGGCTTCTTCTCTGGGCGGTTACTGTATCGTTGTGCGTCTCAAATGCGAATAAAAAACGTTTTGTTCCTTTCTTGTTTTCCGATCACCCCTCTTCTATCGTTGTTTGATGATGATGATGTTGATCACTCTTAAAGTTCCAACTCGATCATGTTATTGTGATTCGTTTGACAGTTTGACACTTTCTCTACAGTAATCCAAATAAGGGGCCACATGACCGGATGTTATGGTGATTCTAATTGTACGTCATCACTTCGTGACGACTTCTGAAAAGGCGTCAGATGCTGGAACGATCGAACAAGACCAACTACGTGTGTGCGTTCAGAATTCAGAAGCTTGCGGAAGTGACGTCGTTGTCAGGCTGATTCAGAATTCATTGACGTCGTCAAGATGTTTTATGTCAGAAGCTGTATTATACAGTCATTCTGGTTGAATTGTGTCCGAATCGGAATACAATGGAATCGCATTACGATGACGTCTTCACAATTCGACCAAGAAGCCTCATTTCCACATTTCAGAGAATGTCGTGTCGTTACTGTATCATAGAATTCGATGAACAACAATGAACACTTGCATCGTCATCAATCAAAACCTGATCAGTCTACCGTACTCTTTCGCTCGTTTCTCGAACAGAAAACAGAAACCAAAACAATCCCGACGTTTTCAGATATCCGTTTCCCTCCAACTGTTTACGTCTTCAGAACACTGGCCAGGCATCAGAATCAGAAAGAGTGTGACATTCCGCAAATTCCAGAAGCCACACTTTTTTTGCGACCGTCTTCTTCTTCGTGTTCTTCCGCTTCGACCCAGTTTGTCTCTGTGTGTGTGTCATCTGTCATCACCTCGCCGAAGAAGAAGAAGACGTTGACGACGACGACGACGTCAGTTGATTCTTGTGGAAGAGTGTGTAAAACGAACGGTCCCACCGGGAAGCGCGACGAAACACACACACACCCATTTTTTGGCGGAATCTAGAAGAGGACAAACATCACCGACACCTTTTTGGTTATATAAATGTACCTCGAAGACTTGTCGGTTCATCACAGTTTTGTGACATTTGACACTTTGCCACTAGGCGTCTTCTTCTTGATTGGTTTTGAATGCATTGCACGGCGATTTTCGTCAATGTCTCCAGTCTTTGTTGCTCTTTTTCGGCTTGAAATGGTTGGATTCAAATTTTGAGCGAAGAAATGCAAATGAACCGTATGATCTTCCGATTTCCTTCGTCGCCTTTGAAGATCTCTTCTAATCGTTCACAATTTTCGCCGATTCCTCGTGGTCTCCTTCCTCTCTCTTTTTCTCCGATTTTCGCCGCGTCCCGGACAGCTGGTTTCTTGTCGATGATATTGTCGTCAAATGGCCACACCACACGTTCACAGATCATCCATTTTTTTTCTACTAACAAAATGATGTTGACCGCCGTCCAGTGGAAGTGATTGGTGACGCTTTGGGATTAGAAAAGTCATTGGCGATTGCGGTACGGATCAAATGTTCGCTATGATGTGAGTGTTGGGTATAAAAGGAAGGATCTGGGCTGGGTCAGTGTCTTGAAAACTTCAGTTCAGGCCACAAATCCTTGTCCCAGGCCATTTTCCTTTGCATTTTCGACCAGTGTGGGCCGAAATTAGAAAAGTCCGGCTACAACGACTACAAAATCGTTATCGTAGTCACGTCGACTTCATCACTTTTTATCATCCTCATCAGTCTCATCACTTCCTTCCTTCTTTCGCCTAGTTCGCTCTCTTATTCCCGTTGGAGGCCAACGCCACGCCTCTTTTTTATTTTGTTTTTTGTGTTGTTCCACGGCACAAGTTCTCTGCAAAAAGATGTGCAAATGCGGCAAAGTGCGCACTTTTCCGCATGTTTTTGTTGTTGCGTGGAAAAATCACATGTCTGGCCGGATTCGATGTTTTCTGGTGTCGCTAATCCGTTCGAAATCGAATCCAGGCCTCCGCAAATGATATCATTTCGAGAGAGACGGCTAATCGCATTAAACGGCACCAAAAGACCAGACGGAGCGCTGAAAATTCGTATCCAATTGGTCACCCGAATCGGTGTTCTGCACGTGCCGCTGCGGCGACACAAAAACAAGATAATTCTATAATATCACAGAATGTGACTTATATAAAAAAGTTGGGTGATTGATCATCTCGTCACATGGATTGTCGTGTCGAGACCCGTGAGTATTGTAGTCCTCGTGGCCGCTAGGTTCCAAATGCTATCAGAGAACCGTCACAGTTCGACGACTTTATGAGATATCGGAGGATATCTCTTTTATTGTGAGGCTTCAGTATTCGTTCAAGCTTCTGGACTCGTCTAGAATACTATTCTTAAGTGTAACAGAATTTCAAAACCTTCACAACACTTTTGTCTGGATTTGAAGCCAAAAACCTTGAAAATCAGCCAGAACCTTTTAGGAACATCTTGAAGAACAATTCATTCACCCGTTTCGACGCTCGGAACCTTCTCGAACATCTCACTGCCCTATCATATCAAAATCGACCTTCGCCCTCTCATTTCTCTTCGTCAAAAAGCTCACTGATCTTTCTCTCTCTCTCTCTCTCTCTCTCTCTCTCTCTCTCTCTCTCCCCTTCCTGTTCTTCTGTGTGTCGCCGCAACGTCAACTTTGTCGCCTTTCCATCGAAAACTTCGTCCGATTCTGACCGATCATTTCGGTCTCCGCCCACTTTTCTACATCAATCCATCATTCGTCTCTCTGTTCGGAATTCTTCCACCACGGACAGTGGTGTACTTTCTGAACCCCGCCCCTGTTTGAAGAAGTTTCTGTGCGGTGTTTGTCACATTCGACACAGGTACACAGTCTCGGCGGCCGTTATTGTCTTACAATATTTAAACGTACTATTGCACTTCCGTTTGCTAATCGCTCTTCACGAATCCAACCGTCTCGTTCGAAAAGTACCATTTCATTTCAGTTCAAGCTTCAACAATGCACAATTTCTTCCGTAAACTCTCGTTTCGTTCCAAGCCGGAGCCATCGGAGCCGAAAAAGCGTTCATCGGGTCTGCTTCGTTTCATTCGTTCCGATCACTCGAAACATCACGCACCACAGGAGCCGGTGTTCGACATGCCGCCCGCGCTCATGTGCCACGTCATCGATCAGCTGCCGTTCTTCGAGCAAATGCGTCTGGCGCGTCTCTCCAAAGGCGTCAAGCGGCATCTCGAGGAGAAGTTCGCGCGGATCAAAAAACTGGAGCTCCGCAAGCGAGACATCAACGAGACTTGTGCGGATCCGGCGTTCGAGCGTCACGGCAAAGCCTACGTGGCCATCAAATTGGAGCCCGAATCGGTGTGTCTGGTGATTGATGACGCGTGGGTCGTCGCCGACTTCTACGTCTTTCTGGGCATGCTCGAGGTGTTCCGCGAGGGCATCGAGACGGTCGAGTTGGACGCGCCGATCGCCGAGCTCATCGTCATCTCGATGTCGAACATCTCGCTCGAGCGTTGGTACGCGTTTCAGTGCATTCTGAAGGCGTTCAAGGAGATCTACGAAGACCTTCATTTGGATTCTGGCTTCATCGCCGATCGTGACTGCTTCTGGCCCAAGTGCAGCGATATCAGTATCCACGCGACGAAAGCGCAGGCGGCGCATCTCGGACGCATTCTCGACTACGGCGTCAAGAGCGGCTACATTTTCGATCGTCGCACGATGGATCATCTCAAGTTGGAGTTCGACGACCTGGACGGAATGACCGATAAGGCCGTCAACAAGCAGATTTACTATTTCCGGTTCGTCGCACTTTTTTTTTTTGATTGATTCGGCGATGAGTAATGGACGAGGGTGGGGCATCGCGTATCGAATCAGCAATTGAACAGTCGTCGATTGTCAGGCGGACTTTGTTCTCTAGTCAACTCCCAAATCAATTCGAAATGTTTTCAGTTGCTGGACCGGTTCGCTCGGATGGGATCATCGCTACGAGATTGTGTTCCACGGCAATCGGGCGGAGCAGAATGTTTAAGAAAAATCGCCATTTTTTCACGATTCTTGCCCCCCTAATTTCTTATCGCAGCTTTATCGGTCCCCGAACAACAAAAACAATGATAATTTTCAAGAACGCGTACCTTTTTGTGCATACTTTCCCTTTTTTTGTGTCTTCCGCCGATTCGATGCTAAAAATAAACCATTGTCCGTCAATAACATTATTGTTTTCGCAAGAAATACATGTGTAACACGATATACACCAAAGTTCGCATTCGGACCGTCCAAAACAGTGCAATTTGTCATTGTTCATTCGAAATCTGCGCATGCGCCTATTCGGCGGGGCAAAAATCCGGGGAAAATCGATTTTTCAAAAAGTTTACCACTTTTTGCCCAACCGAATAGGCTTGAAAACAAGAAAAAAATATATATATATTATGGCTTTGCAAAAAGAGATTTTGAAAAGGTTGTCTAACAGGGGCAAGGTATTCACACACACACACAAACATTTAAAGCAGCGACACGTGGCAAACAGTACAAGAGGCTATATTTGACATGGAAAAAGTGTGAGAACAAAAAATTAGTACAGATTAGTGAGAACAATCTCTCAGGCAATATCGTCGTTGGCCGCCAAAATGACACGTGGCGGCGGCGACGTGACCGGAATATGCGGGAGTTGTTCCGGCTCTCCGATCGACGCGATCTGCTCGCCCTCCTTCACGTAAACGATCCGCATTGCCGGGTTCTGACGCTTCTGGAAAACGCAATTTTCAGGAGGAATTCTTTTCAGTTGCGCTCATTTTTCCAGGTATTGAGAATTACCCCGTGCTCGGCGACCTGAACCTCTCTGCGATGGATGCTCTTCGCCTCGTAATAGGAGCGCGCCTTCGTGATCGAGAGGAGCATCGACGTCTGAATTCCGACGACGGTCAAGTAGAACACCGACAGCGTCATGAACGTCGGAGTGTGCTTCTCGCTGTACGTGAACATTGACGACGAGTTGATCAGGTGGTTCCTGCAAATTTGAATTTGACAGTACTTTAAAAGAATCACTCTAATTTTCTACGTCAATTGCTAAAAAATCTCGAAAATGTTTGAAACGTACGCGGCGAGGACGTAGACGATGAGTTCGACGACGATCATGAAGATGTAGACCATGATCGCTGGGACCATGTGCACCGGATTCTCTCTTTTTACGCCGATTATGATTTCCCAGTGGATGAGCACGCCGATCGTCACGAATATCATCGAGGCCACTGCAAATGTTTTTATGCGAAAATGTCTGGACTTTTGGAGCACTTGCAATCATCCGATCGGGATTAAACTTTGCAGACGTCTTGGTGTTGGAATGAAGTATTTTGGGTCCAAGTTTCAAACCGATCGGATCATCTGGTCCCGAGATATGTGAATCGGAGGCCGAAAAGACCGTATATCTCGAGACCGGATGATCGGATCGATCTGAAACTTGGATGCAATATACTTCAATCCAAGACCAAGAAGTTTGCAAAGTTTGGTCCAAGTGGCTCAAAATCGTACCGATGGTGCCGACGTCGAAGCTGCCGCCGTGCTCGTCCCATCGGAACTCGAACAGGAACATGACGAACGAGAAGACGGCGCAAAGGAGTCCGAAGCCGGCGCTGACGGTCGCGGCGCGTGTCGCGTGCGTGAAGAACGCGCGGTATTCGGGCGCGTCGTCGTCAAAGTGCGCCACGTGGATTTTCGTCGGCGCCGGCCGCTCGTCCACTTCGTCGCCGGGCAGTCCGAATCGCGAGTACGTGACCGTGCTGTTCTCCGAACGACGCTTCAGCCAGCCCAGCATTCGGTCCACCATTTCTCTGTGCTGATTTGCATTTATTTTGAAAACAAAACGTTTTACACGAATTTGTAACTAAAACCCAAACATTTTCTTCATTTTCCGCATAACATTCCGCTTTCTGGTCAAAAACTATGCTCTCCTGACGTGTCGAGCTCAAAAATTGAGCGAATTTCAAATCACAAGCGCTTGCGAGCCGTTATAATTGAAGTTTACACATACGGAGCGTTGAGCAATGACGCTCGCGGTCTCCGAGAGCAAAAAGTATGAGAATCGTCGAAAATAACGATAAATTGGGGGGAAATGAGGAAAAAAGGGATAAAACCGTTCATTGCAATAGGCGGAATAAATTATATCACAGAATTGGATGATAAAAGCGAAACGAAGCCAATTTACGGTTGAGGTTCATTCGGCCGGGTAAAAAACTGGTTTAAAAACAGTAAAGTTCAGTCTGGATTTTTTGAGTACCATAAACGATCGTGATTTTCCGTTCTTAAACTAACTTTTACCCGACCGAATGATCCATCAACTAATAATGCCCTAAAAGACGTGAATTCACACTAAACTAATTGTTCAAAATCTGCTGAATCGATTGTTTTGCCGCCTTGAGGGCCTTCCGCTCCAACGTCAGTCCGATGAATCCCTGCCAGACGAAGAAGACGGCGAGTACGGTGAGTGCGAAGCGGAAAACGGCGAAAAGTGTGGGGAGGACGTCGAAAAAGAGGCTTCCGAGAATCAGCATGAGGCAGACGGCCGCCAAAATGAGGAAGAAGGTGCGGTCGGTGCGCGCGCGACGCTCGCCGCCCGCAACGATTCCGATCGCCTCGATGAGGAGCGGACGATTCGGTTCCCACGAGTTGGCCGACTTTTCGTGGCGGAATCGGTCGTCGACGGTAAAACGGGCACGCAGGCCCACGTGGTCCGAGTAGTTGATCTCTTCGCCGGGAATCTGGTTGAGCGTGATCTCGCACTCCTCCAGCTTCACGTTGCAACGACCCGATTTGAAGAGCATGTAGTCGATGCGCTTGCTTTCGTCCTGAAAATGATGCGGTTTTGGCTCATGGAAAAACAAGGTAGTAATCCAAGTTTCGGACCGATCGGATCATCTCGTCTTGGGGCTTAGGGCATACAATCTTTTCTGCTTATAGCGAAAAGCCCCGCCCTCAAACCAGTATATCTCTGAGCAGAATAATCGGATCAGTCTGAAACTTGGACCCAGAATACGTCAATCCAAGTCCAACAAAAAACCTCCTGACCACATTTTTGAGTGCTCTCTTCGTGTAGGCATTGTCGGGCCGATCACACGTGCCGCCCTTCGCAATGCCACGATGCTTGATCAGTTCCGCGTCGCCCGTCTCATCACTATCCGCCTCGTGGCTCATTCGCCACGCGTCAAACAGTTTCGCGTGGCTGAGAATCATGCGGAGTCCGAGGTCGCACGGCTCCATGTTCAGGTCGCCCGTCACGATGACGACGTCGGCGCTGCGGGCCGTGTGCCGCACGAATTGCGCGAGTTCGAAGCTCTGCGACGTGCGGTGCGGCAGATAAAGGTCGTTCTCGCGGTCGTACTCGGCGTGGAGGTGGGTCGAATAGAAATTGATGCGCACGTCGCCGTCCATTTCGATTTCCGCCAATCCGACGACTTTGCCGCCGAACCAGTCGCCGCGATGGATGTGATGGGCGAATCCATTGAGAGAGTACCGATGCGTCAACGTGGAAACGATCGGATGACGTGAGAAGACGCAGACGCCGCTGCCGGTGAAGCCCGAGTGGAAGTAGTGATAGAAGGGGTAGACGGAGGAGACTTGCTCGCTGAGCCGCACGAAATCCCAGTAACTCCACAGCTCCTGCAGACCGACAATATCGTAGTTCTCCTCGAGCATCACCGCGCCGATCTTCTGAAGGCGATGGATTCGGTCGGTCGAGCCGATCGGCCACGGCTGCGGGAGACACCACGCGTTCAGGGTGACCACGCGCAGTTGACGCGGTGCCACGTTGTCTGCAATCAGAAAAATTAGATATTGCTGCTGCTGAAATACGTGCGGCATTCGCGCTCTACCGCACCCAACGTGAACACAGTGCCTACGGCCGCGGCCGTGGTTTTGGGTGCGAAAACCCTCCATAATTGGAGTTTTTCGCTCTAGAAATGCTCCAAAATCCCTCTTACTCACTTCTTCGCAGCGCCGAGAACGATTCCCGCCGGTTGACCGGTTCCACGTCATCGGCGGCCCCCTTCTCCAGCGAATCGTCCGATTTCGTACCGGACATTCTAAAAAAAAACAGTTTCAGACAAAAAAGAAAGAGGTGAAAAATAGTTGAAAATTGGTTCCGTAAACCAAATTAAATGAAAAAATCGAAGAAAATCAACAAAATAATTTATGCACAGAAAACAAGGAAAGATCTAACGGAAACAGAGGAAATGGCCTAAAATCAGTGAGATCCGAGTTCGTCGAGCACTTGACAGTGTGCCAGATTGGCCCCAATTGGTCCGGAGCCGTAAAGCGACGTCTGGACGAACGAGACGAACTGCTCGAGGCTCATTGAGCCCTGCGCCACCGGATCTTCCGTTTTTGGGTGCGTCGTGAACACTTCCACCAGTGGTTTCTGCAAAAAATGGGCGGTTTCGAGGGGATTTTTTATGAATATTCGAAAAAAAGTCGGCCAGCGCTTTTTGAAGGTCTGGACTTTTGACGGGTCAAAAGTACAGGCCTCAAAATTTGACCCACTTGCAAGGATCCGATCGGACCCAAACGTTGAAGGCTTTTTGGACTTGGATTGAAGTATTTTGAAGCCAAGTTTCCGGTCCCGAGATATGTGTTGGACCCAAAATACTTCAATCCAAGTCCAAGAATCAAAGTTTCTATAATTATCCCCCCGCTCACCGAGGTGACCAGACTGCGTTCGGTCTCGTTGGCGAGCACGACAATGAACGGAATTCCGAGCTGATTCGCCTCGTGAATACGTCTTCCCGCCGACATTTCGACGCGATCGTCCAGAAGAATTCCGCCCTTCAGATATCGAGAAGCCGACGACGACGTCATCTCCACGAGCACGTTCGACGTCAGGCTCTGCACTCAATATCATGGTTAATTTCAGCCTTTTTTCTATCACAAAAGTTGAAGAGGGGGCGTGGCCTAGCATAATTTCGGCGCGTAATTCAACTTGAATCGTATTTAACTGAAAATGATCAAATTTCTCGATTATTTTTGCTGTTCGAAAACTCAAAATGCTGATTTAGTCCGGCCACGCCCCCTTTTCAACTTCTGGTAGTCGTGAATCGCTGTATTTCCGCACCTTTTTAACGATAATAACGGCGTCGAAGGGAGAAATGACTCTCGGAAGGCGCAACGCCTTCTTGCTAATCGATAACGCGTCGACGGCGGCCGGAAGAATTCTCGAGACGCCGATGCCGAAGCAGCACATGTCCAGCGGCTGATTCGTGAATTTGGCGCCCAAAACCTGCGAATACTTGGTGCCCAGATGGAAAGTATGCCCAATTTCGACACTTTTCACTTTCCGCGTCGCACCTTCGCAGCAAATCTCCGTCGACTTGTTGAATTGTCCGCACTTTTCACAGTGATTCACGAAATCCTCGTCCAAACTCGACTTGAGATGGTACTCGTGACTGACGACGCCGCCGTGCACCCCGGAATCCGCTTCGCAGCGGACGACGTCGTCGGCGAGTTGCAGAATTTCTCGGAAAATCGTGTCGTACACGTGGCACACACGGGCGTACGTTTCGCGCGAACTTTCGGCCGACGTCGCGAACGAATACATGTCTTTCATCAGAAATTGACGCGCGCGGAGCAGTCCGAACCGTGGACTCATCTCGTCGCGGAATTTATCGCCGATTTGGTAGAGCATCAGCGGAAATTGCGCCTTCTTGAACGGCGAGAGCTGCGCGATCAATTCGGTGCACATTTCTTCGGCGGTCGGCTGAAAAACGGACTGGTTTTAGGGATTCCTTTTTTTTCAATGTGAAACTGTTGAAATTTGACGAGTTTCTGGGATTTTTGTAGCATTTGAATTTTTAGTCGAAATTTAAGGGATTTGGGTATTTTTTCGGGGAAATTTGTGTGAAGAAGGATCTCACCCACTTGAAGACACATCTGATTCTTCTGCCGATCTTCGAATTTGATCATTTCGGCGCCCATCGCTTCCCATCGATCGGTCTTGTCCCATAAATGTTTGGTGCCGACGAGAGGCATCGAAATTTTGAGCGCTCCGATTTTCTGAAACTCCGAATCCAAAATTCTGCACAATTTATCGATTACTCGTTGTCCGAGTGGAAGTAGGCTGTAATATTATTGACTTTTGCAATCAATTTGTTAAAATTTTACCTGTAAAAGCCTTTGGAAGAGGGTAAAATGAAGCCGTTTTCGATGAGCATCGTGTGGGCGAGCGATCTGCTTGCCGCCGCCGTCGTTCCGCTCAGAATCCATTTGCGGGCCTTCAGAACATGACCGCCCATCGTTCCGGAGTCCGGACGCGCGCAAAATCGAGAGACGAAGAGCACGAGAAGTACTCAAACATACACACTCTTTACAAGTGTACCGCCGGGCGGCCGCGCAAAACTTCGGTCATTGGCTGCAAGTGCGCTCCATTGAGAGGAGCGGAAAAATGGATTTTTCAAAATGTAATTTTAGCGGGTTTCAACTTGTTTTCATCTGAAATTCGCTGCTAATCATTCTAGAATTTAAAGACAAATTCTACAAACTTTCTTTCCCCTTTAAAATTCTCCCAAAAATTCACAAAACCCGGAACATTTTTAAAAAATTACCCAATGCTTAAAACACCAGTTTTCAACAAAATTCCCGAAAAAATAACTGAAAATTCCATCGAAACCTCCCCAAAAAGACCCGAATGTTACCTCTCAAACCCGAAATGTCTAATATTTCCATTAAAAAAAGGAGAAAACTTTGCAAGCCATTTACTAGTCCCGAAGAACGCGAATTTCCACGGGCAGTACCCAGATCCAAAAGTTTTGTTGCATTAGTTATTTTTTTCAAAAAAAAAACCGGAAAAAAGGCTCTGAATTGACGATTTTTTGTTCCGTATTCCGTCTGCCGTCTTCCGGGAAAAAAGTTTTCTTCCGTCTTCCGTCTGCCATCTCCGTGAGACGTTTCTACATTTCAGTGACTCGCACAAAGCTTGAAATTCAGAAGACGGTTTCCGGGGCGTTGGCGACTGTGGTGACCGGTAGAATGGTCCGCAAAGAAGAAGATTTCCAATGATTCCGGTGGTCAACGTGGCGGACAGCACGATCGGAAGAATACGCGAAGGAGGTTCAGGCCTTCCAACCAGGGGTGTGCGGAAAATATTTCGATTTTCCGAAAATGTTCGGCAAAATTTTCGGAAAATTAGTGTGGATTCAAGGTCAATTTGTCCGAAACCACCGTATGCTTTTTAAAGGCGCATCACAAAATTTTTGGAAGGGTCTAGCAGCGAGCGTCTTTTTAAATTTGAAACAACCGCGCGTCTCATTCTCACTGACAATCGGAAAACACTGGACCCGGAGAGCTTCTCTCGGCTAATTTTTTTGCAAAAAAATATTCCATTGCTCGGCTTCCGCCCACTCAAGTGATTTCAAATCATAATAAGCATTTTTTTGTATTAGAACGTTGTTTAAACACTTTATTGAACCAATGAACAAGTGAGTTTTCCGATTTTTCCGATTTTTCCGAAATTTTCCGAAAAAAAAATTCGGAAAAACTGATTTTCCGAAATTTTCCGCACACCCCTGCTTCCAACGCATCACGTTCGAATTTGTTCCACAAAAAGTAACTGGGAGGTCACGTTCATTTCAACTTTCGAATTTCCCATCAGTTTTCACGTGAACAGTTTCAATTTTTCAGCGGCAATTCGGGAAAGATGTTCATGACACTTCATTATCGATAAAAATTGACAGAAAAAAAGGAAAAACAAAGAAACAATTCAAATTTCCATAGCTTCAGTCGATTCCGTTTTCGGATTAGGTGAAGAATTCTGAAAATTACACAATTTTTAAGTTTTTCGGTCCAGTTGCTAATCAATAATCAATAATCTATAATCCGATAGGGCCCAAACTTTTGGACTTGGACCCAAGTCCAAGAGGCCTGCAAAGTTTGGTCCCGATCGGATCATTGCGAGCCCCACGAAGACCTGTTTGGAGTCGCTCATCCACTGAGAAGTGTCCGCTTCTGACCATTTTTCGTTTTCGGTTTCTGCAAACAAAAAATGCAAATTTGCTCTATTGGACTCTGCAAGACCACTTTTGAACACATTTTCGGATCAAGTTGGCTTGCTTTTTTCCCGAACAAACCTTTTTCTTCAATCTCTTTGGTCAGCTTTTGAATTTTCCAAAGCATCCAAAAGAGGAACCCAACTGTAATATAATTGAGCAGAGTGTACGGAATTAACACGGGAAGTATCCACGGAGCACGTCCCCGAGCCGGCCGGATTGCTCTGCGGACGGCCGCGCACGTGCAAGCCTCCGGACCGACGTGCTCGCCGGCGTCGTTCGTCTGAACAATAAAATTTACATTTAGGACTATATTTTTGTAGCTGACACTGGAGTACTGTAGGCCATTGAAGTTGTGGCCAGTTTTCATATATGCCCTCAACACTTGTCCCAACTTCCAAGAACTACAGTACTCCGGGGAGTGGTCATACAAAAAAACGTTGTCAACTACAAAAGTACAGTTCTAAATGTCAAGTTTTCACACAAAAAATTTCAGAGCGCCAGGACATCTTCCGCACGGTCTCCAGAGCTGTCAATATGGGCGTGGCCTCGGCGGCCCAATGGCGTTTTCATGAATTGAGCACGTTTTCTCTGATTTTTGTGGTCAAAGGCGATGAAAAGATGATTGTTCGGCATGAAAACACACTAATTCTCAGAATTAATGACGTTTTGGCGCATTTTTCGGCGGATTTCGCTTTTTCGCCATCGCCGCCGATCGCCGCCTAAAAATCGCACTTCTTATTTTGCGCTTTCTTGACCGTTTTCAAATAGAATTGGTTTTGAGAATGATAAATCACGTAAATACAAGAATTTTGAGCGCTCGAACCGCGAAAACTACCGAAAAGCAACTGAAATGCACGCAGTTTTAGCGAAAAACCTTCAAACGGATAAATGTGATTTGCGATTTGACCAAATTTAACGCTCTTGCGCTAAAAAAAATTCGTAATAGCCTATACAATCGGTCTATCGAGAGACAAATGAGAAGTTATCGATTTTTCGTGGCTAATCTGGCAAAAAACACAAAATTTGCTGTTAAAATTTGAATTTCGCGCCAATGTATCGCTCTATTGGGCGGGGCGCACTTGCGCGCCCATTGTCAGCTCTGAGGAGACCGTCCTCCGGTTCTACAGTAGCCGGTCAAAGTTGTCCGTGAAATCCTGCTTCTACAACACTCGTTCAACTTTTGTCCGCTTCAAAGAAGTCGACAGTTTCAAAGCAACCAACTTGACACGTCGCAACATTTCCGACCGAAAAATAAATCGTTTTGAGCGGACCAATGGGCACATTTCTCGAAAAACTCGCCACACGTGTAAGGTTACCACCAATTGCTAAAAATTACGTTTTTGCAAGTCTACAATCATTCTGATTTCACTCAAATTTACCCAGAGAGTTGATAAGCTGAAAAAACGAGAAAAGGACCGGGAAGCGGAAGAACATGATGACGATTGTGAATGCAAAAGTGAAATGTTTTTAAAAAGTCGAACACGTGGATGAAATAGTTCAGAGTTTTTTGCTAAAAATGCTAGAATTTCGGTTTTTTTTCGGAATTTCACGTTTGTTTTTTTGAACAGAACAGTTTTCCGATAAAAATAACATTTTATTGCAAACTTGAAACAAGGAAAAATGTACAATGGTTAAGCGATTAGGTGGCAGCAAATTGGTCGTCCGAGTCGTAGCAATCGTCGCGTTCCGTCTCAAACGTGTAGTTCGTGGCCTCGTCGGTGCACTCCTCACAGGTCTCCGCCCGGAAAGTGGCGCTCGAGTGATCGGCGGTCAAGTGCACCGCTTCGCCGTTTTCCGTCAAGTTCACCAGCACTCTTTTCCCGAGCCGCTCGCAGAATCGTCCGTAATTCCGCACTCCTCGTTCCGCGAAGATTGACGCGCGGTCTCGCAGCGGAAACGGTTCGCACTGCCACGTGGCAATGTTGAGCACGCGGCGATCGATGTCGGTCGTGAGTTGAGTGCTCGTCGCGAGTTGCGGATAATAGCAGAGGCCGGCGAGGAATTCCACACCGCCCGCGTTGTAGTACGTGGCTTCCACGCGCTTCGACAACATTTGATACGTGTAGAAGGCAGACGCGTGCACTTTTTCGACGATTTTCGGAAAAAACGTGTGACCGAAACGAGTGCCGACCGAAAAATTGGGCATGGCGATCGATACGCTCACCGCGTTCGGCGGCACTGTCAATCGGCGCCGCGACCGTGCGCCTAGGTGCTGACACAAAAAGTGTCGGATCATGGCGATGCAGTCACTATGGCACACTTGCCGTCCGCGCTCCGCCAACGCGTAACCGATTTTTCCGGACCACCGGGTGCGAAACTGCACAGTCAGCTCCAGATTTTTCGCGAACAGTTGTGGAGCCGATCGCACGGGGAATCCGATTCTCATTTGGGCGCGAAGCCAGCACAAACGGAACGCCCGCACGTTGTAGCGAACGAATAGAAAGAGAAGAACGGCGAAAATGGTGCATAGAGCGGACATGACGGACGAAGAAAAGAAGGGCGGAATAGGAAAATGAGGTGAATGAGCAGTCTTTTATAGTTGCTCCGAGAGAGACCAGAGAAATTCGAATGTCTCTCACTCTTGTGACACGGGGTGTCCCATAGTCTCTATGGCATAGCGAAATGATGGGCTAATTGATGCAGGTGTGGTCTTGAAATCCCAATTAGGATCCGTACAGTTCGCAGTGTCTCTTCGATGTTTTGTCGAAGCCGAGCAGTTGACTACTTTTTGATTTCAATGAAATTGTTCGGTGACAAAGTAAAAATCAGAATTATTTCAAAATAAAAAAAAGGCTATTTATCGATGCCATCTTCAATTTCAATATCCATTTCGTAGGTGAATCGCAGTTGATAGCTGAAATGTGTTCCAATTTTACACTAAAACATGCGCTTCTTCTCACTCGAGCTCTTGTTTTGCCTCCAAATTCTCCTTCGACGGGTTCGATTCGCACTTTTTCACGAGTGTCTCGTATTGGCGCCACGTCACGCATTGCTGGTGATCCACTCGCTTTCCGCGCTGAAAATTGACACGTTTACAGAGTTTTTCGAGAAAATGGTTTTAAAAATTACCGGCGGTGGTAGCAACTCTTGACTCGCATAATTGTAGGGCATTTCGCGAATTTCGTTTCTGAAAAATCGAGAAAAAACGTTCAAGTTTCGCCGAGAAAATCGCCTACAAAACGTCGGTGACGCAAGTGCGGAATCTGGCGATCATGTTTTCGCGCGTCGTCTTCAAATGCTCGAATTCCGTCTGTCTCGCCTCGTCGTTCTCGCCCAGAGTGCCGAAAAAACGAGTCCGCACGTTGAGCTCTTCGAAATTCAACGCCAGCTCACGGTCACCCAGTCCGCACAGCGAAAGTAGGAAATCTGCAATGTTTTTGTGGATCACTTTTAATGATCCGATCGGGACCAAACTTTGCACGCTTTTCGGGTTTGGATTGAAGTATAATGGGTCCGCGTTTCAGACCGATCCGAACATCTGGCCCCGAGATATACGGTCTTTTCGTCCTCCGATTCACATATCTCGGGACCAGATTATCGGATCGATCTGAAATTTGGACCTAATATACTTCCATCCAAGTACAAGAAGCCTGTAAAGTTTGAGCTAGATTGAATGATTCCAAGTGGGTCAAAAGTCGGTTTTCTTTCCGGAAAACGTACGCAAAAGAGTGTCAAGTACGTGATGCGGAATATCCTGCAGTATTTTTTTGTGCGACGTTCCACTCTGACGGAGGCTAAAGTGCCAAACTGCGCATCGAGGCGTTGTGGCCTGAAAAAAATATTAAAAAGTTTACAAGTTTCTGGAATTGTTTGCAAGAAAACACACAGAAAGTCATTTCCAGCCCATTTCTTCCCATTATCCCTTCGAAAAAGGCGACGTACCCTGACCAAATAGGCCCTTATGAATTGTTTGCTCTTGTTGAACACATCTCCAGTTTTTCGGAACACAACTTGATGGAAGACGTCCAAAAGGTCCGTTTTGCGGAAAAACCGGCCCTCGGGGACTAGGTGCTCGCCCGGTTGGACCCGCGACGAAACAAAGTCCACTTTTGTGCTCGTCGTCGCATTCGACGAGATTCTGCTCACTTTGTGGTGGTATTGCTCGAATTTGTCGCGAACGGCCGACACACTCGTCTTCAGCAGGTTCCACTGCAAAATTGGCGATTTTTAGGATGTAAAACTAATTTTTTCGCAAAAATTCACCAAAAACGCGTTTCCAATGACGACAAGCCGACTGTCGAGCACTCCCTTGCTGAGCTCGTCGGCCAGATTCCAAACGTCGATATTCGGAATTCCCTGAATGGATTTCGCCAGTTTGCGGGCCAATTCGCCGAGAGACTCGTCGCTCAGCTGCTTTTCCATCATTCCCTCGGTGATGATTCGTCCGATTTCGTGCACATTCAATTGTGGCTGTTGCAGTTCGTATTCCAGTTGTGCTTCAATTTTTTTAACTCTAAAAAATTCAGAACCATCCAAAAAATTTTACCAAGCGCATTATCGGCTGGCTCATTCTCCGATGTTTTCGTCGACGTTCCTGGCACATTTTTAGGATCCGAAAAATATTGTTTCACCGGAATTTCGTCTACCTCTTCTAAAAATACGATTATTATCGATTTTTCGGCGTAAATTTTACCTTCTTCCTCGAATGCCTCAATTTTCGATCGTTTTTGTTTCAATTTCAGTCCGGACATTTATGGATCTGCGGCTGAAAATCGCGGAAAAAAAATTTGAATTTTAATGATTTTCCGAGTGGATTACACGGCGTGTTAGCAATGGAGCGCGTTTGCATTATTTGTCGCGAGGCCATTTTCGTTGAGCCCAATTTTTTGAATTAGAAATCCGATTTTCAGTCGATTTCTGTTGTTTTTTGCTGAAATTCCGGTAAATAAGGATTTGGAAATTTAATTTAACCAGTTTTTGAGTCGTTTTCCTAAAAAATACAGTTTCTCCAATCAAAAATGTCAGTTCTTCCAAGAAATCTGTAAGCTCTTTTCAAGTCTCTTGCCCCGCGTCTCACCATATTCACACAAAATGTAGATATTTTTTTGTAAAAGTTTCGAAATAACTTCCAGAATGGATTCAAATACAGATGTGGCCGATTTGAAAAAGCAATTTATCATTTCGCTGCGGAAGAAGTGAGTTTTCATCTTTTCTACTCTATTTGCATGAATTTCCCGCAGATTTCCGCGCGATTCGTCGTCGGCGATCGCAATTGCGACCGTCAATCTCATCCGTAAGATTATTTTCCGCGAAAATCCGAAAACAATGCATGAGTTGCGCGTTTCGCTCGCCAATCACTGCCGGAAGTTGCACGCGGCCGAGCGCTCCGAAATGATCATCATCAATATCGGATTGATGATTTCGAAATTGGCGCGCGACGAAATTCTGCAGAAAAAGGGCGGCGCAGAGCCGGAACCGCTCTACACTTTGTGGCGGGACGACGCCGAAGTGGAAGAGAAACTGAAAACGGCCGATATGAAGAAGATACGCAAGGATCTGCAGCTCTCTATTAAGGAGGTCAGCGGACATTTGCATTTTTAGGGCCGAAAAAGTGGGGAAAATCGAAAAATGAATTTACTTTTTTGCAGTTGTCGACAGAAATCGAGTCGTCGCGAGAGTGCGTGGCGGCCCAGTCGACCGAATTGCTGTTCAACAACGATTTCGTGATGGTGCACTCGCGGGCCTCCTCGAAAACGATGAACGCCTTCCTGGCGCACGCGACGAATGCGGGCCGCAAGCACAAAATCATTGATATTGTCGACGAGGAGGAGGATTTGGAGACGGCTCCCGACTACGTGACGCCCATTCAATTGTACGAGGTCGCCTCCAAAATGCCCAGGACTACCAAGGTCTGCGATCTATAGAAGCATGTGAAATGTGAAAAAGTATTTCAGGTGGTGCTGGTGGCGGCGTGCTACTTTCCGGACGGATCGTGCCTGGTGCCTGCGGGCGGTCACCAGATAGCCCTCCTGGCGAAACGGCACTGCGTTCCCCTGTACGTGCTGGCGCCGTTTTACAAACTCTCGCCGTTCTTTATCACCTCGCCGGACACCCTGCACACTTTCCGCCGCAACACCCTTCCCTTCAACGTCGCCTCGTTCGGAGCCAATGTGGACGTGCTGAATCCGGCGTTCGACACGATCCAATCGGATCTCATCACTCTTTTCGTCACCAACAACGCGTGCCTCATTCCGTCGCACATCAACCGAATGAAAGAGGACTACTATCACGCGCAGGACGTGGACAATTTCGGCGATTTTTAGACCTCTCTTTTCCGTTGTTCTGTAAAAATAATGAAGATTTTGGGCGTTTTTCTGTCGATTTTCCCCTCGAAAGCCAAAGTACCTTGTGGTCCCCGGCGGACCGCGATACCATCAGCTAATCGCTTCACTAACTGTAGATTAGACCAAAAAACACAATTTTTCTTGCAGGCTCGATTTTGGACACTTGAGAACTCGCTAAAAATGTGAATTTTTCAGTGAGAAATGACAAAAAAGATCAAACATGGAAAAAATGATGGGTCGGAGAGGGAATTGTCGAAAAAAGCAAAGATTACGGTGAATGAGGAGGTTGGTTTTTGGAAACCAAGTTTTTTGCCGTGTTTTTACCCCAACTGAACGAAAAAATTCTAAAAAATTGAAAACATTGTCAGGACGACAATATCTGCCAAAAATGCAATCGGCACACGCACAAGGACGATCCGGAGGCGCGGCAAACGCGTAAAAACGGCGGGACGACGTTGATGAGCAAGAAGAAATCGCACTTTCGTCTGCTGGAGGACTTTGACCTGATCGGCTGCGACAACTGCGCCCAGTGGTATCACAAAGTGTGCTCCGGCCTCGAGCAGTTCCAGTACAACCTATTCGACAAATACTATTGTCCCAAGTGCGTCCCGACCGTCGGAAACAGCGTCGGTACGCATTTGTCGCATTTTTGCACGAAGATCACACAATTCCCTCACTTTTCTATCACAAATGTTAACAAAAGACAATTTTCTCTTCGTTGTATCTTTAAAATTCCGTCTGAAATCGGCTTTTTGTCAGAAAATTGAGGGAACTTGTGTCTATCGTATCCCTTCTCGAATTTAAAGGCGCACAACTCTGGCTCGCGTCTCTGTCTTGAAAACTTTCGCTCCGTGCGAGACCCGTCATCGAGAAAGGCGAGAGAAAGTTAGAAAATTCAAGCAATTGCAGAATTCCCGCAATCGGCGCCGCACCGCAAGACGTGGTGGTCGCCGGAGGAGAGAAAGTCGCCGATGCAAGTGGGATCCAAGCAGTGGATACAGTACTTCACCTCGTGGGAATCCAAAGTTCCACCGCCGTTCGTTGTTTTTTTCAATAAACATTGTGAGAAAAAGTGTCAATTGCAGATCGGCTTCAGAATTGACCGTAGCGCAAAACGGCTTCGAATTCAAGAAAGTGTTCGAGAAGGCGGGCGGCTTTGAAAAGTGGGACCGCGTGTATTTGATCCGCGAAAAGAAGGGCCTCGACATGAAAATGCCCGATTTCGCCACTTTCGACCTGGAGAACGTCGTCGAAATGATGGGCGGAGCGTATTTGGTCGACACGATCGACGTCTACAGCCAGACGACGTGCTCCATGAAGCTGGACACTTTTCTCGAGAAATTCAGAAACACCGAAGACCGCAGCCTCATCTACAACTTCCTCTCCCTCGAGTTTTCCAAGAATCGCAGGTGGGTTCTTGAGAACCTTGCACAATTGAGTTTTTTTGACGTAACAACATGTATTTGCAGACTGTGCGAAGTGGTACAAGCGCCGAAATTCGTGCAGGACGTCTCGCTGGTCGACCTCGTTTTTGGCGGCGATTCGAATGATCCGAAAGTGGCGGACGAGCACCGCCCACGCGTCGAACAGTTTTGTCTGGCCAGCATGGCCGGCAGCTACACCGACTTCCACGTGGATTTCGGCGGCAGCTCCGTCTACTATCACATATTCTCCGTGCGTTGTTTTCTTTTTGTTGTTGTTGGACAAATTTTGAGAAATTCTGAGGTTGCAGGGCCAGAAGATCTTCTACATACTGCCGCCGTCGAACGAGAATCTGGAGGCGTTCGCGGCGCACGAGACGGGCGGCTCGGCGAGCACGTGGTTCGGCAACAAGACGAACGGGCGGTGCAGACGGGTCCTGGTGAATCGGGGCGAGACCCTGCTGATCCCGTCCGGCTGGATCCACGCGGTCCTCACGCCCGCCGACTCGCTCGTCTTCGGCGGCAACTTTTTGCATTTGGGCAACTGCGCGATGCAGTTCCGAATATTCGATCTCGAGGCCCGGATCCAGCAGACGACCCAAATCGACGAGAAATTCTATTTCCCCAACTTCAAGCTCGTCCATTGGCTCCTCATGAGCAAGATCCTCATTCCTGCTATCGTCGGTATGTTTTTTTGGTGCGGAAGGGCAAAAGGCCTGCGGCGGCCTGCACTTTTGACCCACTTGCAATGATCCGATCGGGTCCAGTCTTTGCAGACTTCTTGGACTTGGATTGAAGTATATTGCATCCAAGTTTCAGAGATGTGTTGAAAAGACCACAATTTTAGGGCTTTTCGGCCTCACACCAGTTTATCTCGGGACCGGATGATCGGTCTGAAACTTGTACCCAATATACTTCAATCCGAGCCCAAAAATTCTGCAAAGTCTGGACCCGATCGGATCATTGCAAGCGGGTCAAAAGTTAGATAAGATTGAAAAACATGATTTTTGTTAGAAGCCAACGGATACGAAGAGGACATCCGCGAGCGCTCGGCCCATTTGTGGAAGTCGGCGAAGCTGACGGCGTCGTATTTGAAGGCGTGGGCGGCCGAAACTCAGAATAACCACGACGGAATCGGTGCGGCGAAAAAAAGAGAAATTCTGGCAAAGTACGACGAACAGCACGCCGTCCAGACACGCATTCAGAAGCAGAAGAACCGAAAATCATAGCTTTATCCTCTTTTTCTAAATTTTATTAATAATTTCCTGTAACATTTCTACTATGCCACTTATTTCTTGTTCCATTATGATGCATTTTTCGTGTGTGTAATTTTAGACCAAACTGCCCAATTTCCCTATCTTTCTCTTTGTATTTATTCCCCCTTGCCATTTCAATTTTTCTCGATTCTCTGTTCGATTTTGCCCCCTCATTGACAATAAATAATTCGCGCGTCGTCGGCGTCGTCGCCGCCGAGATGCTCACCCGTTGCGGAATCGCAATACGAAGTTAGACTTATTATGATGGCTTGTTAATTATTCCCAAAAATTAATCAGAATAGTATTCATTCCAACTTTTCAAGCTCGGCCCCGACGCAATTTGCACTGCAATTTTCTATTCGTGTTATCTTTAAAAATCCGTCTGAAATCGGCGTTTTGCTAGAAACACGGTGATTCTTTGCGAGGGTGACGAGGAAAATTCTAGTCCATTTGGCCCGGGGTCGCAGGCCGTGGTACTAGGCCACGGTTTCCGCCGAGTCCCCCGGCTGAACAAGAAATTATTAGGCCACGCCAGAAGTTAGGCCAGGAGGCCGAACCGAAGAAACTCGGCCATGGGGAATTTTTCACGAATTTCGCGCTTGTTTCATATTTTAGCGCTTGTTCTCTGTCAATTAATGCTTGTTTTCGGCTGAGTTTTGTATTTTTTCATCTCAAACATGAAAGAACGCAGTTTATAGAAGCTTTATTATTTTTTAGTAATTGTTATCGACAGAGAAAAATTGCCAACAGCAAAAACCAATAACAGCGCTGTGTAATATTCCTGAAAAGCAGTAAGAACGTCTTCAAAATGCTGTCGGAAACAATTGCGGCTAAACAGAAAGCGCGCGCGCCAAACTTGCAAAATTGCGTGCGGCAATTGCGCAAGACCACGCCCCTTCTTTGAATGGTGGCCGAGTTCGCGGCGCGTTTCTCACTACACCCTCGCAAAGAATCACCGTGTAGAAAATTGATGGAAATAGTGTCAACCGTATCCGTTCTCGAATTTAAAGGCGCACAACTCCAGCTCGCACGTCCAGTGACGCATTCAGAAGCAGAAGAACCGAAAAAAATAATTTCATCGTTTTTTGTGCTTAAATAATATTTTTCCAAAATTGTAACATTATTTTCCTTATTTCTTGTTTCATTATGATCAATTCGTGTGTGCTCAAATTTTAGGTCAAACTGCCCAATTTCCCCGATTTTCCCTTGCTATTTTTCTCGATTCTCTGTTCGATTTTACCTCTCATTGACTATAAAATTCACTCGGGAAATGTTTGACTTTTTTTTTAAAATTTTTGAAAACGATGGTCCGACAAACCAAACTATACAATTATTGTGCCTTTTTTCGCTCAACAATGGTTTTCATTTGTGTTAGTTTTCGATCAAAAATGATACGCGACACGTTTTTCCAAATTTGGAACTGTTTTCGGTCAAAAAAAGTGACAGAAATGATCGAAAAATGAGTGAAATTCGAGCGTTTCTATCAAATCTATATCCGATTTTCTCAATTGCGAACAAAATCGTTCTAATTTAGGGTGATTTTTGACGAAAAACCTGGAAAATTGGGTTTGAAATTCGAAACGTCGCTGGTTAGTAACTTTTCGGCGAATTGGGGTATAAACTCAAATTTCAAACAAAATTTCCAGGTTTTCAAATCATTTGAGGCGAAATGCCCCGAATTTCTCAGTCATTTTTCGATCATCTCTTTCTATCAGTTCAAAAAAGCGCTTGAGGGCGATGACGGAGCCGGAAAAATCGTTCGTCATGTCGCACACAGTGCACAACGCCGTGCAGCTCTCCCGCCACTTTGGAAACATCGAAAAGCATTTCGACATTCCGTGGTAATTGTTTGTTCGGCTTTTTTTCTGAAAAATTGACAATGTTTACAGGAAGGTTGGAGTGGCACAACAGGGCGACAGCATCGCGTTTTACCTGAATTGTCCGCTCGAAAATCCGTCGAATATGTGGAACGTGATCGCGACGTTCAAGTTCAAACTGAAATCGAAAGCCGGCGAGGAGCTGGTGATCGGCAACGACTTGCCGTGCAAATTCAGAAAAGGCGGCGAGAGTTGGGGAGACAGAGACGGAGTCAAGTGGCCAAGACTCGTCGAGGAGTTCATCGTCGACAATCAGCTGACGTTCGAGTGCCACGTCACCATCAAGAACATCGTGGGAATTAGTCGAAAGCGGAAAATGGAATGGGAGGCGCCGGAGGAGAGAATGACCGATGTGGTGATGGTTGTGGGCAAGGAGAAGACCAAATTCCATGTGCAGAAAGGGGTTCGTAACATAACGTTTTTTTTTTTTAATTGAAAGCAAAATGTTGTTCAGATGCTCGCCAACTTCTCGCCCGTGTTCAAAGCAATGTTCACGAATCCGCAGTACGGAGAGTTCAGTGCCAATGAGATTGTTCTCGAAGACGTCGAGTCGGATTCTTTCGAAATTCTGCTCAACTATCTTCATCGATGCGACACTGACATCACAGGTACTTAACACACAAGTTTCCACGTGTCTAAAAACGGTAAATTGCAAAGTTTTTGGTTTAGAACATGATTTTTCCAATTAGCGCGATTGCATCTAGAGTTTGTCCATTCATTTTTCTTCAAACTCGGCCCGAGGTTATGGGGTTATATTCAGGCTGTGAAAAAATGATTGTTTTCCGCTTTTTTCGTTCGTTTTTTTACGTCAAAAAATCCAATTCAGCGATGTAAAAAACGAAAAAAAAACGGAAAACAAACACGCTGAATATCCCCATTTTTGCAGTATAAAATGCCCGCATAATAACAAGAACATGTTTGTTTCAGACGAAAACATTGGCGGACTTCTGGAACTTGCCGATCGGTTCGATGTGAGTGTGATGTACAAGAAGTGCGAGAAGTACCTGATGAAAAAGTCGAGTATCGAAATCGAAAAGTTATTGGATCTGGCGGAATCGTACCAGCTCGTCGATCTTCACGGTCACTGCCTGGAATCGTTGAGAACGGCGAGACAGATCGCCGATGTCTGCCATAATGTCGACGAAATGGGCGAGCACACTTCGAAGGCGCTTCTCAAAAAGATGTCCGCCATTGTGAAGAGATCGAGAACTAGCATCTAAATGCACTGTTTTGTTATGGTTTTAGAATAATAACCCTGCTAACCTACTTGCTAATCGAATTTTATAACTGATTTTTCGAGCCGGTCATTCATTTTCCGCTTTCTATATTAATTGATTGTTTCTCACAATTGTCACGGGTTTCTGTCTTCGTCTCGCACTATTCCGCTTTATTGAACACTGTTCAAATGCAAAATTCGCTTATTACTGCTCGAATTTTTATTAATCAACCTTATTTCCACAGAAAATGGAGTCCAAAATGTCGTTCATCATTACTCACACAATCAAGAACGTCTCGGGGCTTACCACGGATTTGGGACCGACCGAAACGCATTTCGATATTCCATGGTAAGCAAAACAAAGTTTTTGTGAAAATAAAAAATTGACTTTTTGCAGGCGAGTGAAGGCTAACAAGCGGGACAATGATAACCTTGATCTCTACTTCAATTGTTGCCTCAATAATTCTTCGAATATGTGGAGTGTGCTCGCCGAATTCCAGTTCAAACTCAAATCGAAAACTGGCGAAGAGTTTGTGACTGGCGCCGTGTTGTTTAAATTCACAAGATATAACAGCTCGCGGGGACAGATTGTTATGAAATTGCCGAAACTTGTGGAGGAATTCGTCGTCGATAATCAGCTGACATTCGAATGCCACGTCACCATCAAAGACATCGTGGGGATCAGTCAAAGGCGCAAAATGGATTGGGAGGCGCCGGAGGAGAGAATGACCGATTTGGTGATGGTTGTGGGCGAGGAGAAGACCAAATTCCACGTTCACAGAGTGGTTAGTTTTAACGGAAAGCTTATAGACAACAAAACAATGTTTTCAGACACTCGCCAACTTCTCGCCTGTCTTCAAGGCAATGTTCACGAATCCTCAATTCCGAGAGTCCAGTGACAAAGAGGTGATTCTTGAAGACGTCGATCCAGACGCATTCAAAGTCCTCATCAACTACATTCATCGATGCGACACTGACATCACAGGTATTACGCATTATGGCTCGTTCAAAAATCAAAGTTTCAGACAAAAACGTCGAGCGAATTCTGGTGCTGGCCGATCGTTTCGACGTGAGTGTGATGCTCAAAAAGTGCGAGAAATACTTGATGAAAAAGTCGAAGTTCGGAATGGAGAAGTTATTGAAATTGGCGGAGACGTACCAGCTCGTGGATCTTCACGGCTTTTGTCTGGACGCTCTCAAGACGACGAAGCAGATCGCCAATGTCTGCCAGAATATCGACGAAATGGGCGAGCACACGTCGAAGGCGCTTCTCAAAAAGATGAAAGATATTGTGGAGAAAACAGAGTTGTACACTTAAATGCACTCTTTTGTTAATTTTCCAAAAAGAATACTAGAAGTCTACTTGCTATTCAAATTCTATTCTTACTTTTCTGAGCCGGTTATTCATCTTCCGCTTTCTTTTTTCTTAATTCTTCAGTGATGTTTTGCGTTCGCCGAAGTGTGCGACTCGATGCCTTTCTCGACGGTTGGTCTCGCACGGAGCTTTTCGAGCCAGAACTTTCGCATTGGAATTCTGCGGACTAAAAACGGCTCCGGGACATTTCGAAACCAGACATTTCGAAACCAATTCAGTACAAGTATTTAAAAATTCAAAAAACCGCCAAATTCGCAGTATGGACAGTAATTTTTCGTATTGCTCAGGTTAAAAATGTGTTCTTTTTCTGCTGGAAATAGATGTTTTTTCACTGTTTTTTCGGCGTTGTTCTGTGTTTTTGTCGAACATTCTTATAATTTTTCATGATCCGCTTGCTGGAAATCGTATTTCTTGTACAGAATAATGTACTCCACCCGTTATATCCGCACAACGGATTTACAACGTTCTGTTCCCGCAGAATTTCGTTGTTTTCGGGAATAATTTTGTTAAGTTATACGTTTGTGTTAGTATAAATAGTCCGAAATCATAATTAATTGCTAAAATACACTTAACATGCATTTCTACCGCGAATTTGGCGGTTTTTTTTGAATTTTTAAATACTTGTACTGCATTGGTTTCGAAATGTCGCGGTTTCGAAATGTCCCGGAGCCCTAAAAACAATTTATATACAACTTTCCCTTTATTTTTCTTTTAAAATCCGTCTAAAATCGAGAAAATTTTGATCTCTTGAGGATATTTGAAAATATTCAAATTTCTTGCGCAAATTTTCAAAAAATACCGTAGTCTTAGGGGTACGGTTACATTCGTTGAGCTGTGCGCACCCCCGTTTTTCACGCAAATTTCGGCCGACTTTGGACAGGAAAACCAGCGGTTTTTCCGGTTTTTCCGAGACTTTGGACGCGGCATTAAGGTTTTCGAATAATAAAATCAAGATATATTTGGTGTTCGAATGTATTGTGAGCCGGTTGTTCATTTTCCGCTTTCGATTTCTCTTCTGCTTTTGTTATACCTAAATTTCAATTAATTAATCATCCAGATTATTCGATAATGCCATTGCCCGAAAATTCGTTTATCCTCACTCACACCGTCAAGAACGTCGCGGAGCTTACCAAGGATTACGGGCCAATCGAAACGCATTTCGATATTCCGTGGTTGGTTGCTTTTTAAGTATAACACAGAAATTGGCGTTTGCAGGAAATTGAAAGCGGAACAAAATAATGATAACCTTGCGCTCTTCTTGCTCTGTTCTTTCGAAAATTGTTCAAATATGTGGAGTGTATCCGCCGCATTTAACTTCAAACTGAAATCGAAGGCGGGCGAAGAGATTGAAGAAGGCGACGAGGATCCGTCCAAGTACACGCGCGACCTCACTTCCTGGGGCTACTGCGAAGTGATCAAGTGGCCGAGACTCGTCGAGGAATTCGTCGTCGACAATCAGCTGACGTTCGAGTGCCACGTCACCATCAAGGACATCGTGGGGATCAGTCGAAAGCGGAAGATGGATTGGGAGGCGCCGGAGGAGAGAATGACCGATTTGGTGATGGTTGTGGGCAAGGAGAAGACCAAATTCCATGTTCACAGAGTGGTTAGTTCTGAGGGAGAGCTCATAGAAAACCAAAGATAGTAAACGAGAAGAGATCCGAGTATTTTCAAATTTCGTTGTTTTTTAGGTGCTCGCCACCTTCTCGCCTGTCTTCAAAGCAATGTTCGCCAATCCTCAGTACCGAGAGTCCAGTGACAAAGAGGTTGTTCTTGAAGACGTCAATCCAGACGCATTCAAAGTTCTTTGCAACTTTATTCATCGATATGACACTGACCTCACAGGTAATACAGTGCCTTTATAGTGCTTTTCTAAAATACACGTTTCGGACAAGAACGTCGAACAAGTTCTGGTGGTTGCCGATCGTTACGACGTGAATGCGATGACCAAGAAGTGCGAGAAGCACCTGATGAAAAAGTCGAAGCTCAGAATGGAAAAGAAGTTGAAATTGGCGGAATCCTACCAGCTCGTGAATCTTCACGACCACTGCCTGATGTCTTTGAAGACGGCGAAGCAGATTGCAGATGTCTGCAAGAATATCGCGGATATGGGAGAACTCACTTCGAAGGCGCTTCTCCAAAAGATGGCCGATATCGCACGGAATCCCAGCCCTCCAATAAAATTGGCGCAATGCGTCAAACAATAACTGCTTCGTCATCAATTTCGAAACGTTTTATGCGAAAATTACAGAATTTTTTTCCTTTTGGAATCGAAAATTTGCCTCAATTATCTCAATTTTGTATCTTTTTCGACGGTTGAGCGCTTAAAAGATGCGCAATAAACTCCTTGTTAACTGGACGGTTCGAATGCCAGTGTCCGAACTCGATTCGGCAAATAATCGTTAAAACTCCGTTTTTTTCAGTAGTTTTCGACAAAATCCCTCAATTTGGTCATTTCTGAACGAATTTGCTCTGTTTCGCGCTTAAATCGATGCTTTTAACTCAGACAATCGCCCTACGGTTCGCAAAGAACAAAATTTGAGTGTTTATTAAGAGAAAAACGAAAGAATTCTGGTTTTCAACAAGCGCGCCCCATTCACAACTCGCTTGCGCATTGGAATGCTGGGGTTCCGTGTATCGTGAAGGTTTATAAGGATCCTATTTAAATTCTCTGTTCTCACCCCGATTTTCTATTCGTCTCACTGTTTCTCTTAAAATAGTAACAATTTACTTGTCTTTCAATTTTTCGATATTCCCCACTGATCTCTTGTTCTTCTCAATACATATCTTTTTTTAGCCTGCCGCCCCTCTCGTTTTTAATATATTTTCTTTTAATTCAACTGCCACTATCAATAATTTTTTCCACGCAATGAATCAGATCGATAAGACCATTCTTTGTGATGACGGGAGGGTTGGCAGCCATGTGCAAGTGCGCTCCAACGAACACTGTTACAACGCATCCTTCGGTGTTTCTGTGCACGTTCTCCGATAATGTTGTGAATTTTTCAAATATAAAATCCCTTTCCGTACATCGACAATTGCCCCCCTCCCCCTTGGCCTAACCGAGTTTTCTAGTCCACCCTTGGTTGGATTCAAGAAACAGAATAATAACGAAAATCAATTCAGGAATGATGATGGAGCCGGAGAAATCGTTTATATTATCGCATACAGTCAAAAACGTGGCATCGCTCACCACGGATTTCGGGCCAGTTGAAACGCATTGCGATATACCGTGGTAAGCTTTTTTTCGTACAAATTGCTGGAAAAACCTTAAAAACTTGTAAAAAATTACAAAAAAAAACCATAGAGCGGCGCAGAATCAAGCACTGGTGTTCAGTTCTGCAATTTGACGTTTTCCTGCTTGTAATAGTTTCTAGCATCTTATTTCACCGAGAAAAATCGATAAATTGTTCAACATGAAACTTGCGGGCCGATCCCGCGGAATCTTGCAAGTCTGACAGTTGAAAATGAGCAATTATCGATTTTAGGAAACTGGAAGCATCGCAACGCGAAGACTGTCTCGCCCTGTACCTATATTGCCTGATCGACAACCCGTCGAACATGTGGAACATAAGTGTCGTGTTCAAATTCAAGCTCAAATCGAAGGCGGGCGAAGAGATTGAAGAAGGCGACGAGGATCCGTCCAAGTACACGCGCGACCTCACTTCCTGGGGCTACTGCGACGTGATCAAGTGGCCGAGACTCGTCGAGGAATTCGTCGTCGACAATCAGCTGACGTTCGAATGTCACGTCACCATCAAAGACATCGTGGGGATCAATCGAAAACGGAAGATGGAATGGGAGGCGCCGGAGGAGAGAATGACCGATGTGGTCGTGATTGTGGGCGAAGAAAAGAAGACGTTTCATGTGCAGAAAGGGGTTAGTGAATCGGAAAAAGAAAAACGCACGGTCTCCAGAGCTGACAATGGGCGCAAGCCCAATAGAGCGATACATTGGCGCGAAATTCAAATTTTAACAGCAAATTTTGTGTTTTTCGCCAGATTAGCCACGAAAAACCGATAATTTCTCATTTGTCTCTCGATAGACCGATTGTATAGGCTATTACGAATTTTTTAAGCGCAAGAGCGTTAAATTTGGTCAAGTCGCAAATCACATTTATCCGTTTGAAGATTTTTGGCTAAAACTGCGTGAATTTCAGTTGCTTTTCGGTAATTTTCGCGGTTCGAGCGCTCAAAATGCTTGTTTTTACGTGATTTATCATTCTCAAAACCAATTCTGTCTGAAAACGGTAAAGAAAGCGCAAATTGAGAAGTGCGGTTTTCGGCGGTGATCGGCGGCGAAGGCAAAAAAGCAAAGTCCGCGAAAAATGAGCGCCAAAACGTCATTAATTCTGAGAATTAGTGTGTTTTCATGTCGAACAATCATCTTTTCATCGCCTTTGACCACAAAAAATCAGAGAAAACCTGCTCAATTCATGAAAACGCCATTTGGCCGAGGCCACGCCCATATTGTCAGCTCTGAAGACCGTGAAACGTTCGGAATTCGATGAAACAATTGTTTTCAGACGCTCGCCAACTTTTCGCCAGTCTTCAAAGCAATGTTCACGAATCCCAAGTATCGAGAGTTCCGTGAAAAAGAGGTTGTTCTTGGAGACGTCGATCCGAACGTCTTTGAAGTTCTCATCAACTACATTCATCGATGCGACACTGACATCACAGGTAACAAAACGTTTTATAATCACCAGACTTGTCAAGAATCGGCCTAATTCAAAATGTATGTAAATTTTGCAGACGAAAACGTCGAGAAACTTCTGGCACTTGCCGATCGGTTCGACGTGAATGTGATGCTCAAAAAGTGCGAAAAGTACCTGATGAAAAAGTCGGAGCTCGAAATCGAGAAGCGGCTAGAGCTGGCGGAAGCCTACAAACTCGTCAATCTTCACGGAAACTGCCTGGAATCGCTGAGGACGGCGCGGCAGATCGCCGATGTCTGCCATAATGTCGACGAAATGGGCGAGCGCACGTCGAAGGCGCTGCTCAAAAAGATGTCCGACATTATAAGAAAGTCAAAGATATTTATTTAAACATGTAATCACTATTATTGGGGCACCGGACAGAAAGTTCGCAATCTGGCCGAATTTCTAGGCCGCGAAGTAATTTTCCACTGAAAACGTGGCCTAACTTTTCAAACTCGGCCCCGAGGTCGCTCAATTTGCACTGCAAAAAGAGTTTCTCGACAGAGCGCCATTTCTGTGCGGTGCCCCTATAATATCTACTATGTAACATTGTCTATGTTTGCTGTAATGTAATAAATTATAATTGTAATATCTCAAAGCAACTGAAATTCACGCAGTTTTAGCCAAAAACCTTCAAACGGATAAATGTGATTTGCGACTTGACCAAATTTAACGCTCTAGCGCTTAAAAAATTCATAATAGCCTATACAATCGGTCTATCGAGAGACAAATGAGAAATTATCGATTTTTCGTGGCTAATCTGGCAAAAACACACAAATTTTGCTGGAAAAATTTGAATTTCGCGCCAACGTCTATTGGGCGGGGCGCACTTGCGCCCATTGTCAACTCTGGAGACCGTGATGTAGAAATGTAATCAAAAATTAACATTTTTAAGGGTTTACCTAAAATTGTGAGGGCACCGGACAGAAAGTTCGCAATCTGGCCGAATTTCTAGGCCGCGAAGTAATTTTCCACTGAAAACGTGGCCTAACTTTTCAAACTCGGCCCCGAGGTCGCTCAATTTGCACTGCAAAAAGAGTTTCTCAACAGAGCGCTATTTTTGTGCGGTGCCCCTATAATATTGTTTGTTTTTTGTTGAATTTTTGTCGTTACCGCTAGACGGCGACCAAAAGTGGAAAAAGGGACGTGGCCTGCGAAAACAAAACACATTTTCCACGCCACGCCCCTTTTTTCACTTTTGGTCGCTATTTATGCGCTTTTGTCATAAATATCTATCGCTTAATCATTTTCAAACATTTCATAATAAATTATGCATAACAAAAAATCATGAGAAAAAAACCAGTATGTGGAAGACTAAAAGAGAGAAAAAGAAGATATGTGCGGAAAATTGGAAATGCTCACAGAGCACAAAAATTACAATTCGTCGTGATCCAGTTTCAGTTGTTGTCTCACAATCTGAACGAACGTCTCCTTGTGCTGCGTGGTGATTCCGTAGCCGAGCACGTCCTGTCGCGACCACCCGGTCTTGCCGGAATACAATCGAATCGTCGGGTACGCTCTCACTTGCGCGCCCTGACACACGCCCGGCCATTGGTCGCAATCGATTTTCGCAAAGTTGACCTTCTCGCCGAGCTCCTTGGCGATCTGGTCGTAAATCGGCGCGAACTGGATGCAATGGCCGCACCACGGCGCGAAGAAGTCGACGATCCACGGCTCGGTCGAGTCGAGGACCGTCGTGGGGAAGTCGTTGCCCAGGGTGACCACCTCGGTCGGCAGGAAGTTGTAGACCCACCGTTGGATCGAGTCCGAGTTGCGCCACATGTGGTTCGGGTAGTCGCTGAAAATAATGCATTTTTGTGAAAAAGTTTCAAATTATCTGCGCTCAAACAGTGTGTCTTATCGACATTACATTTTGCCAAAACACTTACTAGAATGCGGCGCGTCTCGGCTGCTTCGTCTTCTTCGCCGGGAACATCCGAACAGTCGGGTAGCTGACAATCTGCGTCTGTTTGCAGAACTGCGCGTACTTCTGGCAATCGATCGACGCGACCTTCGCATTCTCGTCCATTCCGCCGATGGCTCTGGCGGCCTTCTGCAGTTCTGGCGCCAGTTGTTGACACGGTCCGCACCAGGGAGCGAAGAAATCGACGAGCCACGTCTCCTCGTCTTTCCGGTTAACGACCAACTCGTCGAACTGCTCGGGGCTCATTTCGACGACCGACGGGTTGAGCGCATTGTCGATGTACTCGAGGACGGCGTCGATGCTGTGGTAGCCGACCATTCGGTGCTGTTTTCCGTCGGGCGTGTAAATTATGCTCGTCGGATAGTTCTGCACGCCCGCCGCCGTGCACAAATCTTTGTACTTGACACAGTCCAGCGAGCCGATCGCCACCGAATGAAGTACGGATTCTTCGGAGACGGTCGTGTGGAAGCGACGGTATTCGCCGAGCAGTTTCAGGCATGGAGGACACCACTGAAAATTCCGTTTAATTATTCATCTCTTTTGATCGCTAAAATCGGGAAAATCGATATTTTCAAAACTTACCGGCGCAAAATAATCGACAATGTAGAACTCTCCGCCACTGATCGCATATTCATAAGAATCCCGATTCAATACGTGGATATGGGACGTCGATGCCTCGCGAATGAACGTGCTGGCCCCGTAATAGTCCTTCGCGCCGGCGTAATCGATCTCGTAGCCGCCGGTCGTTTTGAAAACGATAAATTGCGGAAGTTTTGTCTTGTCGACAATCTCGTCGCAAAGGTCCGATTTGGAGCAGTCGAATGAGAATACGGGCGAGGGAACGAGTGCCGGCAGTCGTCGGAAGTCCTTCCGTTCCGACGTCTGCTTCTCGTTCGCCACCATCCAAACGGCGATCGGCTCATCCGGGTCGTTGGCTTCTGCAATTTATGCTATGCTATTGTTTTTTCAAACCAGAATTTTCTCAGAAAACATTTTTCGTGGTGAGCACGGTCTCCCACAGCGCGAATGATTTCAATTGGGGCGCACTTGCAATAGGCGGGCTGTGTCGATTTACGCGGCGACCGATTAATTAATTTTCAACGGGAGTTCGCGTTATTTCCATGTTTTCTGTACAATACACCTATTTTTGTACGCCTAGAACCTGGATTCGAATAATTAGAGCACTAGCTACGTTTTGGTAGCAGAAATCTCGCATATCGTTGAGAATTAGCCGAGTTATTTCGATTTGAAGGCTTTGGCCTGGATTTTGATGTTTTTAGAATAGTTTTCGAAAAGTGCTCATGAAAACTAGCCACCGGAACCTGAATTTTGTGAAGAAAGATTCAGCAAACATTTTTATCGTTCGTTGGGCTCATGAAATGCAAAATGAGCTGAAATATGAAGGTTTGAAGTTTTGACGAAATGCGAAAAAGACGCTAAAAACATGAAAAACTCGAAATTCTGTAAAGAACGGTTTCCAATCAGTAAAATATTGTTTTCTAGACGTTTTTCAAGTCAAAAAGAAAGAAATAAAGGTCGTAAACTCGAATTGAACTGCATTTTCAGACCTGTAAATTTTCAAAAGTTACAACGACACTCCGCAATTTATGAGCGCCCTGGGAGACCGTGGTGAGACCCACTAAACATACCCAAAAGTCGCTGCAGACTCTCCTGTTCGATCATCGGAATCTCGTCCAAATACTCGATGACTTGTTTGGTAATCTCCTGCGCGTCCATGCTCTCAATGTTCTGTTGATGTTTCTTTTGCAACTTTCGCGCCGGGAAGTACATAACTCCGGAAGTCTGCTCGAATTTCGAGCACAACGTCTCCTCGGCACTACAATCGATCGTTGCCACGTTGGCGAGTCCGTCGAGCATCGCCGAGAGCTTCCGTCTCGTCGTCGAGCTGAGACACTCGATGTTGTCGCCGCCGCACGTGTCGACGACCCACGGAAGCCGATTGTAGGGCTCCCATTCCTCGCTCAACGCCTTCCAATTATCCGCGTTCAGGTGCAGCACTTCCGATTTCAGGCGTTGGATCACAAAGTCGGTCATCAACTCGACGTCGCGAACTCCGTTGTAGAACTCGCCGGTCGGATAGAAGACAAGGGACGGATAGGCGCCGACGCGCTGGCCCTGGCAGAGTTGCGGGTCTTCCGCGCAGTTCACCGCGCCCACTCGGATCGTTCCTTCGATCTCACGTGCGAATTTACGCCACTAAAAAGAAATAATTTGTTTATATATCACGGTCTCCAGAGCTGACAATATGGGCGTGGCATCGGCGGCCAAATGGCTTTTTCATGAATTGAGCACGTTTTCTCTGATTTTTATGATCAACGTCGATGAAAAATGATTACTGGACATGAAAACACACTAATTCTTAGAATTAATGACGTTTTGGAGCTCATTTTTCGCGGATTTCGCTTTTTCGCTTTTTCGTCTTCGCCGCCGATCGCCGCCTATAAACCGCACTTCTCATTTTGCGCTTTCTTGACCGTTTTCCGACAGAATTAGTTTTGAGAATGATAAATCACGTAAATACAAGCATTTTGAGCGCTCGAACCGCGAAAATTACCGAAAAGCAACTGAAATTCACGCAGTTTTAGCCAAAAACCTTCAAACGGATAAATGTGATTTGCGACTTGACCAAATTTAACGCTCCTGCGCTTAAAAAATTTGTAATAGCCCTATAAAATCGGTCTATCGCGAGACAAATGAGAAATTATCGATTTTTCGTGGCTAATCTGGCGAAAAACACAAATTTTGCTGTTAAAATTTGAATTTCGCGCCAATGTATCGCTCTATTCGGCGGGGCGCACTTGCGCCCATTGTCAACTCTGGAGACCGTGATGTAGAAATGTAATCAAAAATTAACATTTTTAAGGGTTTACCTAAAATTGTGAGTTTACTAACCGTGGGTGCCAATTGATGGCAGTGTGAGCAGTAGGTCGAGTAGAAATTGATGAACCAGATATCGTTCGAGTCGGTGACAAGTCTTTGAAAGTCTGCTCGATTCAACGTCACAATCTCCGGGTCCTCGTCGTAAATCCCAAAGTTATCGTTGTAGAACTGCCAGCTCTGATAGTTGTTTCCTCCTTGGAACCCGTCCTCGAGCCCTTTTTCTCCGAACTGATCATATTTTTTGCGTAGATTTTCGTCCTTCAGCACCTCGTACGCCTTGTTAATCTTCACAAACTCATCGTGCGCACTCGGGTTGTCCTTATTGCGGTCCGGATGTTTTTTGATGGCGATTCTCTTGAACGCCTTTCGTATCGTTCGATCATCGGCGTCACGCTCGACGCCCAGCAGTTCGTAGTAGTCGTCGGCCAGTGCGAGACCCACGAGTCCTACCAGTAATAGGTGAATTGCCCGCATTTTCTGGAAAATTGCTTGTATTTTGGTGAAAATTCACGATAGCAGTCATTTCTGACTAGAAAATAACATACAAAACGTTTAAAAATGAGTTCTCAAATTATCCAAGTTTTGTTAAACAATGTTAAAGAATCAGGGATAATAGGACGGTCAGCTATGATGAAATGCGAAGAAAATTCTCAAAACCTTCTATAAAATCGATATCTTATAAAAAAAAGAACATTGCTTTGTTGAACAGAATTCGGATATCTTAGATGCTGCCGCTATACGCCAAAGTTAGTACACGTCGTCAAAACGAGAGATGCGATGGGAGGAAGGAAAAGAAAAAAGACGGTCATATAGCCATAGAGACCCTGTAAGCGGACGGTCGTCGGAAAGGGCCGGCCCGATGTGTGCGTGGCGATATGTCAATATCCACTGACTGGTATATAGAGCCAGTAAGGACCGGGCCGTGTGTTTGCTCTCTGAGCAAACCGAATCACCGACGGTTTGCTCAAAGACTGCAAAGTTGTGGACGGTTAGAAATGGAATGGAATGGAGAAGAAAAAGGAAACGGAAAAGTGCAGAGAAGAGCTCACTTTACTATTAATGGAACTTTGGGGGTCTTGGTGTTTTTTACAATCTTATTAGTGAAGAAGAAGAAAAAAACAAAGGTGGCTCAGGTTCCAAAAGTCATGAAAGTCACTGAATAATCGAGTAAATGCATCGATCAATTTAATTTTCACAAAATTCACATTCTTTCAAAACATCTGGATAATTAGGCTCGAAGACTTCTAAATTGAGCGCTTCGCAATCGGAAAGTGTTTGCACAAACAAAAATTAGTCACATCCATGCCTTTGAACAATTTTCGTGAAGGAAAAAAGTTTTATGTGACAGGTCGACTCGGTAATCCGTACCGCGCAGCGCGCTGTCTCTAACGGCCTGTTTTGGCCAATCTTCTGCCAGGACCGTCTTCTTTTTTCTTCTTTTCTGCCCACTGTCTTCCCACTAGCGTTACGAGCGGAGTGTCGTTGAGAACCAATGTAGGTCAACCCTGAGAAAGTGTCTGTCTCGAAGGTCCCGTCATTCAGAGGACCGCACGGCCTCCAGAGCTGACAATATGGGCGTGGCCTCGGCGGGCAAATGGCGTTTTCATGAATTGAGCAGGTTTTCTCTGATTTTTGTGATCAACGGCGATGAAAAATGATTATTCGACATGAAAACACACTAATTCGCAGAATTAATGACGTTTTGGTGTATTTTTCGCGAACTTTGCTTTTTCGCCTTCGCCGCCTAAAAACCGCACTTCTCATTTTGCGCTTTCTTGACCGTTTTCAGAAAGAATTGGTTTTGAGAATGATAAATCACGTAAATACAAGCATTTTGAGCGCTCGAACCGCGAAAACTACCGAAAAGCAACTGAAATTCACGCAGTTTTAGCCAAAAACATTCAAACGGATAAATGTGATTGGCGACTTGACCAAATTTGACGCTCTTGCGCTTAAAAAATTTGTAACAGCCTATATAATCGGTCTATCGAGAGACAAATGAGAAATTATCGGTTTTTCGTGGCTAATCTAGCAAAAAACACTAATTTTTCTGTTAAAATTTGAATTTCGCGCCAATGTATCGCTCTTTTGGGCGGGGCGCACTTGCGCGCCCATTGTCAGCTCTGGAGACCGTGGACCGTCTTTTGCCAAAACGATACAATTCTATACACGCCACGAATTGTGCACCTTTTTCCCGATTTATAAGGGCAAACGCGATGAATAATGATGTTTCGACATGAAAACACAATATTTCTCGAAATCTCTAACGTTTTGGTACATTTTGCGCATTCTTCACCGATTACAGACAAAATTGGTGTCGAAAATTATCGATCACGTAAACACGATCATATTGAGCGCTCAGATAACAAAAATTGTCAAGTTTTAGGCGAAAAACGTTAAACGAAAGCATGTTAGCTAGATAGCCACAAAGCCACATAAATGTTCAATATGACTCCCACGCTGTCGCAACTCTATTCATACGCTATAAATGATTTTTTTGAATACTGGTTATGCCCCGTATCCCTTCTGATTGAATGGTTCCGAAGAGATTTGGCCACATGACTGCTCAGGGCTCAGAATCAAGAAATCAATCAATAACCCCCATCGCTCGGACTTTTTACACTATGGCTGCTTCCGATTTTTCTCTCGATCAGTCGCTCAAAGTGTGTGTGTGTGATGAATTACTCAAAAAGTAAGCAGTCTCGCTCACAAAAATAAACATGGCTTCTTTTTCGTTTCTTTTCTTCATCTTCGTCCACTCAAAAACACAACAAAAAAAAGAGAATTAGAGAAAAAAGTGAGCGATGAGTCATGGAATGGGTTGAAAAGCTTCGGGAAGAGAGAAAAAGAGAAAAGCGATTGGAGATGCGACCTCTCCGAAACGACGAAAAAGTGGGTCTCGGGTCTCCTCAGCACTTTCTCCGAGTGTCTGCGTCCATTTTTCTCTCTCGCGTTTTCGGGTGAAGAATACCTTTAGCCAGTGGTCGAGCGGTGTGTAGACTCACTTCAAAACACACATAAAAAGAAGAACACTTGTGTCCGTTTTTGAGTCATTCTGTGTAATTTACTGCCGAATTGGACTTTCCGTCGGTTTCTCTGTTTTTCGGCGATTTTTGAGACTTTGAGACTTTGCATTCTAGAATCTCGCCACGAAAAAGCGCCTGAAATCCTGTCGAAAATGCAATTTTTGAAATAAAAACACGAAAATTTATTTTTGGCGTTATTTTGCAAATGAAATTGTGTAAATTGTCGGCGATGGGTCTCGACACGAAATAGCGTCGAAATCTACGGCTTTTGCTGTAAATTTCTGTCGAACACTCGTTATTTATTATTATTTAAAAAAGTTATTTAAAAACTTTTTTATTTAAAATTTTAGTTAAAAATTTAAAAAAGCTCTAAAAAAGCTCTTAAAAATTGGTTGTGAAATTTCGATTGTGGCGAGACCCGAACATGATTCATTTGTTCTCGGATTCTCAAATTCCAAACCCAATACTATTATCCATTTTTCGCCCTAAAAATTGACCCCCGCCCCCCAATAACGATCATGTTCTCACCCGCATTTTCTTTCTCACACTATGCACCCCTTCGCGGGCAATTAGAATATGTTCTCCGTGTTCGGTGGGTGGCTACTCGTCAGTCCTTTTTTGACCCCATTCAACCGTAATAATGTGCTCTCTTTTCACCGACTTACTCGTGCTCAAGAGGCGTACGCGTCGGAAAATTGAATTTTCTGCGTTTTCTCCGATATTCTGCCTAGTTTAAATACAACGCAATTTCGGTACTTAACGTTAAATTCGCATTAGAGCGAATTTTCTTTCAGGCGGAATTTCGAAATTTTCAGCAAAAAGTTGAACCTTGTCAAACCACTCAATTCTTTCGTTGTAACAAATCATTTCACTTTAAAACCAGTTCCAAAGTATACTAACATTTCTTTTTCAACATTTTCCCATCTGAAAAATGTCAATTTCGTTCCGAAGAATGCTTTTTAGCGAATTCCTCTTTTTTCCGTGCAAAAACGCGGCGAAAGTATTTTCTCACGTTTTCCGTACAAGCGGAGCACGCAATACGCAATGTTTAATGACTATTAGCCAATTATTCAAAAGCACCCTATAATTAAGCGGCAGCTGAAGAACCATAGGTCATTCGGTGGTGATCCCGCACGTTTCTTGTTGTTTTTTGTACAGTTTTTCTCGGTTTTCCGTTCTGCGCCTTTAAAGTTCATAACTGTGAAAGGTATAGCACAGTTTGGTGTGCGTAGAAAAGAAAACCTTACTTTGCATCAGCAATTTTGAAATTTCTCTCACTTCCTCCCAAATTTTACTGTTTTGTTTAGTTTTCCGCAATTTCGTTCGGTTTTCGACTCGTTTTCTCAACCTCCCCGTGCTGTGCACTTAATGCTCTAAGCTTTGAAAGCTGTAGAGCAATTTGGTAGGCGTACAATAAAATTTCTCGAATTTCCTCTTAAAACCACTCGTTCCCATCCTCGCTCGCTCCTCTTCCGACAGTTTTGCCCCCTTCTTCTTCAGTTCTTCTCCAATTCCAATCAATCTGATGAATCATCGATAACACGAGCGAGACCTTGGTCATCAGACAGTCAAACTTGATAGAACGCGCGTCGCAGACAGTCAGAACAGTCCGAGGCTGGGGCGGGGCGTCTTGTTTTCGCTTTTCAGTTAAAAACGAGCGAATTGGGACGAGGATTAGTCATCTCGCTGATCTTTCGAAACGTTTTGGTTATTTTCGTTTTAATGCATGCGTGCAATTTCGGCAGAGCTCCTGACTGCCATCTAGTTTGGTCTTTTCATCTGAAAAATGTAGCCGTTTGCTGGAAAAACTCAATTTTCGCTCTAAAATAGAAAATCGCGAGAAAAACATCTGAATTTCAGTTTTTAGACTCACGGCTTCTCGAAATTTCTCATTATGCGCCTTTAAAGCTGCCGTACTCTTTTCAATCAACTAATTTTGTGGGAAAATGCGCATGCACATCTGTTTCTTCAATTTTCGCCAACGCTCCTGAAAATTTGCGTTGCATCTAAGAAAAAAGTTGAAAAATCGTTAACATCCACTCAGATTTCACCTTTTTTCGAACCGTATTTTAATTAAGCTCCACTTCCGTTCGGTTCCATTCATTGTCCCATTCAAATCGTGTGTGTGTGTAGGCACTCGAAACCAGTTATCCCCTCCGTTGCCTAATAATGAAGCGGTGCGCGTCGGAATGCGTGAAAATCCGCTCGAGGGTAGTAACCTCAATTCATCTCTTTTCCTCTTTTCCCCCTCTGCGTCTCCCAGTTTCCATTAACAATTTCGCGTATGGATAAATAAATAAACAAAGAAAAGCGACGAACCCTTTTTCGCCGTCTTCTGACCACTCGCCGCGACGAGCATACATAGTGAACGGCGAAAGAAAAGAGAGAAAGAGAGAGAGAGAAAACAAACTTTTCTTCTCGAGAAGTCCTTCCCCTCCGAGTATGTCTAACCATTAGGGAAGCGATGTTATTCTTATGAATTGTTAGCTTAAAATGGCGAAGCATGCCGCATGCGTTCGATCTGCTCGTTTTTACTGACTTTTCCCCCCGAAAAACACGTTGTTTTTCACATCATTTCTTGCGAAAAGTACCAATCACCTTGTTTTTCATCGAATTCCCACCATTCCGCATACGGTTTCTATCGAAAAGACCCTCGTATCTTATCATGAAAGTTTGACACGGTGTCCCAACTTGTCTACTTGCGTTTGTCATTCGGGCGGTCGCTGACGGCGATAAGATATTGTTCGTAAGGTAGTAATCGTACTAATGATGATCCGAAGGTTAATTGTACAAAAAAAGGTGCCGCCCACGCTATTCCATTTGTCATTTCACATTTCACAATCGAATTTCTTATCATCGCCATTAAATTTCGTTTCTCCCATTCTCTATTTCTCTTCCTTTCTTCCTCACTTTCTCGATGATGCCGTCATCGATTGCACCATTTTCCGTTCGAGACCCAAAAACGAAACGCAATAAACGATAAACTAACGGTCTGGCGGGACCGTCTTTGATATTTGATCCGTTTCCCCCCGACCGCTCACTCTTTTAGACACCTTTTTGACCGATTGCCGGGGGGATACCGCACCTATCGCGGAGGATAGAGATTAGGACCCTCTTGACACTATGTCTTCACTTTTTTTTTCTTCACTCCACGCACCGACAATGTATTTTTGCCCAATTTTGTACTTTTCAGTAGCTAACAACAATTTTGACTTGCTGTATTATCAAAAAATTGAGAAAAATGGTGGTCACTGCCCCGACTCACCTGACTCCGAGAATGGTCGCTAAGCAAACATACACCGTTTTTTTTTCGAACATGTGTACTTTTCTCTACTTTTCGACTGAAAGAAATGTGTGAAAAACAAAAGGAATCAGTCATGAGGTCGTTTTGGTATAAACAAGTTTTGAGCGAAATAGATTTTTCGAATAGTCGAAAATCGGCCACCAAAAATGTATAATCAGCAATGTAGCTTCTCAAAAATTGCTTCAATTTCATTATTCCCTCCGTTCTTTTCTATTTCACTACATTGTTTCGATCGTTTGCAGTAGTTGTCCCAAATGCGATCCGGCGGTCAGCTGCTGGTGCTGCTCGCGCTTGTCACGTGGAGCACGGCTCGTTCGCCCACGTTCCCCGGCGGCACTTCATCGTCACAAACTGCATCGGCATCATCGTCGGAGCCACGTGGCGAGCATGTGTGCACCGTCAAGACGATGTACGTTTTACTAATGTGCTCTGCACATTCTTTGAGAAAAAAAAAACATTTGAAAAGCTGGGTCCGTTGAAAATAAGCTGTGACCCTCCTCACAGGTGTTTGACAAGGGAAACGGTCACTTGTGGGCACAGAAGTAGATAAATATTGTTTTAGGCCCAAAAACTAGAGGATTAGGGATTAGCGCGGCGAATGGAAGCATTCGAAAAAGACACTATTCTAATGGGGTTATTCAGGCTGTGAAAAAAATGATTTTTTTTGCCGTTTTTTTCGTTTTTTTACGTCAAAAAACCCAATTCAGCGGTGTAAAAAAACGAAAAAAAACGGATGACAAACATACGCTGAATAGCCCCATAAACAGACTTGCCGAAAATCGGTCAGAGTTTAAGGAAAAGTGACAAAAATGACTTTTTTTCTTTTTTGCAGCGTGGACGACTACGAACTGCGGAAAGTGATCCACAACGTGGTGTACAACGACACGGAACAGTGCCTCAACCCGCTCACCGGATTCCAGTGCATCGTCGAAAAGTTTGTACTTTTACGGACAACTTTTAGGAGCACATTTTTTTTAAACTTTCGCTTTCAGACGAGGCCAAAAAGCGTCGTATCAGCGGCAGTTGGTGAAAAAGGAGAAATATGTGAAGCAGTGCTGCGAAGGATATTATCAGACCAAGGAGAATCTGTGTCTCGGTGAGTTTAGCTGCAATTTCGCAAATTCGAACAGGAAAGTACTTTTCTTTCAGCCGACTGCAATCCTCCGTGCAAGAAAGGAAAGTGTGTGGAGCCGCAACAGTGCGAATGCGATCCGGGATACGGCGGAAAGTATTGTGCCGCCTGTGAGTTTGTCTGGCCTAAAATTTAATAAAAACTCAACGAAGTTGGGGACTTGACGCCTTTCTCGACGGCGGGTCTCGCACCGGTCGTCGAGAAACGCGTCAAGTCGAATGCATAGTGCTCTTTTTTAAACAACGTTTCTCGAAAATAATTTTTTCCCATTTTTCAGCGTGCTCGACCGGCTTCTGGGGCCTCGGCTGCTCGAAAAAATGCGACTGCGAGAACGGCGCCAACTGCGATCCGGAGACGGGCGCGTGCGTGTGCCTGAGCGGCTTCCGCGGAGATCGATGCGAAGAAGAGTGCCCGGCCGACAAGTGGGGTCCGAATTGTCAAAAGTCGTGTCCGTGCCAGAACGGCGGCAAGTGCAATCACGAGGGAAAGTGCATTTGTACCGACGGATTCGGCGGAGAGTTTTGTCTCAACAAGTGCGATGAGGTAGGAGTGTTTCCGAAAAAATTTTCAAAAAAAAACCTATTCTTTTTGCAGGGAAAATTCGGTGCGGACTGCAAATTCGAGTGCACGTGCCAAAACGGCGCCACATGCGACCACGTGAACGGAAAGTGCCTCTGCCATGCGGGCTTCTACGGCGCGCTCTGCGAACTTCCGTGCCCGGCCGGACTATTCGGTGCCGGCTGCGAGGACAAGTGCAAGTGTCTGAACAACCAGGACTGCGACAGTGCCACCGGCGAGTGCCTCTGCGTCGGCTGGACCGGAAAGCAGTGCGACGTCGGATGCGCGCGTGGACGTCACGGTCTGCAGTGCGCCTCCAAGTGCACGTGCCCCGGACTCGAGTTTGCCGATTCGAATGCGTCGTGCGACGCGAAAACCGGCGAATGCGAGTGCGAACGCGGCTACAAGGGCGAGAAGTGCGACGAGCGGACTTGCTCCCCGGACACGTACGGAACGGGCTGCGCGAAGCAGTGCTCGTGCGTCATGAACAACACGCTCATGTGCGCGCCGAACACTGGATTCTGCAGGTGTAAACCCGGATTCTATGGCGACAACTGTGAATCGGCGTGTGCCAAGGACTCGTGGGGACCGAATTGCGAGAAGCAGTGCTCGTGCGACTGGCAAAACGCCTCCGAATGCGAGCCAACCACCGGAATTTGCCTTTGCAAACCAGGAAAAACCGGATCGAAGTGCGATCAACCGTGTGGACTCGAAAACTGGGGACCCGGATGTCGCAACAAGTGCGAATGCAACGGAAAAGGCGCCGAGTGCGCGTCGATCGACGGAAAGTGTCAGTGCGATTCGGGATGGACCGGTCACCGCTGTGAGCATCAATGCCCCGCCGACACGTACGGTCCGAACTGCGAGAAGCGATGTCAGTGCCCGCGAGGTGTCGGATGTTCGCCGCAAACCGGCGAATGCACGTGTCCGCCCGGACTCCAGGGACCGAAATGCGATTTGAGTTGTCCGGAAGGCGCCTATGGACCCGGATGCAAGTTGCATTGTAAGTGCGCCAACGGAAAATGCGACAAAGCGACAGGAGAGTGTGCATGTGAACCCGGGAACTTTGGCGCCGACTGCTCGACCACATGCCCCAAGGGCAAGTACGGAGAGAGCTGCGAGCTTTCGTGTGATTGTGGCGACGCCCACTGCTCCAAACAGACTGGAAAGTGTGTGTGTGAGCTCGGAACGCGTGGCGCCAAATGTGAGCACAAGTGCGAGCACCTCTCGTTTGGTTTTCTCTGCCAATCCTCGTGCTCCACGTGCTCGCACAACTCGGCCGCCAATCCGAACCTCTGCGACAACCGCAACGGCGTCTGCCTCGTCTGCGATCCGGGATCTTCGGGAATTCTGTGCGAACACAACTGCCCGACGGGGACCTTTGGCTCGGAGTGCTCGCAGAAATGCGAGTGTGCCGATGGTCACGGTTGCGACCCAATCACCGGAAAATGCATTTGCGAGCCCGGATATCAGGGAGCGAATTGCGACGCGAAATGCGCCGAAGGCCGATGGGGATACGGATGCGAGAACGTGTGCCCGGCGTGCGGGAACGGTGCCACGTGCAACCACGTCGACGGCACGTGCGTCTGTCCGTCGGGACTCGAAGGCGCGCTCTGCACACGGCCGTGCTCATCCGGATTCTGGGGAAACGCGTGTCGACAGGTATGCAAGTGCACGTCGGAGTTCAAGCAGTGCAACGCGCAGACCGGAGAGTGCAGTTGTCCAGCCGGTATCAAGAACATTTGAGGAACTCTTTTCTAAACGAAACCATTTTCCAGGATTCCAAGGAGATCGATGCGATAAACCGTGCGAGGACGGCTTCTACGGACCGGATTGCATCAAAAAGTGCAAGTGTCAGGGAACGGCGACCGCCTCTTGCAATCGCGTCAGCGGCGCGTGCCAGTGTCATCCCGGATTCACCGGAGAGTTCTGCCATGCTCGTGAGTTGGATTGTAGTATTCATAGGTGCGCGATGTTGGAGAAACGCCAAAAAATTTCCGAACCAGCCCCCTTTTTCTTTTGCTTTTGCTAGAGCGTTCTAGAAATTTTACTATCAGAGCATTTATGTGTGAATGCGCTCTGCTTCAATTGTGTAAAAATAGAGAAAGTTCTTCCAGAATTCACGTAAACTTTAAAAACAAAACCCGCATCCTTATTTCAGTGTGCCCTGAGGGTCGATTCGGTCTGCGATGCGTGAACGAGTGTCCCCGAGAGTGCGGCGACGGCTACGAATGCGACGCGGCGATCGGTTGTTGCCACGTGGATCAGCTGAGTTGCGGAAAGGCGAAACAAGAGTTCGAGGCGTTGCGCGGCGGCAAGTCGACGGGCGCCACGTGGCTCGTCATTCTGCTCGCGATCGCCATTTGCGGAGTGCTCGCGCTCGTCGCCCTCTTCTACCGGAACAAGTATCGCAAGGAGAAGGACCCCGACATGCCCACCGTCTCGTTCGTTTCTTTTTTTGTCTTTTCTATCGTTTCGGGCAGAATTGAATCAACTTTTTGCAGATTCCACAAAGCGCCGACGGGCGACGAAGGAACGGAATTCCAGAATCCGCTGTACTCTCGCCAATCCGTCTTCCCGGATTCGGATCATTTTTCGCAAATCCCGCACGAATCTTCGGCGAATAACGGCGGAATTTTGACGATCGAAGAGGAGGAGTTGGAGAACAAGAAGATTCGAGGCGCGAATTCCGGAGCGCCAAGAAATAGTGGGTGTTTTTGAAAAAAACTTGTTAAGAAATACATTGTTTGCAGACGACTACGCATCGCTTGATGAGTTCGCCGCCGAAGGACCGTCCTCATCGGGACCGCCGTCGCGAAGAGGTGCTTCAGAATCCCGGCCCCTTCTCCAGAACGGAGAAGGAGAAGAAGAAGAAGAAGAGGAGGAGGAGGAGGAGTTCGACGAGCCGCACGAGAATCTGAACGGAGGAGGTGTGCCACCGCATTCCGACGCGAAACGTCGATGACATTTCGACGTTTTTTTCGCATTTTCCCTCTAATTTTTCTCATTCGAAATGCATTTTGTGTCACGTTTTTGTGTGAGTTTGTCCGCTCCCCCCGCATGTACATATCGTTTTTCCGCTAATTTTTCACTCAAACCCTCTAAAAGCATGTGGTTTTTTCGAAAATTTAAATTCCCGGTGATTCTTGGTGATTGGTGCCCTTTTTCTGTGCAGGTTACCCATTTTGCAACCAGCGGGACGTTTCGAAACCGTTTTTTTTCGATTTTTCAACGAATTTCGCTTTGGTTGCGAAGCGGCGTTATGCGGACGTTTTACAACCGAAAATGGTTGCGAAACGTCCACTCTATGTCTCTCTCTCTCTCTCTCTCCCTCTCTCTTTCTCTTCCAAATGTTGTGTGCCGAAAGCCCCCCGTTTGATTCCGTGCGGTAAGTCCCTTTTTCCCACTTGTTCTTTCTTTCTTTCTTCCCGTTTTTCTCCAGCTTTTTCTCTGTGTTACAGTAACCGTTTGTGTCACAAATTCACACGAACCACCCAATCCGAAAAACCACGTGTCACCGGGGCAAGATGTCGCCGCAAAAATGCGTGCATTTTCGTGGCGACACCTTGAGATGACGGTAGTTTGTTTCAAAGTGAACGTGTCCCTAGTGTCCTAGTCGGGAATAGGCGAATGATTTGAAAACAAAAACGAAAATTCTGTCGCCAAACGAGGACCTCAATTTTATGTTTTCAGAAAATCCGTACGCGCACATTGGCTCACCGGACCCGGCGGTCCAGAATTCGGCCAACGCTCAGCGCGCCCAGGACAATGTGTACACTTGAAATATGCATTTTTTTTTGTTGTAAAATTCCCTCACTTTCTCATTCCCACTTGTAATTCGAAACAGAACGCCCCGCCTCCCTCTCACTCGTGAAATCTACGGTGTAACTCATTTTTCCCTAATTACTCACCCCCTCCTCCCCCAAATTTTCTTGTTCCATACGCTTTCTGAAACCGGTGCTAACCCGTCCAAAAATCACAAATTTTCAGCATTGTTCCTGAAATGTTTCCCTCTTGTTTCATTGTGCTTTACGGATAGTTTGACTATATTCACTCACACTCACAGACATTTTTCGAGATTCTCTTGTAAATATATCGATTTATTGCATTGCGTTAAAAAAGAAAATGTGAAAAGTAGACAGTTTTTGAGCAAAAAGACCCGAATTATTCATCGAAAACCGGCACACGTCACAATAATCGTTTTATCGTTGAGATTTTTTCGGCACCTGAATCACTATCGATGGCTGCTCGTCGACGTAGCTGCTCGCGTCGAGAACACTGCAAAAAAAAACGATTGCGTTAGAGTTTCTAGCTAAAAAGTGTTTTCTCGATAAAGCGCGGTTGTAGAGAAGAATGGAGAGAGCGAAAGAGCGCGTTTGCATCAAGTTTACCTGGGAAACGGCGATTTGAAGAGGCGGCTGAGGAAACTCTTGGCGCATCCCGCATAAAACGGATTTTTCGCCTGATGATACGAGGAATTCGTGTCGGAAGACGTCGAATTCGGAGCGGCGGCGACGCCCGACGCCAAATGCGCGTTTCGGTGCTTTTTTCGGTACACTCCTTTCAGCTGAATATCGATTTTTTGCAGTTTTTGCAACAAGTCGCCAGTCGCACAAGACAATCGTAATTTTTTTTGACTTACATCTTCGTTCGTTGTCAAATCGGCGCACGCCAAGTAGGTATGAAAGCAGGACAGACCAATTACTGACCTGAGAAAATTGTTTGAAGATTTTGCTCAAATTTCGCGCCTACCAAATGGTGAAAAAGCAGATAATAATGACGACTGCCGAGCCGGGAGTCTTGCGCATCACGTCGCCGAACGGCATGTTTTGGGCCACTGAAATGACGTTTTCAGATTTTCGCTTAAAGAAATCGATACTCACACAAGCTGATGTGCGTGATGGAACACGCGAAAAGGTAGACGATGAGGATGGAGAGACAGAAGACGAAACGGTAGAAGTAGGCGTAATTCCGGAGACCGATACAGTTGCCGACCCACGGACCTGAACAACTTTTGCGCCTTTAAAATGCTACAGTAACGCTACACAGTTGTTTCAAATTTGTTTTTTTGTCAAAACTCACAATGATGATCGAACATAAGGACGCAATTGTCGCAAATGGCACAATGAGAGCATCGTGGCGGTCGGTACAGTCGGCACGTCGTACAATATTTCATTTTGACGCGTTCTCCGTTGATGACGACGTCACGGAAGCGTGGGCGGGGCATCGCCGGATCGGCTGGCGCTGCACAAATCATCGACGATTTGGATCAATGTTTTGAAGAAAAAAAAAAGAAACCAACTATTGTGTTCGGTTTGCATTTGCCGATCCATTTCGATCAGTTCGATATTGTCGACTCGCGGCAGAATGCCCGGATCGGTGAACGAGGTGGCCGCGAAATTCGAGAGCACCGACAACGATATCACGGCGGCGACGATCGGAATCGCCGGAGAGTAGTGCCACAGGAACGGCGCGCTGGAAATTTTACAGTTGTTTCCAACGCACGGTCTCATGAAAACGCCATTTGGCCTCGGCGGCCTCGGCGGCCAAATGGCGTTTTCATGAATTGAGCACGTTTTCTCTGATTTTTGTGGCCAAAAGCGATGAAAGATGATTGTTCGACATGAAAACACACTAATTCTCAGAATTAGTGACGTTTTGGCGCATTTTTCGCCGACTTTGCTTTTTCGCCTTTGCCGCCTAAAAACCGCACTTCTCATTTTGCGCTTTCTTGACCGTTTTCCGACAGAATTGGTTTTGAGATCGATAAATCACGTAAATACAAACATTTTGAGCGCTCGAACCGCGAAAACTACCGAAAAATAACTGAAATGCACGCAGTTTTACCCAAAAACCTTCAAACGGATAAATGTGATTTGCGACTTGACCAAATTTGACGCTCTTGCGCTTAAAAAATTCGTAATAGCCTATAAAATCGGTCTATCGAGAGACAAATGAGAAATTATCGATTTTTCGTGGCTAATCTGGCAAAAAACACAAAATTTGCTGTTAAAATTTGAATTTCGCGCCAATGTATCGCTCTATTGGGCGGGGCGCACTTGCGCCTATTGTAAGCTCTGGAGACCGTGGCGACGTCTGACTTCCTAACAATTCCCGACTTTCTAAACGTCTATAGACCGTTTTCGAAAGTCGGAAGTCGGAATGCCGCTCAGAAAGGTACTTACTCGAAGACAAAATAAAGAGTGAGTGTGACGATCATGAGCGCGACCGTGACCACGAATGCTCCGTGGCTCCGCGAGCACACCATCCTCCCTCCGCACGCAAATCTGTTCCGTCCCTGATGCAGCTGCCATTTCTTCCGTTTTCTCTCCGATTGTGGCGGCCGATTAATGACGACTGGAAAGTCGGGAGATGCGGTCGAAGAAGTCGACGGGATCGGTTCGGAGAATGAGGTGGACGCGATCACGGCCACCGAAGAGCTCATTCCGCATTCTGCAATCAAAGGGTGTCAAAGCGTTTTTTTTTGTTGAAAAATTTGAGGGTTTGGCAACTGTTTTAACAGCATAGACATCATTTTTTCGTTTCCCGGGCATTATTGGTTTGCGGACTCACCAGAAAAATGCAAAAAAATTCAAGTCTTGACTAGTGACTAACACAAAAAGACAGAAGAACGTTTTGTGCGTACAAATTTGAAGTCTAGTACTACTAGACGCCAGTACGTTTTCGCTCAAAATGGGAAATGAGTTGAGTCACTCCTCCAATGTTTGCGTAGTCTTGACAAAAGCTTGAGACATTCCTTTTTTTTTTTTTTGAAATTAATAAAGGGTTGTTGTTTCGAAAAAAAGTTTTCGAAAAGTGATTGCTCACAGAACTGACTCATTTGTGTTGTTTACACAAGGGAGCAGGTGTGAATACACAATCAGCGATTGAAAAGTTTCTCTCGTTTTGCGGCAAAACACATTTTTTGTACGCGAAACTAGGTATGCACTTCTTTGGTTGGACCAACGAAGAGTACGGTAGTGTTGTAAAGTTCGATGCCTAGTCCGCAACCACCGTAGCTTTTAGAAAACGTACGTTTTGCCATTTTCTACTTTACAAACCACAAAAAGTTCTAGGGCTTCGAAACCTAATGCAATTTTAGTAAAAAAGTGAACCCACGATCTTCCTCCGGTTCTTCTATTCGATATTGTCGTTTTTGTTGTCCGTCTCTCGTTCTCTCCGCCTCCTCATCGATTGTAATCTATAAAAAATGAGCGGAAATTCAAAATTTTTTTAAATTTTCATCTCAAAATTGCTATGCTACAACTTTATTTTAAGAAAATTGTTAAAAGAGGAAGAGAGAGAGAGGGAATTAGAGACGAATATTGTCGAACCAAGAAAACAAGGTGTTTGCTTGAAACTATAGGTAGAGGGAGGAAGACACTTTTTTTTTCGTAAATTGAAATTGGCAGACGGAGACGCAGACGGGCAAAGGGATGGCAAGTTGACGGACTGGCGAGAGAAGTTCTGTGTGTTTTCCTTTCAACAACCCCCACCCCTCTAACTTTTTTCGTGTGTGCCTGGGCTCTGGGAAAATCAGGTTTTCGTCTCGTTTTCAACGGATAAAGATAGCATTCCAATTCGCGTGCGAGAATATCGTGCTGCGCCTTTAAAAAACTACCGTAATCTTCACACTTGCGAGTCTAAAATGATGTACGAAAACGAAAATACAATGAAATTTGATGGAAAAGTTAAATTAAATGTTAAAAACAACTGTCCACCAGACCGCGAGGATTAAATTATAGACTGTGAGTGTTTTTTGGAGGGTAAAAACTGGATTTGGCGGAAAATATGAACAAACTTTTCTACAACAGAGTTGCAAAAGGTTGAATGTTTGGCGAAGTTGAAACGTCGACAACAACCTCAAAAATCAGATAATTTATCTGATTTTCAAAAGTATTTTCAACGTTTTTTGTCAGCATACAGGTTCACGGTCTCCGGAGCTTGCGATGGCCAAACAAAGCGATATTTTTGGCGCGAGATTCACATTTTGCATGTAAATTTTTGATTTTAGTCAAAAAAACAATTGAATAGGGACAAGACAAACTTTTTAGGCGGAAGAGCGTCAAATTTGGCCAAGTCGCATGTTGACATTTATCTGTTTGAAGTTTCTTGGCAAAAAAACTGCGTTCGAGCGCTAAAAATGAGTGCATTTACGTGATTTATCATTCTAAAAACCAATTTTGAGTGAAAACGGTCGATAATGCGTAGAATGAGAAACGCGGTGTTTCGGCGGCGAAGACGAAAAGGCGAGATCCGCGAAAAATGCACGTAAGCGTCAGAAATTTCGAGAACTGTTGTGTTTTCATGTCTAACTAACATCTTTCATCGCTTTTAAGCACAAAAATTGGAGAAAAAAGCCACGCTCGTATTGTAAGCTCTGGACACCGTGATAGGCTGCTAAAAAACTAGCTGAAAAGTTCGCAAAGAAAAGTGAAATGAAAAGGAAAGAGACGCGATACGAATCGGCGGAAATAATGAGAAAGTAAGTGAAGTGTGAAGATTATTTCGCGCCGCCCATCCGATCGCTTTCTTTTTCTTCTTCTTCACACACACACACACACACTAAAAAGTCGTTTTGCGGCCGCGCGAAAAGCTTCCGCCGATCACTGTTTGATTGATTACACTTTCACGCGCACAAATAAATACTTTCCTCCCACTTTTCAATAGGTTTCCAAAAAAAAAAAAACATTTGACAGGTGGAATGTTTGAAAACCTCAATTTTCTGCAATTTTCAGGTCGCAACCGAGGAAAAAACTGGCGGGTGGCTCGGCTATGTCAAATTATAGGGAAATGCTTTGAAAAAATGCCATAAACGTCGAATTTCCTGTCAAATGTGAAGATTTCATAGTTAGGCAACAAAGAATAGCACTTTTCCGGTAAAATGGGGCAATTTTCAGCAAATGCTGATAAAAATTGCACTGAAAGCAATTTTCCGCTTCAAAAGCAGAAAAGCAAAGAAATAAATGAGGAATGTGTTGAAAAGCTTGCCGTGCGTGGACGGATAATTACGGCTGTCCACTTCTTCTTCTTCGTCTTCTACAATTAGGCAAAGACGGAAGACGTGTCCGATTTCACAGAAAATTTGTGTGTGTGTTTGTTGACTGTGTTACATGAGAACATATTCGAATTTATGCGCATTTTTTATGCATTTGCGTTCTTCTTCAACGCTCTTTTAGACGTGTCAATATTTTCAGAGTATGGGCAAAATGCGCTGCACTTATTTCTTGAAATTCGACTCTAAAAATGCGAAAAAGACAGTTTCTGGGCAGAAATTCAGAAAAAATGGAGCCTAAAATGTATGTGTGTGTGTGTGTGAGGAGTGAAAAATCGAGGAAAACGGAGGAAAGGGGCTGAATAATTCATGAGGGAAAAGAAGAGAGAACCCGGAAAGAGAGAGAGAGAGAGAGAACGAGAATAAGTTGAGATTATAAATTACTTTCTTATTTTCACCTGCCTTTTTGTTCAGATTTTTCAGAAAAAGCGCACACTTAATGTTTGCTCTCGCTAAACAGCTCTAATGAATTTTTCCTTAAACGGTGACGTCGGTGAGCAAGAAAAACCGTTTGAAAAGTGAGTCTAGGCCAATTGGAACCAGAAAAATCAAGTATCAGTTCAAATTTTCTTACTTTTCCGGCCGGAAAAGCAAGTCTGCTTTTTTGGACTAGCTTTTTCAAAAAGTGCGTTTTCTAGGCCACGCCCAGCAATTTCAATTTTAGCAAACCGGAAAAAGACCGAAAATCATTGAAATTTTATCAGTATTTTTCCTGAATTTTTCCGAGAAAAGTGTCGCATTTGCGTACCTCGTCATCCAACAATCGTCGTGTGCTCGAGTCCATTCTGGCGGATGAATAGACAATTTCCAACAACAATTATTTCGATTTTGAGGGCGACGAGGCGACGGAGAAATAGAGTGGTTTGTGTCGCGAAAAGAGGGTGATAACACTCGGCCGATTATTATTTTTATGGACACAAAAAGCGGCGAGGGAGGGCGGCGAGAGAAGCAGACGCAACTTTCTGGATTTTCTCACTGAAAACGAAAAAAGACACACTTTTTCTCTCGCTTTTCCCTTTCTTTTTCTTCGTTCTTTCTTTTATTTCTCTCTTTCCGGCAAGTGTGCCGCTTTTTGGCGCCTTCACAGGAATCGGCACTATGCCATAGTTTTGAAAGAGGTTTAAAGTGCTCTCCGTGAAGGATGCTCTATGAAACTAAACGTGTTTTTTTCGAGAAAGTACCCTGCATGGATCATTTTTTCTCCAAGCTTTAGCTTCAAGTAAGGCAAGATTGGTGGTGTAACTTTTGGGTAGCCGCTTTCAAGCTTCAGCTCGCGCGCAGGTTCCAAAAAGTATTTACGGGTATGTCCGTTCACACGTTCATTTCTAAAATCATTGTTTTTCTGAAATAGTTGTGAAGGAAAAGTTTAGAAATGAACAAGTGAAGCCGGCCCAGTCACAAAGGACTATAAAACGTGAAACTAGTACCTGATTTGTCCGTGAGCAAGCAAACACAAACGAGAAGAAAGAAAGGAGAAGGAGAAAAAAGTCTCCCAAAAAAGAGAAAATTGGAAATCAATTTAGATAGACGTAAAAGAAAGAGAGAAACGAAAAAGACAGCTGACGAAGGCCGCAATTAGTGGGGTGCAAATGTGATGATTTTTCAAATTCATTATCATCGACAAGCTAAAATGCTTGCAAAAGTTTAGTTCTCCTCGTCATCATCAACATCGTCGACGATTTCATAGAATTTGCGATTGTGCGACGTCCAGACCGGCTTTTTGGCTCTCGCGTGTTTCTCGCATTTTCCGCCGGCGACGCAGTGGTATCCGGCCGGGCAACACGTGTCTTGACAGCAAACCGCCTGCAAAAAAATGCTCTAGTTCGATGCTCGGGACTGCCAATCGACTTTTGTCGGTTTCCAGAAGATACTCTCTATTTTTCACAAGCCTAGGGCTCCAACTCACATTGCTCAACGGGCAACACATCGTTGTATCCTCTCCATTCTCTGTCTCAATTGCACAGCACGTCGTCTTGGCCGGACACGTTTTTCCGACGCCACACGCAATAGGATTCACGTCCTCGTCGTCGACCACGTCTTCAGAAGACTCCTCGGAATTCTTCTCGTCGGAAAGGAAGCCGACTGCCGGCTTACGGTGGATGTTCGTCGATGCAAACTTCTTGAGATGCGGAGTCAGAATGTACTGAAACACAAAATATGAGGAGGCCGACGGCTCGAATACGTACATTTTGAGAGCAGAACTTTCCGTGGCACGTGAATCCGTTCGGACAGCAATGAAGCATGTCGGAGCAGCAGACGGCACTCGGCACCGGACAACAGCCATAGGTACCTTGCTCCAGAAGGCAGCACGTCGAGCCGTCGGGACACTTACTCGCTTTGTCGGGGCAGATTATCTGGAAACGAGAGAACGTTAAACATGTTTGCGATATTTCAGGCCTATCCAGAATTGTGACACAAACCTCATTGAACTCGTTCCGCTCCTCCTTCTCCGCCTTCCTTGCCGGATTCTTCTTTTTCATCGGAATGTGGAACTCTGGATCCTCTCCGACGCAGCGAGCTCCTTGCGGATCACACGTGGTCCCCGTCGGACAGCAGTGTGTTTTATCGGCACAACACACTGCTTGCGGCATCGGACAGCATCCCCAGTGGGTGTCTCCGAGCAGGCAGCACGTCTCCTCGTCCGAGCACAGCGTCTCCGCGTCGCATTTTATGTCGGCCGTCTGGAAAGAAAAACATTGTCGAAAAACATAATGTATATTGAAGCTGAAGCAGGGGCGCTTCCTCTATAATTTCTTGGCATTTTTCATTGAAAATTGGCTTTGATTCTGTAATTTTAATGAATGAAAGACTAAAATGGAGATATGTATTGCCGGGTATTCAACACAGATGATGATGGAGTTGAGCGGCAGCGAGGTGTACAAATAAAATGGCAGAAAAACCAATCAATGAGCGTGAAAACAGAAAGTGTCGTCAAGTCGGGTGCTTGCGACACTGAGAGAGTGTGTGCGCGTAGAGACGCAGAGGAAAAGGGAAAGGGAAAAATGACTGAAATTCAAAAAGTATACGCTTTTTTAACCCATTTTTGGCTCAACACGTGTGACGTTTGCGAAATTTACAGGTTTTTGACAGGAAATAACCAAAATTTTCAGCTTACGACCCTTTTACACGCTATGGATTATTTAGGCCAAAAAGTGCGAAACGTTTACCGTCAATGGGACCAAAAATAGTGCTGGCACGAGTAAAAGTAGCGGGCGACGCATGTTTGAGTAGTTGGGTGACCGAAGAGAGAGGGAAAGAAACTTGTGATGCTCTCGGACAACCGATAAGAAAGATAAGGCGAGCTGTTTATCGCTCGCGAGTCGCCATTCGTTTCGGGTTGACTGGTCAAGACGACTACAACAATATCAGGGAAAACTGGACAAGAACGGAGAAAAGTGAAAGTAATCACTCATTGCTCACTGATCACCCATCACTTTCGAAAAAGAACCACAGCGAGGCGAGGGTCAGCTGCTGTCCGCACTTTCATTGATTTCTTGCTGCCAACCGGAGAAGCACCTCGACACTTTTTACACTTTTTGTGTCAATTTTGCATAAATATTTCTCAAAAAAGCCTTTCCTCGTACACGGTCTCCAGAGCTGACAATATGGGCGTGCTGGCCTCGGCGGCCAAATGGCGTTTTCATGAATTGAGCACGTTTTCTCTGATTTTTGTGGTCAACGGCGATGAAAAATGATTGCGCGACATGAAAACACACTAATTCTCAGAATTAATGACGTTTTGGCGCATTTTTTGCGGATTTCGCTTTTTCGCCTTCGCCGCCGATCGCCGCCTAAAAACCGCACTTCTCATTTAGCGCTTTCTTGACCGTTTTCCGACAGAATTGGTTTTGAGATCGATTAATCACGTAAATACAAGCATTTTGAGCGCTCGAACCGCGAAAATCACCGAAAAGCAACTGAAATTCACGCAGTTTTAGCGAAAAACCTTCAAACGGATAAATGTGATTTGCGACTTGACCAAATTTAACGCTCTTGCGCTTAAAAAATTCGTAATAGCCTATAAAATCGGTCTATCGAGAGACAAATGAGAAATTATCGATTTTTCGTGGCTAATCTGGCAAAAAACACAAATTTTGCTGTTAAAATTTGAATTTCGCGCCAATGTATCGCTCTATTCGGCGGGGCGCACTTGCGCGTGGCGCGCGCGTATAATTACTGCTTTCCACCCAAACGATTCGGCACAAGACGACTTGTAACCTCTCGCAAATGATTCGCTGGATAGTAAAATGGATGCGAAAGTCATCCTTCTCATAACCGAAACGACGTTTCTTCTCCGTCCGTCCGTCCGACCCGGCCGGCCCGGAGACGATCATCGCCGGCGAACACAAAGCCGGTAATGGTAGTTGTGTGACCGGGGCGCGCACAATTTCCAAAGCGTGCGCGAGGGAAAATGGACATTCTACCAGTTTTCTCTCCTCATATATTTAATAACTCGCCCTCTCTCTCCCTCTCTCTCTCTTTTTCTCTCCACTCTCTACATGTACGGTTTTTCGGGCACACACCGTCCGTCGGTGTCCGTTCGTAATTCAAGCGCATCGCTGCATCGCAAGCTGCATAGAGAGTATAGAAATATAGAAATAGAAGAGATGGCACACATGTTCTCCACTTTTCTCTTTTCCATCCGTCCTCTACTTGTTGTACACCTGTTTCCAGTCATTTTTATGCTTTTTGAGCTGCGATTTTGATGTAAAATGATGAATTTTGAGTCGAACAATGTAGGAATTCGAATGCTTCCTTTTTTTTCAAAATATTCTCCATCTTCTTTTTCCAATATTTGACCTTCGGGGCAAAATGTTCACACCTTTTAATCCGAGCCCGTCTTCTCGTGTGCTCCGCTCTTGTGCAAACTTTCCCATCTTTGTACTTATTCTCGCTCCCCCCGCCCTCTCGACGAGACGATATTATCGTTTTCTTATTATGAGCAGACCGTCTTCTTTCACCTCTTCGTTTCACTACGAACGGCATGAATCGAGAAGAGTGAAAATGCCGACGAACACGTTTCAATTCGAAACTTGCGATGTCCAGTTTTGGAAGAACGATAATAGTGGCGAGGCGGAGCAGGCGAGAGCCACTGCTGCACATGCCACGTGGCGACAGAGGAACGGGAGTACCCGACGGCGGCAGGTACGGCTTTATAATTGTGATGAGCGTAATCTAGACAATTTGTACTGTATTTTTGCAGTTGATCACTTTTTTGTACGATCACTCCTCGGCGTACTGTAGCCCTGGGAAGTTGGCGCTGAAATGCACGCGCTGCAAACGTGACTCAACTTCAAATCGCTACAGTAGTCCGGGGAGTGGTCGTGGAAAAAAAGTGACAATTACAAAATTAAAGTTCATATCTTGGTTAATATTTTTGTAGTTGACAGTGTTTTTGTACAACCACTCCCCGGGCTACTGTAAGTCTTTGAAGTTAACACTAGGCAAAGTCGCATAAATTTCAGCGCCAACTTCGAAGAGCTACAGTACTCTCAGAAGTGGTTGTACAAAAAAGTTGTCAACTACAAAACTGAAGTACTAAATGTCAAGATATCATAAAATAACACCCACTGTCAGAAACTTGAGAGACGCCGAGAAAAAGTGGGATTAACTATTGTGACTTTTGAAACCGGAACTGTTTAGTCATGGTCATCGGGCCAGGATTAGACCCGCCTAGGATGCGTGGAAAATGTATGCAAAATTGTTGACTCATAATATCAATCGAAATTCCCAAAGGATTAGGGTCAATATGAACCTTTTTTGTTCAAAATTACCGAAAAAACCCCTTTAGGCCGCCCACGCAATTCCGGAAGAAGTGGCCGTCTCATCCGGACAGTATTCTGTGGCCCAGGCACGTGGAAACGAGCATTTGAGCGATGTGCGACAAGAGATTCAACGAACTTTCTACACAGTCGTCACGAAACCGCAAAGGTGATTTTTCGCTTCGGGGTTACGGTAGTCAACAACTGCAAAGTGTGCAAACACCGCGACGCAAAAGTGCACAACTCGCATCGTGTGTTACGCTTAAAAACATTAAAAATGTGGTGAAAGAGACGCAGCGAGCGGGCGGGCATTGAGCGTTTTTTGTAAAGTTCGGCTCCGAGCGGCTCCGCGATGAGCCAATATATCTCTCTTAGTTAGATGTCCGTCCACTCGGACCCACAATATCCGATTTCATCACTTTTTTGCGAAAAGTTGTCTTTATTTTCTGATTTTCCGTTCCGTGTTTGGTGCGCCGCGCGGTGTTCTGTACGCCCTCGCGGTCGCCCAACAGGTCGGGCAGTCATGTCCGAGTGGTTAAGGAGATTGACTCGAAATCAATTGGGCTTTGCCCGCGTAGGTTCGAATCCTGCTGACTGCGAAGTGTATTTTGCTTTTTTTTTGCCAGGTGCCAGGTGTTGAATCAGATCGGGCGTTCGTTGAAACTCGTCAGAAATGTCAGAAATGCATAAGAAAAACGCTCACTTGCTCATCGTTTTTCGGTGATCATGTTGAACCTGCCGTTTCGCAATTAAAAGTAAAAGTCAAATACACAGTCTTTTCGGCACTTGTGTGCGTGTCGGTGTCTTTCATGTTTGTGCTCTATCTCTCACACTTTTATCTCTCTTTTTCGAGTACCGTACCTCTCCAAAAAGTTAGGAGGGCAGTTTCTAGACGTGTCTCGCCCGTCGGCGGCTCTCCGCGCGATCCCCCGATCACTTTCATCATCAATCCAAGCGTCGGCAGTGCCGAAAACTGTCGAGAATGAGATATGAGATGCACTAATTACTCGGCTAATTAGCATTTTCATCATATTATCCGGCCTTTTTCGAAAAAATAAACAATGGGCGCCAAGTGTTGTGCTCCATCCAGCTGCAAAGTTCGGAAAAGGTAAGTGTAGGCCTAAAAATTTTTGAGTGGATAATTGACGATTAGTACTGTATTTTTGCAGTTGACACTTTTTTTATACGACCACTCCCTGAAGTACTGTAGCTCTTGGAAGTTGGCGCTGAAATGCGCGCGCTGCAAACGGGCCGTAACTTCAAAGCGCTACAGTACTCCAGGAAGTGGTTGTAGACAAAAAGTGTCAACTAGAAAATTAAAGTTCACATTTCGAACTAAACTTTTTTAGTTGACACCTTTTTTATACAACCACTCGCAAGCCCACTGTAGCTCTTGGAAGTTAAAGTTCAAATAAAGAGAGCTTCCAGTCCGTTAGGAAAATGGTTGTGAAAAAAATCAATAAATCATATATCGATTTGCAGACTGCTCGACGAGTATGAAGCGCAAGAAGTGTACGTGCCGAGCAGAAGCGTCTCTCAGGATCCGGCGGAGACGGCACGCCGGAGGGACAGCACGGTTCGGGTGTCCGTTCGATCGGAAGGATCCGCCAATGGACACATTCGGACGGCGAACACGACTGCCGGGGCGTCATTGACACTGCCACGTGTCAAAAATCACACGATCCGCGCGACGGACACGGTTCCGATTGTGCGCGTTCCGCCGAGACCGTCGCCTTCTCGCGTCGAAACTTCGCATGTTGTGTGAGTCGTTTTGAGCTACAGTAAAAGTTGTCAACTACAAAAATAAAGTATTAGATGCCAAGATTTTGCAAAAAAAAAAGTTTCTAAGACTCTTTGACTTTCAGCACCGGATCGTTGAGCCGAAAACTGAACGACGTGTCCGGCCGAAGTGTGGTCCGCGACTCGCAATCCGGACGGGCGATGATGGCATCACGCGCGGGTAGTCAACCGCCCGCAAAAGTCACTTATCAGTACAAGTAGGCGGAAGGGATTACTGTCGTTTTAATGGGGGTTTTTGTGTTTGTTTCAGGGTAGATGCTTCGGAACGCCGCATCGAGTACAGGTATCACTCGGAGACGTTGCTCTATGATTTCGAAGAAACCACGTGAGTTGCTTTGTTTCGTTCATTGAAAAACGAGAAGAGTTGGTTGCTTGGTTGCAAAACGTCAGTGAGCTAGTTGCAAAGTGTCCTAGGAAGATGGATAGTTTCGTTCAAAGTCTCGGAAAACCCGCAAATCTCGCGGATTTTGCGCTCCAAAATCGGCAGAAATTTGCGGGAAATCCGGGGTGCACACAGCTGAACGAGTGTTACCGTACACCGTAAAACTACGGTATTTTTTGGAAAAATTTAAATTTCTCGACAATATTTGAAAATTTTCAAATTTTTTGGGTAAATTTTCACCGGTATTTTTTGGAAAAATTTAAATTTCTTGAGAATATTTGCAATTTTTTTCCAATTTCTTGGGTAAATTTTTCAACGGTATTTTTTGAAAAAATTTAAATTTCTCTACAATATTTAAAATTTTTCGCATTTCTTGGGTAAATTTTCAACGGTATTTTTTGAAAAAATTTAAATTTCTCGACAATATTTGAAATTTTTTTCAAATTTCTTGGGTAAATTTTTCAACGGTATTTTTTTGGAAAAAAATTTAAATTTCTTGAGAATATTTGCAATTTTTTTCAAATTTCTTGAGTAAATTTTTCAACGGTATTTTTTTGGAAAAAAATTTAAATTTCTTGAGAATATTTGAAAATTTTCAACGGTATTTTTTGAAAAAAAATTTAAATTTCTCGAGAATATTTGCAATTTTTCAACGGTATTTTTCGAAAAAATTTAAATTTCTCAAGAATATTTGAAATATTTCAAATTTCTTTGGTAAATTTTCAAAAAATCCCGTTGTTTTATGGTGTACGGTAACACTCGTTCAGCTGTGCGCCCTCCCGGATTTCCCGCAATTTTCTGCCGACTTTGGACGGCAAAATCCGCGAGATTTGCTGCGTTTCCGAGACTTTGGACGCGGCGTTAGAGCTTCAAAAATTTCGACCCGGGGCACTAGTTGCAAAGTGTGTCGCACCGGTTGCAAAACGTCCCCCCTCCCCTCCCGTACCACTTTTTTTTCTTGCAGAAAACGCGAACAACTCGAAACGTGGCAAAGCCAACACCGTGCTCCCGCGTCCGGAGCCACCGTAACGACAGTTCGAAAAACGAAAAGTCTTCAGGAGACGACAGATCCGCTCCAAGGTACGCCCACCACTTTTTTTTTTGTTGGGTGCCCTTTGAAAAAGTGATATGACAAACTGACAACGCGATTGAAAAATTTAAATGAATGACCGAGTTCAAGTTAACGCTTCTTGCTGCTGCTGTTTGGGGCGAGCGCAGAGGATATAGTAGGATAAGACAAATAAAAAAGTGCGTGGGGGCGCCTGAGAGAGCGTCAAAGTCGGCGGAGACGGCAGACAACTCTTGTAGTAGAAAGGAAGTACACTTGTACAATCGGACATCCAAACATCTCTCGCTTATCTCCTCTATCTCTTCTCTCCGACTACCGGTTTTTCGGTGGTTTTGTTGGGCTCCACATTTTGTGTCTAACTTCTTTTGCTGGGGGGATATTTCACACTTGTAACTAGCCTACAATCGTTTTAACACTCTCAAAACTGTTTTCTAACCACCTGTCGACTCAAGATAAAGGTTTTCCCTCTGTCTTTCTCTTCTCTTTACCCTCTTTTGGGTAACATCGTGTTTGGGAATGTTGACAATGTGCTGCTAATCAGTACATCACACATACACACACTTTTAGCCTTACACGACACGTTTTCCACTCACCACGTTTCATTTTCTCCTTACTAACCAACCTTGTCACCTTTTTTTTTGAAAATCCCGGTTTTATTCGTCTAAAAGTTGTGAAAATTTGACACCATACTCTTCAAACTGACAAAAATCGATTAGACATGTCGGAAAATTGAACTTGAGCAAAAAATTTTCAAACTTCTAGCTCCACTCAGCTGATTAGGGTTTTTTATAGGAGCAATAAGACATTTTAGCGATGTTATAAGATTCGGGTTGTTGTGAAAATGTGAAAAGAAAAGACGAGGAAAGAGGGTGTGACAGGTGTGACATTCTTGAACGGTCCCTGGCCCGGTCATGTTGGGCTTTAGGGACCAACATTTCAAAAAACCAAGTTGCAATCGTCGACGGGCTGTGAAAATTCGACACCATGCTCTTAAAACGGACAAAAATCGATTGAACATGTCGGAGAATCGAACTTGCGCCAAATAATTTGACCCAAATTTTCAATTCCAAGCCAGTGAAAACTGTGAAATGCACATTTTATGTTGAAGATTATCGACCACCAAATAGTGTCCGAAAAATGCAACACTTTTCACATTCCACACCGAAAATGTCCGTCTATTGATAGGTCTCCTCGTTGTGTGCGTTGATATAATTGATAACACACATTTGTGCTCTCCTCCTCCTCCTCCTCCAAAAGGCGTCATCAACACAAAAAAGGTGTGTGTGTGTGTGTGTGTATGTACGAGCCACAAAGCGTAAAATTATTTGGAGTTTCAGTCATCACACCTGACTTGTAGAGCATTTTTTTGACGCCGCACTATTTCTATGCACCATGTTCTTAAGCGTAATGGTGATTTTTTGCCTTAACTTCACACGTTTTATTTTAGAATTTCTTTGTAAGCAAATTATGATCCGCTTAGAGTTAGACTCTCAAATACAATGATGATTTTAATTTGGTACACCAGGAAAAAAGTATCTTTTCTTATGACCCTGTTGTAAATTAATGTATTGCTCGGAAATAGTGTCATAACTTGCGAATACGAGATTTTTGAGCGAAACGTCCAATTACAAAGTTGTTTAGCGTAAAATTTTCTGAAAATTATCAGTTTATCACTTTTTGAGATAACTATTGGTTCTCGAGATACAGGCCTTCAAAGCTAGACGATGAGTAGAATAGTGTGACAGAGAAAAATCGATAAAATTAATTCTCTTGAAATATTCGCTTTGAAAAAAAAGTTAGTTAGTAAGTTAGTAGGACCACCCAAAGGACCCAGGTGGTCATTCAATTTTACTCATTTTCAACAGCCCTCTCATCTTTTTTTCGAAAAACTTTTCTTCATCCTAACCCTCTTGTCTATTTTAATCATAATTCGAATGTGACTACTATCCAGTACTAACATGGACTCGCAACGACGTCTTCCGCGAATTTATCACGATTTCGAGGAGGACGACGATGCGGATTTCCGGTCGAGCACGTGGAATTTCATTGAAAATTCGTCGCGACGATCCGAGAGTTTTGTGGGAACGCCGTCGCGGCCCGACATTTTGGGCGGTCGCGGAATTTCGAATGGTCTCGAGACGACAACGGGCTTCAGAGAGCTGCCGAGCACGTATGTGTGACTAACAAATCGACTTGTATTCTTGAACTTTTTTTCGCATTTTTCTTGCACTCTATTAGCCGACTAGTAGCATTTAGGCCGGTGAGTGCGACACGCACAGCATCCACATATCAGTTTCACTACGTGACACGACGCGTGAGCACCGGAGCCCGACACACGACCGTCGAGCTCGAGCACAGTGCTCGCGATTTGCCCAACGAGAACGAACATCGGGTGGAGGTGAGAAAAATATATGTAAAATCGATTAAAAAAAAATTGAAGAACTTGCCACGTTCGAATTGATAGACAAACGCGTGTTATGGGGCTATTCAGCGCACGGTCTCCCACGGCGGCGCGAATGATTTCAATGGGGCGCACTTGCAACATCCGGGCTGTGTCGATTTACGCGGCGGCGGCCGATTAATAAATTTTCAACGAGAGGCCGCGTTCTTTCCATGTTTTCTGTACAATACACCTATTTTTTGTACGCCTGGAACCTGGATTCGAATAATTAGAGCACTAGCTACGTTTTGGTAACAGAAATCTCGCATATCGTTGAGAATTAGCCGAGTTATTTCGATTTGAAGGTTTTGGCCTGGATTTTGATGTTTTTCGAATAGTTTTCGCGAAAACTGCTCAAGAAAACCAACCGCCGGAACCTGAATTTTGTGAAGAAAGATTCCGCGAACATTTTTATCGTTCGTTGGGCTCATGAAATGTAAAATAAGATGAAATATAAAGGTTTGAAGTTTTGACGAAATGCGAAAAAGCCGCTAAAAACATGAAAAACTCTAAATTCTGTAAAGAACGGTTTCCAATCAGTAAAATATTGTTTTCTAGACGTTTTTCAAGTCAAAAAGATAGAAATAAGGGTCGTAAACGCGAATTGAACTGCATTTTTAGACGTGCAAATTTTTAAAAGTTACAACGACACTCCGCAATTTACGAGCGCACTGTGTTTCGCATTAGCGCCCTGGGAGACCGTGCATCGCTGAATTCGATTTTTTGACGTAAAAAAACGAAAAAAAAAACGGAAAGCAATCATTTTTATCACAGCCTGAATAACCCCATTAGTCACTTGACAAATCGTGCGTAAACTTTTAGCGTGAAATCCCGGTGCAGATGGTGGTGGGAAATGGCACCGGCTACTCTCGATACTCTCTAGCCGCCGACGTCGTCCAGCGATGCTCGACGGGCGGCATCTCGCCCCAACAGCGTCTTTCCAGCTACTCACTGCACAGCATTGTCGGTAAGCGCTTGAACTCGGTCATTTTTCGGGTCAAAATATTGGGGTTGTTTGAAAAAATTTGAAAAAAGGGCGGTTGTCAGTGTCGGTCACAAAAATGAGGGAAAATCGGTCAAAACGTTGGGCTTTTCCGAAAACGAACAGTTAACGCAACGTGTATGCAAAAAATGTGCATAAACAACCATTGTTCCCATTCATAAAAATAGACGTTTATGCCGTTTTTTCGCCCTTCCCGCTCAACTTGTCTACACACGCTTATTTGTTGGAAACTCTGCAATCCGCTTGTCAAGCAAGCAACACTTTTTCGCAGTTTTTCCACAAACACAAAGAGGGGGGCCACCCGGGCGACGCGTGCCGTACGCAACGAAAAATAATCCGTTCCGCACACACGCGAGTGCACGGAAACTTCTGGAAACTGGTGGCACCGCTCATTTCGCTCATTTTCCAAATGCCAAAGTAGCCGAATTGCTGGCTGACTTTTTCTTTTTTTTTGTTGTTGTTGTTGAAGAGCTGAACGAAATAGGTGATTCTCACGTTGTTTTGTCCGAATTCGCGCTCTTTAATATATTTTCAGTGCACGCTTTTGAAAGTCGGGTGCAAAGCGTCCGGTTGGCGCGCGCGTTTTCAGTAGAAATCAAAATTTCACAAGCATCCGAGCGGCATTTTTGTTTCGCTTCTCGCCTCATTTACATGTACATATCATGATAATTCACGAGAATTCTCTGTCCATTGCGTACAATTGGTACTTTTCATTTGCGTAAACGGATTATCGCCTCCTCCTTCTTTTCCGTTCAGCTTGACCTTCCGCGTCCCTCCTGCGCGCGCACGCGTATATAACTTTGACTGTCTGTGCGACTTTGACTGTCTTGTTGTCTATATTATCTGTGAATATTTATTTATATTACTAGCCAGTCAGTGTCACCTCCCGCTTTCGCATACGAGCCGTCGTTTCGTTCTTTTCGCACCTTTTCGCTACTGTAAATTGTATTTTAGACGGAATTTTTTATAGTTTTCGGGAGAGAAACTCATTTTTGTGATTTTTCGTTGCAAAAGTGTCGAAAGAACAGAGATTTAGACGGAATGAGTCAGACTTTTGCCGCAAAAAAAGAGAGAGAACATTTTTGACAATTTCTTGCCTGTTGACTCATAAAATCTCGTCTTTGAGCAGTATTTCAACATAAAGCACACATTTCAAACGCTTCACTTGCTTTTTTCTCTATTTTCTGCTAATTTTCAACCAACAATCTGACTTTTTTGTGATTTTTAGCTGAAAAATCTGAAAAACTTGTTTTTGGATTACGGTAGAAGTGGAAACTGTGCAAAACACCGTCACGTCAGATTGCATACGTTAGCCGCAGCTTCAAATTTTTCAGCCAAGAACTTGTTTTTCTTCCAATTTCGTGCTGAAAATGGCAACATTTCTCATTTTTCGATTGTTCCGCTCGTATTCTTGATGTTTCCATGTAAAAAATGTGCACAAAATCCAGGGAGAGAGAGAGAGAGCTTACGTGAAAACGCGTTTTTTGAAAACCTCGAAAGTTCCTGATTTTTTGCTCTATTTTCTCGAAAATCATTCTAAAATGTAAGTAACTCAAAATTTTCCATAGTTTTCCTTCAAAAAGCAACAAAATCTGTACGCGATTACATAGGTTTTCTCATTTTTTAAATCCAATTTATCGCAAAAAGCGGCCACCGAAGTGTCAGTGCTCTGGCAGCAAGAAACAACTGACCCCTCTTTCTGTTGAATCATCAACATCAATAACCTTTCGGACCCGGATTTTCTGTCGAAAACGAAGAAGAAATCCGGGTGAATCATCCCTCGTCACACCATTTTATCGGTGATCCGGGCGGCGGCGACGGGCGGGTGTTCGAATTGAAAAGTGGCGGATTGCTTGACCGCCTGCGTCTCCGCTCACCACTTTTTCTGTGTTCGCAGCCGTTTCTGCTGCGTACCAGGCCCAAACAGCAGTAGACCGTGAGGCTGATGGCCAGGTCAACGCTCCCTTCTCTCTCTCTCTCTCTCTCTTTCCCTCTTCTTCCCTCTTTTTCCTCCTCAGCCGCTAAGGACGCGGCTTTTTCCGGCGATTGCGCAATGCAACATTTTCAAATTTCGCTCCTCGTCTATCCTTTTCATTTGTTTTTAATGCTTCCCCCCATCCTTTGCTCGTTTCAGTGAGAAAAACAAGAACTGTCACGAGAACAGAAGGAGCCCCTAATAATCATAGGAATTTGATATTAGTGGTCTCCTAAATGGTTGGCGAGAGGTATCGTAGTCAGCAGCCGTCGGGCGCATCCGCCGACCCATCGGACGCCTTCGAAAAAGAGGTGCTCGATCATTATGAGCTCAACAGAGAAAAGTATAATGGTAAGCTTTGAAAAATTTGGGTTTCTCACGATGTTTACACTTAAAATTGAGTTTCTTGCGATTAGGATAATGGGCCTAGCCGTTCTAGGCCTTAATTTTGAAAATCTCGGCGAAAAACACTTGTAATAACCAAACATAGCCGTTTTCATCTTGAAAAAATTCATTTTGGTCATCTCCTTTATTTTTTGACCTGCAACAAGCTTCTCATGTCGTAATTTTGAAATTTTCTGTCAGATTCTGTCTAAATCAAGCGATTTTTGCTCAGTCTCATCGTTTCTAGATCATTTTTAGCCCTCACCTCGTGCGAAGCTCGTTTTCTCTTCGATTTCTCCGATTTCCGTCCCATTTCGTCGGTTCTTTGCGTAAATGCGCGCGTTCCTCCTCGTTCATCATCGAACTTTGCGAATTGACAAATTTACGGTCATTTTTCATAAAAGTTTTGACCTTCCTTTTCGACTTTTTCCTCCGGACCGATTAATCAGTGTCATTTAACGAATTCAAGGTTGAAAACACGAAAACACACACACACACACGCATATATCTTGATTATGGGGCTATTCAGCGTATGTTTGTTTTCCGTTTTTTTCGTTTTTTTACATCGCTGAATTGAATTTTTTGACGTAAAAAAACGAAAAAAACGGAAAACAATCATTTTTTTCACAGCCTGAATAACCCCATTAGAAATCCGCCCGATTACCATCACTTTTTTTCTCCTCGAAAAACCGTTGCAAACGACGCGATTCGAATCGCATTTTGGTGGTGGTGGCGAATGGGTCACAAAGTTGACAAATATGACCACGCACGCGGAAAACCAAACAGAAACGGTCAAAGAAATGTGACCCCTCTTCGCATTACGCGTTCTCTCGGGCCCGATTTTATTATATAAAAGTGAGGGAGGCGCGTGTCTCAAGATTCGCCCTCTTTGCGATCATTTACAAGTGAGACGGAACACGAGAGCTTACGGTTGATCTAGAATCTGGAAATTTCTTTGAAAATCGCATTTTACACAATCTTGACCTATTTTTTTTAGTTCTAGTTTACAAATTTCAATGCGACAGCACCGATTTTCACACATTTCTCCATCCAAGTTGTAATTTGCACTTTGCAATTTGAAAATGATACATTTTGGGCCAATTACAACGTTCGCCGCAATCCCTCAATTATCCGGTCATTTTCTCCTTTGTACCTGTATTCGGCAACGAAAAAGTGTAGAATTAGCCGCAATGAAGCGAATTGGAAGACTTTGAGAGATTTGGAGGGGTTCTTGACGAGTCTGAAAGCTCGGAGAGTGGATTATTCGGTCAAAACAGCGAAATGTTCTGCAAAACGTGTGAATTTTGTGAATTCTCGTGCTCCGTTTATCTAAACGTGTATTTGACTCGATTCAGATGTACTGTCGACCCAAAACTGTCAAGTAGATTTAGTGGAGTGGACCGCACTAATCCGAAAAGTGTCACGGTCTTTTTCTTCTTCTCTTTCTCTCTCTCCCGGTTCCGTTCTCGTCGAGATCTGATTTGATATGGTGGTGAACACGCACACACACTTGACTATTGTAATGTTCCGCAAAAGGACCGCCCATGGTCACCTAATCCAGGGAATCATCGCCCCTCTTCTGAATTTCCGCTATTGTGTGAGAAATGGGTGAATACACACACACGCACACACAAAAAGTTGCGAAAAAAGGCGAAAGGACAGTAGAAATGGTCATGAATTGAGGCGGCAAACAATGCTCAAGCTCTGATTGTGTGTGTGTGCACAAACATGAGCCCATGTGTGTGTGTGTGTAGAAGAAGCAGGAAAAGGTGTTTGTTGAAGAGAGAATGAAACTTGAGAAGAAGAAGACGGAGCGCTTTTTTTGCAGCGAAAGTTGCCAACTGGGGACCTGGAGGAGTTTCGAAGGATTTTTGAGGGAATTGAAAGCTTCTGGATGCTTCTGGATGCTTCTGGAGGGTTTTGAAAAATTGTACAGAGATTTTGAGTGATTTGGAGGGTTTTTTCAAATCTTTTTCAGGTGGATTAAGGGGGATCTGAATGGATTTTATAAGTATAATGTATTTCTTGCAGACGAGCGCGACAACATTCAGAAGAAGACGTTTACCAAATGGGTCAATAAACACTTAACCAAGGTGAGATTCTGGGAGAAGAAACATTTTTGTAACTGAAAAGTACCTTTTTGTATTTCCGCTGAAAGTTGTACTTATCCCCCGAAAACAGTACATTCCAAGTGTAACAAAATTTTTTTCTGGTCGAATTTAAGCTGAACCACAAATGTTTGCACTTTTCTTACGCGGCTTTCGGAGCTCTGAAAATAATGTTTGTTACATAAAGTTTGGGGAAATTTATTTCGGCCCAGACTTTTGGGCCACATGTAATGATTCGATCGGGTCCAAACTTTGCAGGATTCTCGGGATTGGATTGAAGTACGTTGTAGCCAAGTTTCCGGCCGATCGGATCATAGGGTCCCGAGATATACTGGTTTTGCGAAAACGGCGACCTTCTCGGCCTCCGATCCACATATCTCGGGACCAGATGATCCGATCCGTCTGAAAGTTGGATCCAGTTTACTTCAATCCAAGTCCTAGATGCCTGCAAAGTTTGAATCCGATCGGATCATAGTCTAGGTCTCAAAAAGCCTTCAAAAACCGCGGGCCAAAAACTGGAGAAAAACTCTAAAAAAATCAATAATTTCAGACGGGTCTCAAAGTCGACGATCTTTTTGTGGATCTTCGCGACGGATATGCACTGATTGCGTTGTTGGAGGCGCTCACCGGCGAGAGAATTGTAAGCAATTGAGAAGTTTGACCGTGAATGCTGGAAAATACCACTTTTTTCAGCAAAAAGAGAATGGATACACGCGATTTCATCGCATTCAAAACGTTCAGTATTGCTTGGACTTTTTGAAGAGGAAAAATGTGAGTTCTTGCGTGGAATTTGATGGAAGAATGAGACGTTGAATGGAATGTTCCACTTCGGCTCTTTATTCAATTTTACAGATCAAACTGGTGAACATTCGACCCGAGGACATTGTGGAGGGCAACGGAAAACTGACGCTCGGCCTCATCTGGACGATCATTCTCAACTTCCAGGTCTCGGTGATCCGTCAACGACTGTTGCTCGAGTCTCAGCACGAAATGATGATGAGCTCGTCGGCGACGTCGACGACAAATCGACAGAGTGTCTCACAGGTCAACCCTTTGTTCCGCCTAACTCAAATTAGAATAACCCTTCTGTTCTCGCACTTTTTAAGCAGATTTTTCGTCGAAACCCCGCAGACTTTTGCTCTGTTTTGAGAAATATGGTCAATCAGGTGAGCCCCTCATAAACACACACACACAAACTCCCATAAGTACGCTTTTCTAAGTTTCGCCCCCCAATTTGAACCGAGTCGAGTGTTCTCCTGTTTTCAACGCTTCCATATCACTGCAAAGCCTAACAAATCTGGAATTTCGGACTTTTTTGAAGCTCAGTTGAAAAATGATGATTCTTCGCTATTTTGCCAGTTCCGCGCACTTTTGGACCATGTGGAAAACTGAAATTGTTTGATTCGTCACCTTTGTGTACATCCTCTTTTTCGTCTTTTCCTTCCTTTTCCCCGTTTGACATTTGAGGAAAGAACTTCTTCTTCTTCCTCTGCCAACTTGTTCTCCGGCCACACCCACTTTTCCCTTTTGCTTATTATTATTCAACGCCGACGCCCCGGAAAAAGTACACAAATCAAGTGAAATGATCCTGAAAATGAGGTGTGGCAAATGGAATGTTTCCGGAAACTTTGAACCCTAAAATTTCGAAATAATTTATGACTGGAATCAGAGAGAATTAATGGGCCCCCTCTCGACGGCGGAAGGCGTGAGAATCAGAAGAAACACAGCAGTTGGAATTTTTGGGTGTGGCCCCTTTGCCGATCTCTTCTTCTTCTTTTTCTTCGTCTCCCTTCTTTTTTCTACCTTTTCTCGACGTCGTCTACCTCTTCTCAACCTTCGACGTCCAAAATGAGTGTGGGTTAGGTTGGACGCGCGAGACAAACGGTGATTTTTAATCAGTTGAGGGCGGAATGGCGATGGGATGGGCATCTCATTGCGTTTCCGGAGAGAAACAAAGCGACGACGGAACTTTAGGTTTTTTGCGGCATGAAATTGATCAGAGATTGGAATTTTGAACGATTTGAGAGTACCTGGGATTGTTTTGAAGAGTTGGAAACGATTGTAAAGTAGACGAACTAGTTCTGAACCCTTCCGCTCACAATGAAACAATTTTCACCGATCTAAACGACTCTGACACGTTTTGAGTAAACCTGAAACTCTTTTTCAGCCATGGAGCGATTTTTGACAATATAGAACAAATCTGAAGATCCCAAGACTGTTTTTGAAGAGTTGGAAGCTATTCTGAAGTATCCGGACTAAGTCTGAATCTTTGTGTTGTTTCCTGAAGTCGTAGAGACGATTTAGAACGGTCCAGACGGTGTTGACCCTTTCGGAGTCATTCTGAAGCTCGTAGACGAAATTGAAACGACTCTAAATCTTTTTGAATGTTTCTAAACCTTCTCGAGGAATTCTGTAGCGACTGCACTGATTCTAACGCTCCTGGAATTGATCAGTAAAAATTGCGATTCTAGTCCAATTCCGAAGCTCCAGCGCATCCGGATCGAATTCTGAAGCTTGAAAATCCAAGTAGATTGGGCTGTAAAAGCAAATACTGAAAATTCTGGAACAGGTTCTCCGCTTTCCCCCACCCATAATCGCCGCCGTCTTGAAATGGCGAAAGTTCCTGCAAACGAACGAAAACAAACACATTCAAGACCCCCGGCGGTCTGTTTTTCGTCGAATGGTGTCCTTCTGATGGCGGTAAATATTCGATTTATTATACACAAGGCCGCCCGCCCCAGTCGATGATCTTGGGAATTCGGAACGTCACGGATGCTTGGCGATAATTAGAGGGGTTTACCGATTCGGATTTCGGATTTCGGATTTCCATCCAATGATCATAATGATGATGGCGATGGCGATGACGAATCAATCAATTTGACAAGTTTCGATTCTTGGCAACCGCTATTGTTGTTTTCGTGCCCTCCGATGATCATGTGTGTGCGTGTGCGTAGGTGGTATACGCCCTTTTCGAGACCCCCGTAAATGGGTGTGGCAGCCGAAAGAAGAAGAAGAAGAAGTTGGCATTTTGAATGGTTTTCTCCGTGCCCTTGCAACATTTGGGCGAATTTTTGGAAGAAAGGGACACACCGAAGATGATGAAGCCAAAGTGCAAACAAAGACTCATCTCTTTTTTTTTGCCGGCAAATGGGAACTGCGGGAAAATGGAGCAGAGAAAAAACAATCGGAAAAGGAGATGGAGATGGAATATTGTCGATTTTATGGTATATGCATAAAATAAACGGTGCAGCTGGGCGACCCGGGCACACACACACACAAAGAGAGAGACACCGGCACAAGCACACGTAGCGGTGATACTCTCTCCCTCTCTCTCTCTCCATATATTCACAAAAATTTCCACTTTTCTGTTCCCGAAGCGCCAAAATGAGCTCATGTTCGTTGACCGACTCGATTCTCGCCTATATTGTATGTGTGGCTCGCGAGCTGGCCTGTTTCGCACTCGGCATCGCTTGTTCTACGTTGGAATCGGAGGAGGAGGAGGCGGGCGGCGCCATCGGAATCGGCAGCAGTAGTAGAAGCGCCTACGAAATAGCACTGTTTGGCGGAGAGATTGCGTGCGCCGCCGCCTCAGCCGCAGAGACGACTTATTACCGTCGAGAAGGAGGAGGTGGAGGAGACCCCACCTACAGAACCACGCCCACGCAAAAAGGCGGACTCTTGTCTTCTTCTGCGACTTCTTCTTCTTCTTCTTCTTCTTCGTCGTCTTTTTCGTCGTTTCGAACAACTACTACTACTACACCACACGCGTGCGACACCTGTGATTCGTACGTTTGGCATGCGACAGCGTGTCTAGCCACTCTATCACTTTTACTATTCGGCATCGCCACAACTCTGACCATGTTCAAAGTGGTGCGGAGCTATTCGAAAAAGGCGGAACGCAAGTCGGAAAGCTCGCGAGCCGCCAGTCAAGCCTCGCAGCAACACCAAGCAATTTCCGGAGGCGGCGGCGGCGGCGGAAGTCAGTATTATGAAGAATATCATCGAAGCGGAGGAGCTGGAGGTGGAGCCAACGGATCCGTGCTCAACGGGAACGGATATCATCATTCGGTGGCCGGCGGCAACGGACAGCTTCTGCATCAGGCGGACAACCGACACCTCGCGAACGCCTACCAAACACACCATGCTGGCGGCGGATTCTCGGAGAGCTCCTCCTACGAGACGCGCGAGCATTTTGAGCGAAAAGTGCAACGTGTGAAGAAAACACGTGGCGAGCGGGAACGCTCACGATCGATGAGGAGAGACGAGGTCAGTTTTGGGATTCTGTGCTTCTTCCTGTGAAAAATCAGTCCGAAACGGTGTATTTTCCGTGCTGTGCGAAAAAATTGCGGATGCTACAACGTCTACATTACATCCTTCCTCTTTAGTTTTCTTCTATTTTCCTTCAGGACTTCTCAAAAAAACTGAACTTTTTCTCAGACCAAATTCGGTGCAATTTTGATTTTCCATTCCTCTGTAGGCTTCCTGACACTTTTGATATTGTCATCATATCGTCTTCCAATCGGTTCGCGGTCAAGACGACCCCGAACCTTTAGCAGATATCAATCTATTGATGAATTCATCATTAGAAGATATAACCTTGTCCCCTCCATTCCGATCACACTCACGCACACACACAGGTATACATAAAAGTTGCATATATTCCATTCGGAGGAGGCGAATCGAATGAATTCGAATTAGATTCACATTTGCGAGACGGCTACAGAGTGAGAGAGAGAGAGAGAGAGAGAGAGAAGATGAAATCGAGAGCGATTTTATGAGAGAATCCGGGCTGAGCGAGGAGGAATTGTGGAACGGTTTTCAATTTCACAATTGGCCGTGTTCAATCGGATTGTCGCGAAAAAAGTGATTCTCGCGAGCGAGAAGACGATTCATAGATCGAACTGGTTTCTTCTTCCTGTTGGGGCATGGAATGGCAAAAATGTCGCCGCTCAATTTCAGCATGATTGATTTGATAGTGATAGTGACAAGAAGAGAGAACTCTAGTTCTTCTCCTTCTTCTTCATTCCATTTGAATTCACGAGGAGAGAGAGAGAGAGAGAGAGAAATGATGAGAAGGAGAAGAACCACACCCAAAAATGTTTTTGCTTTTTGTAGAGAGATGATATTGAGATTTGATTGGCAAACGAAATGATTTTTGCGGGAGAGAACACACCCAAAGCGGGGTTCGAGGACGTTTTGCAACCACAAACACTGTAAAATGTTCGGTTTTCCATTTCGCAACCGAAGCGGAGCATTTTGACGAATTTGTCCATTTCGCAACCGCGCACAGCCTGAAACCGCCATCCCTGACTGGTTTCAAGTTGGCAGCAGCAAAAAAGGAACACAAAGGCATTGGGAATCGCGAATGTTTCCTCACTTTTTTCCCTTCCTCTCCTACCGCTTTTGTGTATGCACAGCAGATACATGTGCGTGCGCGGGCACTGCTTTGACACAAAAGTGAATCACCGATCGACAGAAGGGGACTACCTGAAACCTACCCGCAACGAGTCAACATACACGCGAAATGAGCAATTTCACCTCAAAAATGCGCTTATTTGCCTTTTGGCCCACTCGTTTTGACCGTACACGGCTAGAAATGCGCTTTTGTGTTTGTGTGAATTTGAGGGGCTTTCCCTGATTTGACAACAAAATTAACATGGAAATTGATAATCTGCTCGAAGAAAATTGAGGGAAAACGACAATATTCTCTGTTTCAGGTCTCCGAAGCGTTACATGGAAGCGATGCGACATCGGCGCGCGACGCACTGCTTCAATGGGCGCGAAAGGTGAGCGATTTGAGGAATTTGCCTGAAAAATCTGAAAAATTGAGCCTTTGAAGCTATCTGGAGGTTTAAGAAAGCTTCTAGAGGGTCTTCGACGTGTCTGAAAGTTTCTGGAAGGCTTTGGGAGCTTCTAAAGAGTTTTAGAGGATCCTAGATGGAAATGTAACATTTCTATGGATTCTGGGAGGCTCTGGGAGCTCTTGGATACCTTTTCAGTCAGTTTGGAGCTCTTAGTAGTTCCTGACAGCTTTTAGGAGCTTCTGCAAGCTTCGGGAAGCTTCCCACTAGTTCTGGAGCTCTAAAGTTGGTCCTAGAGCTCCTAGAGCTTCCAGAGCTTCAAAGAACCGCCTAGGCCTCTTGTTGAACGTTCCTGTCCCATTTTTCAGTGGAAAATAATCTTTTCTAGTTCTTTCCCAACTAAATTTCCGTTTTACAGGTGACCGCCGGTTATCCTCGTGTGAACGTGAACAATTTCTCGTCGTCGTGGCGCGACGGACTCGCGTTCAACGCGATCCTTCACAGATACAAACCCAATGCGATTGATTGGAACAAGGTGAGTGTTTGAAAAGAAAGCCGACCAACCAGGACAAGGCGCCATCAATTATCATTTGGTGGTTTTAAGCAAGAAACCAGAAATCATCGTTTTTTTGCCTTCTTGGCATGGTTGTGGCAATGTAATAATTGTTGTCTTCTTCTTCTTCTTCTTTGCCCCCTTTTGGAAGGGGCGAAAGATTTGTTGGTGATATAAACATGAATGATAAAATGATTAGCGACGGGCGCCCCCGATGAGAGAAGAAATAGTGTGGCATCTAGGCGAGATTCTGAGTGGTTTCCTGTTGTTTCGACAAGAAAGAGAGAGAGAGAACGAGATGGAGAAGAAGAAGAAGAAGAAGGCGTAATGAGACAGGTCGGGCGCACTCGCATGTATACAGCCAAGCAGCGGGGCCAATGATGATGTTTGTGTGAAAGGGTGCGCCCCACGCCGCAGCCGACACGACGACCTGTGAGACCGCAATCGAGGAAGACGATTGGATTGGAAAATATTTGCAAACCGAGGGATTAGGAAGGCGCCCAAGTGGCTGGCTGCTTTAGAAATCGAGTTTTTTTGGAGGGGAGCCTGGAATGTAGGATTTGAGACCATAGGATGAGGAAATTTGAGGGAAACGGTCTTAGGACAAGAATTTGAGCTGGAATTGGGGCTAGACATGCATTTTGAAAGTGTGAGACTGGTAGACTTGAAAAATATGGAAAAATTGATGAAATTTGATGGTTCTTGCAGATCAGCGACGAATCAGTCTCGAATCGCGAACGCCTCGACAACGCGTTCGCAGCTGCCGAGCGTGAATTCGGCGTGTCGCGTCTTCTCGATGCCGAAGACGTGGACACGAATAATCCGGACGAGAAGTCGATCATCACGTACGTCTCGTCGCTCTACAATGCTCTTCCCCATCTGCCAGAGCTCAATAGAGTGAGTTATTCCGTCTTGAACCTATATTCAGAAGCCCTTTTGTCATAGTCCATAGTCGTTGTCCGGTGTCCTTTTATGTGATAACGCAAGCAAATGTCCGATGTCTTTTTTCTATTTTCTTGTGATTGTCCTCTTTCTAACTGATGGTTGTAGCTGCAAAAAGTGCAAGAGGAGTACATCGAGGAGGCGCACGAGTGGCGCGAGTGGGTCGAGCGGGCGACGGAGCTCGTCGACGATCGGCTCCTCCAGGGCACCGCCTCCGAGCTCATTTACGAGCTCCAACGCTTCCGTGACGACGATTTGCCGCCGCGCGAGGAGCAGAAACGACGTCTGTGTCTCGTCTACGAGCATCTGGAGAAGACGATGCGCGCGACGGAACTGTTTGCGATTCCCTACGAGCTGTCGGCGCCGGAGCTTCAACGCGCCTGGAATCAGCTCGTCGATTCGATCGAGCGACGTTTCGATGTGCTGGAAAGGCATCGGGTGCAGGAGGTGATATATGTGAACACACTAACACTTTTATGTTTGCTCGAAAACGGCATGAAAATTGGAGTTGACAAAGGGTTACAGCTGGTTTTTTGAGAATTTTTGATGGAAAATTCGGTCAAGTTGAAGTGGCTTGGTGCAAATTTGAGTCCGAATGATTTATCTGATGAATCCGAGTTTCTGGGATTTAGGATGATTTATTCGGGCTGAAACGTTCACTTAAGATGCTAATAACTATTGGCTAATCGAACATTGCTCAAGTAGTTGCTGTGGCTCTTTTTATGCTCTGATCCAAATCACAAAGCACCCAATTATCCCTCGAACCCCCTCAAACCTGAGTTTTTCTTCAATCTTCATCAATCTGATTCTTTTAGGGAAACGCCAACGACATCATCAGCCGTCTCGAGCGCGGCATAGGCATCACCAACGAGAAGCTCGATCTGATTCTGAAGAGAATCGAAGACGTCGAGGCTCGCGTCGACACGTCGCCACCGGCGGCCGTCGAACGCACCGTCCGTGACATCATCGACGATCTCGACGTGCTCAAAAACCCGATCGCCGGCTTCTTCGAGGACGTCGAGGAGCTGAAGCGGATTCCGCACGAGCGAGCCGACGAGTACTACCGCCTCGTCTACGGACTCGAGCAACGCCGAACCGCCTACCTCGACAGGCTGTCGAACCAGATCCTCGTGCGTCTTGGCGTCCGCACCGACACGCTGAGCAAAGAGACGGCGCAACGACTGGAGAACATTCGGCAGACGTCGTTCCGGCGTGTGGAGGAGTGCATCGAGTGGGTGCGCGTGCGGCTCGAGAAGCTGACGACGATGGAGTTCCTCGAGGACCTGGAGACAATGGAGCACGTGTTCGAACAGCACAAGCTCGACAATCGCGACATTCAGGACTTCCAGCAGAACGTGGCCGAGTGCATCGCTCGTCAGTCGGAGGTGGCCGCCGAGGACACCGAGGAGTACTGCCAGTTGCTCGCGATCCTAGAGAGCGAGTACAAGCAGCTGAGAGATCTGTCCGCGGGAAGAATGCTCGATTTGGACACGCTGATCGCCTTTATCCGTGCCTCGCAACTCGAACTCATCTGGGTGTCGGAGCGCGAGCAGATCGAGGTGACCCGCAACTGGAGCGACATCAAACAACTCGACTTGCCGATGCTCACCAACTACTACAAACAGCTGCTGCACGAGATGGAACTGCGCGAGCAGGGCTACAACGATGTGCACAATCAGGGAGCGGCGCTGCTGAATCAGGGACATCCGGCCGTCCGCGTCATTGAGATCTACCTGAAGACGATGCAAAACCAGTGGGACTGGCTGTTGGCGCTGTCGAAGTGCCTCGAAGAGCATCTCCGCGACGCGCTCAACCTCAAGTCGTTCATGGAAGAGGCGTCGGACGCGGAGGCGTGGATCGAAGAGCAAGCGGCTCGTCTCGAGAACAACTACAACCGGACGGACTTTTCGCTCGAGGAGGGCGAGCGGTTCTTGCGCGAGCTCGACGAGATCAAGGACATTCTCAACAAGTACCACCAGGTGCTCATGGCGCTCACCGAACGATGCGCGAGCATTTCGCCACTCTGGCAACGCGGCGAACGCATTCCGCATCCGATCAACGTGACGGCGCTGTGCGACTACGCCGATCAGAACATTACGATCAAGGCGGGCGACGACGTCGTGCTGCTCGACAACTCGGATCTCATCAAATGGACGGTCCGCGATCTGTCGGGCGTCGAAGGACAAGTGCCGTCGGTCGTGTTCCGTATCCCACCGCCGGACGCCCGTCTCACCGCCTTCCTCAATCGCCTCCTTCAACAGTTCGAGAAGCTCAAGAAGCTCTGGGACAAGAAGCACCGAATGGTCCGCTTCAACATGGTCCTCAACACGATGAGAACAATTCAGTGAGTGCCCAATAATATGTTGTTTCGTTATAATTCCATTTTGCAGAGGCTGGGACCTCGACACGTTCAACTCGATCGATCCGGACCAGCGTGACGCGATCATGAAGGCGTTGAACGACGACGCGAACAAACTGCTCAGCGAGCTCGATCCCAATGATCCGCTGGCTCTGCGCCTGCGCGAAGAGCTTCGCAAAACGAACGAGCACTTTTGGAATCTGCTCAACGCGAGCCAAAAGCCGCCGGAGCCGGATTGGGCGTCGCAGTACGATCAGAAGATGTCGGAGTTGCTGCGCAAACTCGAAGAGGCGTGGCGCCGTCTGAACGACGCCGTCGGAAAACCGGTGTCGCGTACGCCCGAAGAGCTCGAACGCGTGATCCACGAGCACAAACGATTCGAGGACGCCCTGCAGGCGCTGGACGGAGACGTGGCGAACGTGAAGGAGCTGTTCCGTCAGCTGCCGAATCCGACGCCGTCGCAACGAGCCAATCACGACCGTCTCAACGGACTCTGGGACGATTTGTGGGACTTGTCGAGGATGTACGTCGAGCGAATCAAGGTAATTTCCTGTTTTTTGGATAAAAATTGGCCACAAACCGAGGATTTTCAGGTTCTTGAGTCGGTTCTGAATGGCATGGTCGAAGTGGCGGACATCGTGAAGCAGCACGAGATAACGTTGAACTCATTCGACGATCTGCCGGCTGCGCTCGACAAACTGCGAGGACACCACTCGCAGTTGCTCGAGATTAACATGGTGCTCAAGGTAGGCCGTATTTTTTTTTTTGAAAACTTCCGCCCGAATAGACTATTCGATCTAAGTTTCCCACTGAAACTATATTTTTTGCAGCAACAACAAACGGTCATCGACCAACTCAACCGGAACGTGGCACTTCTCCGTCAGCACGTTGCCAGAACCCGCATCAATGAGGGACAGTGAGTCGATTCTTTTGCTTTTTGCTCGCCATTCTAATTTTTGCCAATTTGCAGCCATCCCGACGTGGATGTGATCGAGAACGAAGTGCAACGCCTCAACGTCCGATGGGAGAATGTGAATTCGCAAGTCGCCGAACGTCTTCTGGCGGTCGAACGCGCCCTCCAAATCCAAATGGTCTACCGCAGCGAGTACACGACCGAGATGAAGTGGTTGGACACGGTCGAGGAGACGATCAACCGCCTCCGCAAACCGGAAGAACTCCGCCCGGAACAATATCAGCAGCAGCTCGACACGCTCATCGCCGAGTACTCGAATCTGCAGGAGCACACGCAGGCGATCGAGAACGTCAACAAGGAGGGCGGACGGTTCATCCACGAGGCGAAGGGATTCGACGGACGGCTCGGCGCCTACGCCGACTCGATCGTTGGAATTCACGGACCCGAAGTGCGCGGACAGTTCCGTCGGACCAAGCCACAGCCGAAGAACGGAGCACAGATTGTCACCGAGGAGCTCGAGGTGAGACAGCGAATTTTTAGTTGTATTCGAGCTGAAGAAAAGCGATTTGCGCGGCAAAAGAGAGAGAGAGAGAGACGCAGACGCGAAACACAAAAATCCATGCTGTTTTTCTTTCCAGATCCATGAAATTTCCTAAAATTTGCAGCTCCTCAACCGCCGTTTCGCCCAACTCAGCTCGCTGATTCTGGAGCGTCGCAACACGATGCAAGTGCTCATTCAGAACTGGAAACGTCAGAAGCAGGTCAGTCCATCGATCACTTTTTCGGTCCTCTTTTCCCCGCAATTCTCTGTTCACTTTTTAGAAGACATTCTCTGTTAGGCCTCTCCTTGTCATTACTAGAAAATCACGGGTTTGTAGTACGGTATACGGGAGCACTATCTGCTTTTGTCGGGTATTCAAACACTGTAGGCGTTGAGCGAATTGGTGATAGTCAACTTTAACCCCTAAATGTTAGGCGTAGACTGTAGAAAAGTAGAAATTTATGTTAATTTCCCAAGTCTTCAGCTCTTTCTCTTTCATTGCTCACGTCATTTCTCTCATTTCTAACCCCAAAAATCGAATTCAGCACCACGCCAGCACACTGATTTTTACGTTCTACCCCTCTCAAATAACAATTTAGCCTATAAATCTTGACCCCCTCTGAGTTTTTCACCACCCAAAAAAAAACCGCGAATAACACAAGCCCCACTCCCGCCCACTCAATCAGTTTTTCAGCAGCTTTTCAGTTTTTTGTGTTCTTCAACAGCAAACACATCACCACCGCCATCACCGCTTTTTTTTTAAAGAAAAATGTGAAAAAAATGCACCACCAAAAATTATGTGTACGATCAGAAGAATTCAGTAAAAGATCGGTGAAAAGATCTCCCCGAATACTGGGGCGGTCTTTTGTATGAAAAATGATGATCAGTCGAGACTAAAAAATAACCTGACAATATCTGTTCCAATCCAATTCAATCCATTTCAACGAGCGTCGCCAGCGGTCCGAAAACCGTGAAAGGTAAGAAATGTGTGTGTTTTAATGTTAAAACAGGTCGCCGAGAGGATTCTTCCGATATTATCCGAGTTGCAGAGTGTGTGTGTGTGTGTGTGTGCCCCGCCCACTTTCTTCCCGTTTCTCTTAACTTTTGTCTCATTATCATTCGTCATCATCATCTCCCCATTCCACTGTTTCCTCGCGTGTTCTTCTGAAAATAATTGCAGTTTGATGTGAACTTTTAATTGCCGAATAATCCCTGCCTCTTTTTGTTTTCATCTAATATCGAAATGCGATTGCGCCGTCTTTTGACCGAATTTTGAGCTTGCTAAACGAATTGTGCACAGTTTTGACGTTCCCGACGAATTCTGGCCACTTTTGAACATTCCAGATAAGTTTTGAATAATTTTGACGTTTCTGAACACGTTTTCGTAAATTTCGACCTTTCTAGGCTATTTAGTCTTCGTTCTAGGCGTTTTTGTGTGTCCAAACTAGTTCGATCAATTTTTAGCTTACTTGAATCTTTTCCAACGAGCTTGGTTCGCGCTGAGCTCAGTTTCACCTCTCTGAACAAAATTCGCCGCAAAGTTGTCTCACTTCCAACCAAAAACAACAAAAACTGCTCTTTTTGAGCAAGCTCAAAAGTCGACCCGCGCAAAAAGCGTTGCACCTCCGAAATTTCTCACAATCAATCTCTCATTTTCTCCTAATTTCTCATCAATGTACGTGTATGCGTGTGTGTTCATGTGCTCAGTTTCGAACGAAGAAACGGTTTAGTTTGTGTCTGCTTTCCACTCACACCGCTGCTGCTTTTCATGCCCGTGTCTTTTGTGTGTTTTCCTCGGTCTTGAATTCGATTTTTTTTTGTTGCAAAATTTCAAAATTTCCTCTCAAAAAACTTCTTGTCTATAGTAGTCGTTCCTAGTTGTCCTCCTACAGTAACCCGCTCTCTATGTTATTCTTCTTCTTTGTCTTCTTCTTCTTCTTCTTCTTCTTCTTCTTCTCTGTGTGCGTGTGTGTGTGTGCATCTAAACCAAAGTGTGTGCCCCCACTATTCTCGGTTCTTCACAGGAGGAGGAGGATCGCCGTCGTGCCGAAGAGGAGGAGAAGCGGCGAGCGTTCGAAGCGGCTCGCCTCAAAGCGCTCGAAGACGCGGAACGTCTCCGGCGAGAGCGTGAAGACGCGGAAGCACGTCGCCGCGCCAAAGACGATGCGGATCGTGCGCGACGACTCGCCGAAGAAGCGGATCGTGCGCGTCGCGACGCGGAAGATGCGGAACGTCGCCGACGCGAAGAAGAGGAACGGCGGCGGCGCGAGGCGGAAGAACGGAAGCGCCGCGAGGATGAGGATCGCGAGCGGAGACGACGTGAGGAGGAGGAGCGTCGGCGTCGCGAGGAGGAGGAGAGGAATCGCAAGGTAGGCCATACTCCTACAGCTCGAGAGCTTTTTGTTTTTCATTTTTGAGTGCAGTGTGTGTGTGTGTGTGTGATTTTTCACTAACCAGTAATACAAATCCCCGTTCCTCTTTCTCAACATTGGGCATTCTCTCTTCTTTGGTGATGGTTTCTAGTATTAGAAATGCATGGTTTTCCTTCAGAAGTTGTATCAATTACCAGTTTCTCAATCCGACTGTTACTTTGCACGATTCGACTTGGTGGTAGACTGTTTTTTTTTCGATCCGGAGAGACTCTCCAGATCGGCGAGATTTGACCAAGATTTGTGCAAAGTCACAACCCGATTGAGCAATTGATAATAATAACGGTGTTGGGTCCAAGTTCCACCCCTCCCCCCAAAAACAATTTCAATTTTCAGAAGCCCGACATTGACCTCAAAATCCAAAAGCCCACGATCATTCTGGAGCCGCTGGTAACCGGGCAAGGAGACGAGTGGGAGACGGTCGACCCGATCGGAGATCGAGCCAAGGTCTCGGAGGTGGAGGACGAGATGCAGACGTTCGCCGAGGAGACGATCACGAACACGCAGTTCTATGAGATGGAGGGAAATCTGAACAAAAAGACGGGCGAGGTTCTCACCTTCTTCGAGGCGATCCGCCAGGGCAATTTGACGGCCGCCGGCGAATTCTTCGACGTTCCCTCCGCCTCGATCATGTCGCTCGAGGAGGCGGCCAAGTATGGACTCGTCGAGCAGGACCTGCCCACCGTACTCAACACGCAACGCGGAATCCATCACCCGGACACACGCGAGCCCATCACCCTCGCCGAAGCCATCAAGATCGGGCTCTACGACAGCAACATTCGTCAGTTCCGCGACATTCACACTGGCGAAATCCTCTCGCAATCGGATCTGATGTCCAAGGGCATCGCCCGTATGGAAACTGTCGTCAAGCTCATCAAGGAGAAGATTATGAAGTTGCCGCCGACGCCGCTCGCCAGCGCCCTGGAGAAGCAGATGCTGAACCCGGTGACGGGAGTCTTCAAGGGACGCCATACCGATATGGAACTGCAGTTGTGGGCCGCCATCTACCACGGCTACTTGTCGATCGAGAACCCCGAACACGTGGCCACCATTGGAATCTCGCTGACCGACACGATCGAAAACGGATTCATCAACGCGAACAACGCCGAATTTGTCGACCGCAACACGCAGGACAAGTTCAACTTCCGCGAGGGAGTCTCCAAGAAGTCGGCGCTGATCAACAATGACGTTTTGGAAGTGGTCAATACCAACGAAGGAAAGAGAGTGTCACTCGGAGCCGCCCTCGTTCGCAATGTGATTGGAGTCAAGGACGGAAAGTACACGGATCTGCAGACTCGCCACAGCATCTCCCTGAAAGAGGCCCATCAGGATGAGCTCATCGGAAAGGCCCTGACTCTCGAAGAAGCCGCTCGCAAAGGGCTCGTCGACTCGACCGGACACTTTGTCGATCGCGGAATCAAGGGAAAACGCTACACGCTCCTCGAGGCCATCGTCGCCGGTCTTCTGGATGCGGAAGTTCGTCACATTGTGGATCCGGAGGAGAACGACGTCATCTCGATCGCCGAAGCCCTTGAAAGAGGCCTTCTCCATCCGAACGGAAAGATTGTGCTCGAGAAGCAGGAGAAGGAGTTCACGATTCCGGAAGCCGTTCATGAAGGTCTTCTGACGAAGCGTGTCCGTCACACCATTTTCAACATCCGAGGCATCCGCAACACAGAGACCGGACATCAGCTGAGTTTCAACGAGGCCGTCGAAGCGGGCGCCATCATTCCGAACGCCGAGCGCGTCGTCGACCTGCAGACCCAGGAGAGCTTCCTGATCACGGACGAGCGAGCGAAGAATCTGATCGAGGTGGCGCTTCACGAGCTTCTCACTACGCCGGTCGGCGTCAAGGACGAGCGAGGAAACTACGAGCTCAATCTGGTCCGAGCCGTCTCCAAGGGAATCATCGATCCGGTGAAGGGAGTGTTCTTCAACAAGAGCACCAAACAGGAGCTGTCGACCCGCGAAGCCTACGAGCACGGGCTCGTCAGCCTGCGTGGAGCGCTCAAGATCTACGGACTGCTCAACGTGCCGCCGTCGCTCATCACGCCCTCCAAGAAGATCGACCGCAAGAAGCGCATTTCGCGGCCCGGACAAGGAGGCTTCGAGGTAGGAGAGAACCAGGTCAAGGTGACGATCGCCGAGGCCATGAAGCAGGGACTCATCGACTCGCGCACCCAACGATTCCGCCAGGGCAACATCAACGTGTCTCTGGACGAGGCGCTCAGCCAGGGACTCATCGACCCGGCCAGCGAGTGGATCGTGCCCGATCGCAGCAAGGGCGTCGGACCGACGATCGAGGAGCGGACGACGGAGACGATGACGGAGACCGGACAGCAGCTGGCGCCCAAATACTACCCGGACAAGAACATTGAGGAGTCGGTGACGACTGTGAAGCGCGTCCGAACCACGGAGACGACCGCTCTCGGAGGACCCGGCGGAGTTTCGGTCTATCGTTCGATCACCGGAGGAAAAGGAGCCATCGAGGTGCCGTCAACCGGCTATCACATCTACGAGGCCGAGCGGAAGGGACTCATCGATCTGACCAATGGAAAGATCTCGGCGCCGAATGTCGAGAGAGTGCTCACCTTTGCCGAAGGAGTGGAGCTCGGAATCATCGACGCCACTTCTATTCAAGTACAGGATCCACGCACCGGACGTCACGTTGGAGTCAAGGAGGCGCTCGAGAAGAAGCTGATCGAGTCGGACGGATCTATCAACGGTCGCAGCATCGAGAAGTCGATTGAGAACAAGCAGATCATCATTGACGCCGAGCCGCTCGTGCCCTACAACAACCAGTCGAAGAACATCATCCAGATCCCGGCCGGCAATGGACCGATCATCAGTTTCCGTCAAGTCGGACAGCCGATCGTCGAGGAATCGACTCAATCGTGGGAGTTTGACAGCCATCAAGGAGTGCTCATCGACAACACGACCGGCGAGAAGCTCACTCTTGAGAGAGCGCTCGCCACCGGAAAGTTGGCGCCTGAAGACATTTCGGTTCGCGACGGACTCACCGGACGCGAAATGACATTCGAGGAGGCGGAGAAGTGGGGAATCATCGACTCGAAGAACCGCTATTTCGTCGACAAGGCCCAGAACAAGCGGATGTCGTACACGGAGGCCGCCCAGCAGCACTTCATGTACCCGACCGGAGGAGTTCCGGAGAACGCGTCGGACGCCGTCCACACGACCGTCAAAGTGCAGACGCGGACCCAAGTTTCCAAGAAGGAGGCCCTCTCCAGCGGAGTTCCACTTTCGGAAGACTCGCTCGGAAAAGCGCTCGCCCTCGGATGGTACGATCAATCTGCCGGAACCTTTACTCATCCGGACACCCAGAAGAAGCTCACCCTGAAGGAGGCCATCATCAAGGGACTCTTCAACCCGTACGACACGACCATCGTCGATAAACGATCTGGAAAGGAGCTGTCTCTTTTGGAAGCGATCCACGAGGGAATCGTCGACGACACCGCCGGAACTGTGAAGAACACGCAGACGGGAGAGGTGCACAACCTGCTGGAGGCCGGAAACTTGGGACTCGTCAAAGGAAAGAATTTTGGAGACACCCTCGACTCGAGCCTCTTCTCTGGACGCCTCGACCTCGGAACTGGAAGCTACACCCGACCATCTGGCGGAAGCATGCCGATCCATGAGGCGATCAGCCGCAACTACGTCGATCAGAGCTCCGTCTCCGTGCGCGACCCGACCACCGGACACCAGTACTCGTACCAGGAAGCTGTCAACCGACGCATCGTCGACCCGGACCGAGGACTCATTCACGGACAGGAAGGCTCCGAATCAACGAGCTTCTCGCAAGCGCTCACCACCGGACACCTCGTCTCGTCGGGATCCGCTCAACGACCGACGTCGGGAAACCAGCAGAGACTCGTCGAACAACGCCTTCAGCTGACGCCCTTCGCGCCGTCGAACGGAGGACAACGCAGCCGTGATGGACGCCACGAACTCGTCGATCTCGGCGGCGGACAGCAAGTGCAAGTGAAAGTGGTCCGTGGAGAAGGAGGCGTCGAGAAGGGAGAGTACACGGATCCAAAGTCGGGCATGAAGTTCACGATCCAAATGCACGGAGATCCAGTCGTCACTGAAACGAAGACAAGCGTCAAGTCGACCTCCCAAGTTCACTCTGTCGAGCTGGAGCCGCATGCCGAGTTTGTCGGAATCGATCGAGTGCGGGACAAGCGCACGAACCGTGTCATGACCCTGGAGGAGGCCCGCAAGCTCGGAATCGCCAAGGTCGACAAGAAGGGGAAGCAGATGACGAGAACCTACCAGGTCTTCCGCTCGAACATCCAAAACGCTGTCAACAACGGAGTCAAGGACACGAACGACGAGAAGCTGAGCCTTGAGGATGCGATCCGCGCCGGACTCGTCGACATTCGCAGCCTGACCTACCGCCATCCGAAGGACGGATCGATTGAGCTGACGCAAGCCGCCAACCGTGGACTCATCGACGTGACGCTTTCCGAGGTGTTGCCCAAGGGAATCATCCATCCGGGAACCGGAGAGCGCATCGACATCAAGCGAGGAATCGAGCTGCGCATCATTGACGCCCGCACCGGAGAGGTCCGCGATCCGAGAAGCAACGAGCGCATCACGTGGCTCGACATTCTCAAGCCGGTCTACCAGGCGATCGCCAGCGAGGGAGTGTTCGATCCGACGAAAGGACACCACGTGCCAGTGACTTCGGCCCTCAACGACGGACTCATCAACGCCGGCACCGGCAACTACAAGAACACGATCACCGGAGAAGACGTGCCACTCAACGAGGCGGTCGATCGGGGACTCATCGATCGATCCACCTACGAGACCATCACCAAGCCCTTCTTCACCGACTACCGATCCAACCGAAAATTGAACCTCGTCGAAGCTGTCCGCGAACGTCTCATCGATCCGAAGAACCGAACGATTCAACTGTCGCGTCAGAGCATTGTCCCGATTGCGAAGGCTGTGCAGGACGGAAGAATCCCGCTGGAGATTGGAGAGAAGCTGCGGAGAGTGGACAAACTCAACTTTGCCGAAGCACTCGGAAAAGGATTGATCGACTCGAAGCAGAACATCTTCACGGATCCGGACACCGGGCGACAGATGAGCATTGCCCACGCGATCGAGGAGGGATTCATCGACACTGGAAGTGTGCAGGGAATCGAGGGAAACGACGACAGCAACCTGTTCAACGTGCTCAACTCGTCCGATTTCGATGAGAACTCTGGCCGCATCTACGACAAGAAATCGAGCCTTCATCTGACGTTTGCCGACGCCGTCCACCGTGGTGTCATCGACGGAGACTCGCTTCTTCACCTCCAGGCCTCTGGAGACCTCGTCACGCTCCGTGACGCCCTCCACCAGAACAAGATCGACTCGAACGGAAAGTTTGTGGACGGAGGAAGCCGTCTCAAATTGAGCGACGCCATCAAATCCGGACGCCTCACCGTCATCGCCTCGCCGTCGGAAGCCGTCCAAGCAGTGACAGAGGGTGTGAAGCGACGCGACGCCGAAGGCTACAAGTTCAAGATCACCGAGTACGAGGACGCGGAGAAGCAGCGGGCGAGTGTGCCAAAGTTCCGCGAGACTGTGACCGTCACGAAGCTCACGCCGCAATACAACGAGCCGGGACTCTCGGTGCGGATGCGTCAGAGCACCACGTCGATCGGCGACCGCGCCAGCAAGTTCATCGAGGATCCGTCGCAGTTGGCCGAGATTCAGCAGGACTTCCTCTCGAGCCTCGAAGCGTCGCAATTCGACACCGACGCCCGAGTCATTGAGAACCCGCAGACCGGCGATCGAGTTTCAGTGCGTGAAGCCGCCGAGACCGGACTGCTCGACGTGCAGACCGGCGAGATTGTGCACCCGGAGACGGGCCGACGCTACTCGATTCCACGCGCCGTTCACATGAAGCTGGTCGGAGGAGACGCGGCGAAACGCCTGATGGAACAACTCAACGTGCCCGTCGAAGAGGTCGGATTCGCCACGCAGACGATCACCACGTCGACGCACTCGGCGCCGTCGCCAGTCTTCGCGACCGCATCTGTTAGCCATCAGCCAGCGACGTCTTCAACCGGCGGAACCACGACCCGCGAGTACACCCGGACCATCAACTGGCACGGACAGCCGTCGGAGCTCCGCAACTCGAGCACGGATCCGCTGGCCGCCTACACGACGGTCACCTCGAGCGAATCGACCGAAGAGTGGCCGAAAAGACAGTAGTCTTGTTTTTCTTCTTCTTCTTCCTCCATAATATCATTACCTCTCACTGCCAAAATTTCGAACGCATAATATACCTCTTTCTTTTTGTGTGCCCAGTTTTTTCGTCTATTCCTCCTCCTATACAAATTCCCAGTGCCAAACACTCCGCCGCTTACGAAAAATGCTCATTTTCCCGGGGGCTCCTCGACCTCAATTTCACGTTTTTCCGATGCGTTTTTCATCGCGCGCCCCTTTTGTTCCAATCCATCCGAACAAATTTTGTTGAAAAACGCATTTTTTTTTGGACGCGAAAAAGTTGCTCACGGAGGCTCCGCCCCCTTTTCCTATACTGCCTTCTCTTTCACGCCCCGCCATGTAGATTTTTGTGTGATCGCTATTTTTGTGATTTTCCTATCATATTCCGAAACGCAACGCACTGTGATTTGATCAAATATTGAAAATTTCACGTTTCTTTTTCTAGCTTCTCGTGTGAATAATTTGAAATAAATGCCGAAAAATCAATCCCCCCAGCATGCTCTCCATTGTCGGGTTTCTTGTCCTCGTGTCTCGTGGTGTCTGTGTAAAATCTAAAATGTTTCAGGCACGTTTTCAGAAATGGATTGAATTGGAGTGGAATAGAGTTGAAAAATGGTTGAAAACTGAATTGGTGGTGTATTTTTTCGCCCAGGAAAAATGGTGTTGAGCTGGTGAAAAATGTATGAAAAACTGGTGAATTGTTGAGCTAGAGACTGCCAGTCAGAAAGTTCATAAAAGCAACTTTTTGATCCTAATTTCACATTTACCCGGCAAAAGGAGCGTCTCTCTCGGGAAAGCGCAGTTTCCCCGCTTTTCTCTGCTTCCGCCGAAACCTTCTCATTTTCATCGCTTTTTGTGTTCAGGAAGATGTAACGCAGGTGGTGACTCTGCGAGAAGTCGAAGTGCAAGGAATGATGTCGGATCTGTCGCGTTTCCGTCAGGAGATCTTCACTTCGCACCTCACTTTCGACCCGAATCCACAGTCTGTCGAGGCGGCTTCCAAGAACATGCAGGTAACCGAAAATGCGGATTTTGGCACGCAATGCAAAGTTATGAGATGATCCCTCTCTAGCAGATTATTTGCAAAGCTCCGAGTGTCTAACGCTCTTTGCGCATCTCATTCTGTCTCCAAACGCACGAAAATTCGTTTTTAGCAAGTGAAAGAGTCGCTGGACACGTGGCGCGACTCGATCAAAGAGCGCCTCGACGAGATTGACCGTCTGTGCAGAGATGAGCGCGACGCGATGACGCCGGAGCAGTACGCGGCACTTCGAGAAATGAGACATCAGCTCGCCGACGAGTACGAGACGGTGCTCCGAACGGCCGAAGGAATTCACTCCAGGTATGGTTTTTCCCCACAAAATCCGGCAGAAAACTGACCACTTTGAGGGAAATTGGACCACAATCAGTGATCTCTCTTGCTTTCTTTGAAAATACAAACAAATTACGAATAGGCACGGGAAACCCGCAGAAATTCCGCCAAAACTCACTCTGCTCCTTCGTTTTTCTGGAAAAAATCAGTGCCAAGCATGATATTGGCGTAGTATAATAAAATGCGGTATTGACAGGAAAGCGCGAGAAATATGAAATATGCAAATGCGAAATGATCACTTTCCCACCGCCCTCATCCCTCTCTCTCTCTCTCTTTTGCCCACTTTTCCGCTCTACAGTTTCCCCGTTTCCTCCGTTCATTCCGTCACATTTCCAGATCGGACACCCCCCTTTCGCTTCAGAGATATCATTGAAAACGGTGGAGACGTAGGACAGATTGCGTGCATAGATAATATATTGTAACTTTGACGATCTATGTACGTGTACGGGTACACGAATGTTTGTTCGTTTATTATTATATGGACAACATCTTGTGATTTCCATGGCTAGTCGCTTTTTTCTCGATGTTGAACAGTAGTTTTCTGGGAATTTTCACAGCAAAATTGAGTTGGAACGCGTTTTAGCACAAATTTTGAGGTTTTGTGTCGTTAGAGTACTGTAAATCTATGAAATTGAGTCATCGATAGCCGCCCACCTTCCCCTTCCCCTTCTCTTTTCCCTAATACATTCTCAATTTTTGCAGACTCAACATCCTCTCGGCGCTCCTGATCGAGTTCTCCTCGCTCACTTCTTCGGCACAATCGTGGATGACCGATCGGACTCGTGCCGCCGGAAACGTTCGCCACAAATCGGGTGACCCGCACAAAATTGACGAGACACGCGCGGAAGCACGTGCTCTTCTGGAAGAAGTCGTTCGCGAAGAGTCCCGTCTGAAAACGATTGGCGCGTCGGTGGTACGCATCGAGCAGGAAATCGCGGCGATGTACGAGGACGTGCGAGCGGCCGGAGCCACGGAAATGCCCGCCGGCATCAGTGTGGACGAGGTGCACGAGACGAGGCGACGTGTGGAGGACGACTACGCGCAACTGCTCCGCCAGTGTCAGGACCTGATCCAATTCCAAAATAGAGTGTACGAGATGAACGACGAGCACGCGGAGCAAGCCCGCAGAGCCGACGAATGGCTGCACAGTCTGCGCAGGGAGGTGGAGGAGGTGCGGACGGCGCGGGTGCCCGACGAGGACCGCATTCAACGCATCGAGGAGCTGAATCGGATGGCCGCCGGCGGATCCGCGCAGTTGGACGACGCCGAGAACGCATCGAGACGGCTGATTTCCGCCCTGGAAGGCACCTCGGCCGCCGACGACGTTCGCGCGAGACACGAAGATGCGGCGAACGAGCGACGCGATCGACACCGAGAGATGCTCGAACGCCTGCAGCAATCAATGATGGAGGCGGCGTCGCGGAAAGCGGAAGCGGAAGGTGTCAAGAAGGCGGTGGCGAATCTGAAGGCGTGGAGTCGGCAGACTGCGGAGAAGACACGGCAGCCGGTGGAACTGCCTCTCAACGAGACGGCTCTTCAAGAAGCCCGAAGAGACGAACAAGTACTGCACGGAGAGATTGAGAACCGAATCGCACTTGTCGACGAGCTGGAGCAGAAGGCAAAAGAAGTCGGAGACGAGGAATCGGTGGCCGAGCTCGAGGAGTGCAGAAAGAAACTGAAGAGGAGCAACTCTGACCTGAAGGGACTTCGCGACAACATTTTCGACGCGATCAACGGATTGCAGACGGTCAATTCCGAGGGGGAGAAGCTGGCCCGATCAGTGGACGCAGTGGGCGCGAAGATTCGCGCAGCCAGTGGAAGAGACGTCGGAAAGATGCGAGAAGCGGAGGCGGACGTCGAAGCCCTCCAAGGCCAGGCTCAGAATCTGGAGCAAACCGCCAGAAACCTGTGCTCGATGCCGAACGTCACTCAAACGGAGCCGGTTATTGAAAAGTCGAGAGATCTGCGGAAACGCGTCGATTCGTGTGCCGAAGAGCTCGATGTGAAGAGAGGAAAACTCGCGGAACTCGAGAACCTCGACGCCAAATTTGAGGAGGCCAAACGCAATTTGAACGAATGGATCGCCAAGTACGAGGACGATTTCAAGGCGCTCGACAAAGTTTCGATCGTCCCGGAGAAGCTCGGCGAGCAGCGAAAGCAGATTGGCGCGTTCGCAGAGCGACAAGGTGAAGGTGCGGCGCTGCTCGATCAGCTGGAGGCTCTGGTGGCCGAGCTGGGCGCTGTGGACGATCCGCAGACGCTGGTGAAGAGTTCGAATGCGATGCGACACGTCGGCGACGCCGGTCAGCGACTCAACAAACAGGCGACCGATCTGAAGGCGCGCGCCGAGAAGATAAACAAGATGGACGAAAAGACGACGTCGTTCGGAGAGGCGGAAGCCGGAAGTTTGGAGTACATGGAGAGACGGAAAGAGCAGTTGGAGCGGATGCCGATCCCCGTCACGAAGGAGGCTGTCAAGACGCAGTTGCTCGACCTGGAACGCATGGACAAAACGGGACGAGGAGAGCAGAAACGAGTCGAGGAAGCCCGGTTCTTGGCCCGCGAACTCGCAAGGGAAGCATCGGTGGAGCAGGAGGCGGCCGAGATGAACCAGCGGGAACGGCGACTAGCCGACAACTGGGACCAGCTCGCCGACGAATTCGATGCGGCGAAGGACCGAGCGCGGGCGGCGGAGAAGGTGCTCGACGAGCACGTGCGCATCGACAAGTGGATCGGCGACAAGCAGAAGATGGTGGACGCGATCGGCGCTCCGAGCACCGAGCCGGCCGACGTGAAGAAGCAGAAGGGACAGTTGGAGCTGACGAAGGCGGAGACCGAATCGGAGAAGGCCTCGTTGGAGCACGTGAACGGACTGGCGAACGAGCTGATGGCGGGCGCCGGCAAGGAGAACGTGCAGGAACTGATGAAGAAGATGGACGCGCTCAATCGGCGATGGCATTCACTCGAAAGCGGACTGGAGGATAAGGCCGGACGCATCGAAGAGGCGGCCAAGCTGGGCGAACAGCTCAGAGATGTCAATCAGGAGTTGAGGTGAGATTTTGAGTCGAAAAACAGATTCCCCGCATCAGAATCTACGTAAAAGCAGCCGTTTTTGAACTTTTGAGCGTCATTTCTAGTCGAAATTTGACTTCATTGAGTGTTAGGTTATCACGGCAAAATATCCTATTCTGAGTCCAAAAGTGATGATTTCTCTAAAAAACTAGGAAATTCCAGCTAAAATTTAAAATTATTTACAGAAAAGAGCTCGGCGAACTCGAGTCGAACATTGAAAAGGCGTCGGCAATGTCTCCGCACCATATTGGCGATCAACTGGCCACGCTCGACTCGCTCAAATCTCGATTTGGAGGAGTCGACAAGGCACTGGAGAAGCTGAAAACGATTGTGGAGGCGACGGAAGATCTGGAGGTGGACGCGACGAACCGGGCACAGATCCGCGAGCAGCTTGAGGGCACGCAGAAGAAAGCGGACGAGCTGGAGCGGAAGATCGAGCAGGTGAAGAAGGCGGCGTTGACGGCGCAGAACGAGGGAATCGAGCTGGAGAAGCGTCTCGACGATCTGCTCGGAATCGTCAATTCGGCCGAGAACGAGCTGGAGCAGTCGGCGCCGATCGCGGCGGACTCTGGAAAACTGGCGGACGAGCTGAAACGGGCCGACGAGCTCTATCAGAAGGTGTTCGACAACGACGGAGATGTCTCGCTTTTGAGGGGAAAAGTGGCGGAGGAGTTGAAAAAGAAGCCGGACGCGGAGATGAAGAAGAAGCTCGAGACGCTCGTCGCCAAGTGGCCGAAGACGTTGGCAGCCGCCAGAGATCGCAAAGATTTGATCGGGAAGGCGGGAGAGCTTGTGCGACAGTTCCAGGAGGATGAGAATGCGCTCGAGCAGAGGCTGGCCGGAGATCGCGCGGAACTCGAGTCTCTTCTCGACTCGGAGAAGGATCCGAACGCGCCGAACAGTACGGAAGTGTGCGAGGGCCTCAAACTGGTCGAGGCGACGATGGCGAGACGGTTGGACGACGTGGACGCACTCAATGCGCTCATGAATCGGATCGAGTCGGCGGCGCCGGGTCCCGATGCGAATCGGCTCAGGAGACGGGCGGACAAGCTGGCGGACGACTGCAAGGGAATGGCGAAGAAGGCGAGGACGGCGGCGGCGCAGGCACAGAGAAAACACGACTTCCTCGCGAAATTTGAGAGATTGGTCGCGGAAGTGGAGCAGTTTGCCGGAACGCAGAAGGACAAGATTGAGGAAGCGGTCGAGAAGGAACAGATGAACAGCGAACGAGTGCAGTCGAGTAAGCACCGACTTTTCAGGGGAAAAATCCGGAAGAAAACAATGTTTTTTTGCAGAAATCAACGAAATCGACGACTTTTGGTCGCTGAAAAGCCGCGAACTGAAGAGCGTCGGCGACGAGATCCGCAAGGACGGATCGCCGGAAGACGGAAAGAACGTCGACGAGAAGATCTCGGCGCTCCAGAAGGCCATCGACGAACTGCTCTCCATACTGGCCGGACAGAACGTGCGACTCGGCGAGAAAAAGGAGGCGGCCGACAGGATTCAGGCGGAAAGTCAGAAGGCGGGCAACAAGATCAGCTCGCTGAACGCTGAAATCGCGGATTTGGATCCGATCGGACGATCGTTCGAAGAGCTGAAACGTCAGAAAGAGGAAGTCTCGCAGCTCGGCGAGCAGTTGGACGGAGCACAAACGAAGCTGATCGAGCTGGGCGCCGAGTGGGAAGCCGCACTGGCCGTCGGAATCGTCGGACAGCCCGCGTTTGAGACGAATCGAGCGGCGGTGGACGATTTGAATAAGGTGAGCTTGATCGTTGTGTAGTTTCTGAACGCTTTCCGAAAAATGAAATAGTTGTCCAAATTCGCGAGATCATTTCCGTTAGTTTGAGCTAAAATTGAGGTGTGTACCGTTTTTTGAAGATTGAGATTTGAGAACGGATCTTCCCGTTCTTTTTGAGCGCTTTTCCAAGCCAGTGGAACTTTGATACTGATCGAAATTGACCTGCAAACCGCTATCATCCATTTTTCGTGTGTCATTTGATATCAGTATACCAATTTTCGTGTTTCAAGTGGTTTCTCTGCCCGTGACAAGTAAATAGACACGCGAATTTGTAAGATTTCGACTTTGGCGGGGACTAGAGTTCACAGCCGTTTGCATTCCTTGGTAACTGGATATCTTTTTGGATAAAGTCAGGTTCTCTCTCTCTCTCTCTCGTTTTTTCGTTTCCTGAAAGCTCAAAACTTCAAAGAATGATTCCGCGAAAGTCGAATAGAATTGCGATAAAATTGGGCGAGACAATGTTCGCCGTCCCAATTTTTATGATGATGTGTAAGATCACTAATTTCGTGAGATCAAAAGCAGTTAGTTTGCGATTTGTTGTTGTGCGAACTGACGACAACAAGTTGAGAAAGAGAGAGAGAGAGAGAGAGTGTAATGGGGAGAGAGAGAGAGAGAGAGACAATCAGCTGTTGGGCGGAGGAAAGTCTGATGGATGGATGGGTGGGAAATGTGGGAAGACAATGGAAAAGTTCAATATTCCTTCCCTTCGCCCATGAATGAACACCGTCACCCTCTATGGTATTGATGAGGCGCTCAACACGGTGCCCGTCGTCTTGCTGCCCATTTTTTATTGTGAGGTACTGTACTGATCGTTCACCGGAAAATTTGGCTAGAAAAAGGGCTGAAAACACTAAATGAAACCAAGAATTTATAAAAATATTCAAATGTTTGCAGTTGGCCGCCCGTGCTGGAAAACGCCTTGCTCAACGCGAAAAAAAGCTCGACGAGACTGCGGATGAGATCCAGAAACTGCATTCGGACGCCGACGATATCGCGAATGCGCTCAAATCGGTGGCATCCAGCGACGCGCTCAACACCGCCAATCAACAGGATGCGAAGCAAGTGGCCGAGAAGGTGAAGCAGCTGAAAGAGCAACTGAAGCCGATCGGCGAGCAGATGGACGCGTTCAGCACCGACTGCAAACTCATGATCAAATCGGCGGGCCCGGGAGCGGACACGAAAGAACTCGACGCGCTTCTGAAGCGAGTCGGCGACGCGTGGTCCGACGTCGTCGGAAAAGTGTCGGACAAGGAGATGACGGTCGACGCGGCGGTTCAGCAGCAGGGACGCGTCGACGACGCCTACCGCGCACTCCTCAATTGGCTCGAAGAGACGGAGGAGATGATGGAGAACCAGAAGAAGCCGTCGGCGGACGCGAAAGTCGCCAAAGCACAGCTCCACGCCTACGAGGTACTCATGAAGCACGTCGAGGACAAGAAAGCGAGCGTCGACGGATTTGCGGCGATGATCGAAAAGATGGTCGAGGCGGCTGGAAGCGACGAGGAGAAAAAGGCGTTGCGCAACAAGAATCAGCAGATCGAGCAGAGGTACAAGCAGCTTCTCGGAGCGGCGGTCGACAGGCAACGACGGCTCCTTGACGCAGTCGATTTGGCCGAACGTCTTCAGGAAGTGGTCATTCCGCTCGAGCACTGGCTTCTCGGCGCCGAGAAACGACTTCAGGCGCTGGCGAAAGTTCCGATCACGGTGGAGCGGGCGGAAGTGATGCTCGGCGAGCAGGAACAACTGCAGGATGAGCTCGAGCACAAGAGCGATGAGCTCAAGGATGTGTTGGAGATTGCGCCGCACCTATCGTCACTGGTCTCGGTCGAAGATGCGAATGTGATCAGCGGACAAGTGCAGCAGCTGGAGAATCGGGCGAGAGCCCTCGACGCTGGAATTGTGAACATTCGGCCGATGCTCGAAGATCTTCTCCAGCAGATTCAGGACTTTACGCTCGACGAGGAGGACATGAACAAGTTCGTGGCGGAGACGGAGGTGAAGCTTTTGGAGCTGGAGGAGCTGCCGATCGAGCCGGACGATCTCATCGAACAGACGAACATTCTCGCCGAGATCGCCGTTCAAATATCGGATCGCGACGAGATGATGGCCAACATTTTCGAGGTCGGAAAGCAGTTGGCGATCCAAGGAGAGCCCGAAGAGTCACTGCACGCGCAGAAGAAGCTTGACGATCTCAAGTTCCGCTACTCGGATCTGATGGCGTCGGCCGACGACAAAATCGCGCTGCTTGCCAAGGCGATCCCGTTGTCGGCGCGCTTCCACGAAGGATTTGATGATGTGATGGAGATGCTCGAGGCGCAGGATCGCGACCTGCAGACGATCGACGAGGAGGATCCGGAGACGCAGGCGGAGCTCGTCTACCTGCTCGAAGAGGATCTCGCCACGAAAATCCGTCCGAACGTCGACGATCTGACGGTGCTCTCCACGCAACTGCAAGCGCTGTGCTCGGCCGACAAAGCCGACGAGCTGCACCAGAATACGGTGGCGATGAATCGGCTCGCGAATTCGGTCGCCGATCGAGTCGCCCGACGAGCCGAGCGAATCGAGATGGCCAACAAACAATCGAGGGCGGTTCTCGACGATCTTCAATATCTCGTCGAATGGTTCACCGCCGCACGACAGCGAATTCTCGTCACGGCGCCGCCATCGCTCGACGTCGAGTGGCTCAAATCGCAGCTGAAACAGCAGAAGATCATGAACGAGGAGGTCAATGCGAACAAGATCCAATTCCGGAATGTGGCTGGAGAGGCGCGGAAAGTCGGACGGCAGTTGGGAATGGAAGGAACTGATGCGAACGACAAGATTGCCGATATTGTGGACGAGGGAAAGGAGGTGGTCGAGGAGGTGACGAGTCTTTGCGCCGACCGAACGGAGACCCTCGAGCGGGGACTCGCACTTATGGAGCAGCTGACCGCCCAATTCGATGATCTCAACCGATGGCTCGATCAAATGGACGCCGAACTGCAAGGATCGGCGACAGTGACGACGGCGACGCCAGCCTCGGAGCTCCGCGAAATGCACGATCACAACGAGGAACTCGCGCGGATGGTGGCCGCCTATCGGCCGATCATCGAGGGATTCAAGACGGACGTGGCGGCGCTCGAGGAGATTTTGGCAGAAGATCAGGCGCCACTTCTCGACGCCGTCGCCACCGACCTCGTCACCGGATATGAAGACGTGCGCGAGGCGGTGCGTGCTCGCGGCCAGGCCATCGGCAACATGATGGACACGACGATCGGATTTGGCGAACGACTCGAGACGCTCGTCGCGAATCTGCAAGGCGCTGCCGATCGGCTCAAAGAGAATGAGGGAATTTCGGCGGATCCGGCGGTGCTTGAAGGACGCCTCGCCGAGAATCGATCGATTGTCGAGAGTCTCCGCGACAAGCAGAACGCCTACGACGCACTGAAACAGACGGCGAACGAGCTGCTCGCGAGTGCTCCGGAAGGTGACGCCGCCGCCGGAGACGTTGAGAACAAGTTGAATCGGCTCGACCGTCTGTGGAGAGAAATCGAACGAGAGGCTGTGGATCGAGGAGGCGTGCTGGAGGATGTGCTCGAGAAGGCGAAACACTTTTGGAGCGAACTCGACACGTGTCAGAAGGCAGTCGACGATCTGCGCACACGATTGGAGCTCGTCGAGCCCGCCACCGGACACCCCGAACAATTGGCCGATCAGCAGCAGATGATGGCCCAGGTCGCTGATGAAATGGAACGAACGCGGCCGAGAATCGAGGCGCTCAGCCTCGCCGGACAACAATTGGCCGTTTATGTGCCCGAAGACGAGAAGGCTGTCATCGAGAGTCAGGTGGCCAATGTGCACGGAGGATTCTCGACGATCACCGCACTGTTTGCCGAGAAGAAGCGTGATTTGATTGCAGCGATGGAGGAGGCGATGGCGTTCCATGGAGACCTCCGAGCCCTGCTCGAATGGCTCGACACGGCGGAGCACCACTTGCAGAAGATGCCGGCGGTGGAGACGGCGAAGCAGAAGAACGATGTGGAGGCGCTGATCAACGAGCTGCACCGATTCAAGGACGAGGTGGACGAGCGTGGAGTCGGCAAGGAGCAGGTGGTCGCCACGGCGCTCCAACTCGCCGCCGACGCTCCGCCTCATTTGGCGGCGACGGTCAGACAACCAGTCGCAGAGCTGAATGGTCGATGGACCCGATTGTACGCGGCACTGGCGGAGCGAGAGCACAAACTCGAAAGCTCGCTGCTCCATATGGGCAAACTGGAGGACATGATCGAGCAACTGCTCGCGTGGATGGACAAGACGAAGGCGACGCTCGTGGAAATCGCGCCGCCTAAATCGGCGGTCAACTTGCGCGACATTGAAATCGCGCAGTGCAAACTGGCAGTGGTCAGCAACGACGTTCATTCGCATCAGCACTCGGTCGACACGGTGAACAGAGCGGCGGCGAAGTACGCGAGAGAATCGGGAGCACTGGACGCGGAAACGTCGGCGAAACTCGGAGAGATGAACTCGAAGTGGGAGGAGATTCAACGGATGCTTCGCGCCCTGGCGGCCAACATGGAAATTGCGAAGAAGGAGGCGGAGAACGTGGGCGGCGAGGTGGACAAGTGGCAGCGATGGCTCGAGGAGACGGAGGCGCAGCTGATGAGCACGAAGCCGACGGGCGGTCTGCCCGAGACTGCGGAGTTCCAGCTCGACGAGTTCCGAGCGCTCAAAGCGGACGTCGAAGCGAAAGCGGCACAGCTGGAAGCTCATCTGGCCGCCAGCGAGGCGTATTTGCGAGAGGAGAAGCCGAACGACACCAGCTCGTGGCTCGCGAAGACGCACGGAACGATGAAGAGCAAGTGGGGAAAGGTGAAGGAGCTGCTCGTGGACAGGGAGAAGAAGCTGCAGTTGGCGTACGAGCAGGCGGTCGCACTCGAGACGGCGTTGAACGAGATGGAGCACTGGATAGTCGGTAAGTGAGAACAAAATTCAATGATTTTAATTTTTTCCCCTAAAAAATGACATGAAATTGACTAAAATGGACTAACAACGAGCTTTATGGAAATTTTTTGTTTAATTTTAGTTCAAATCGCTCTTTTTTCTTTGAAAATGAACAGAAGTAACCATTTTACAAAAAACGGGGATTTCACTAAACTTTTTGCATTTGCAGACGCGGAACGCAAACTCACCGACCTTCCACCCATCTCCCGTCTTCCGGACGTCATCGACAAGCAACTCGCCGAGCACGAATCGTTTGTGGACGAGGTGGGCGGTCGCAAGACGGCGATGACTCAACATCAGGCCGCCGGAGTTCGAATGCAATATTATTGCGAGAAGAAGGACGCGATTCCCATCAAAAACCGTCTCGTTTCCCTAAAACATCGGGTCGAGCGCATATTCACGCGAACGAACGAACGGGCGAAGCAGTTGGCGGCGACGCGCGACGAAGTGGCCACGTGGCAAGACGGACTGCACGAGCTGGAGCAATTTGTGACGGACGTGCTCGAGCGAATCGCGCCGGAGCCCGGAACGACAAGCTCGCTGGAGAAGCTGAAGGCAAAGTTGGAGGAGGTGAAAGAGGCGCAGAAAGAGGTGACGGGCAAGCAGACGCTGTTCGACGTGACCCGAAAGAGAGGAATCGGACTGGCGGAACGGGCGACCCGCGCCGAGTACAAACCGATTGCGATGAGCAACGAGAAGATGAGCAAACGGTGGAACGAGATGATCAAGAAGCTGAGGGATCGACTGAGAGAAGCCGAGCAAGCGGTCCTGGAAGGCGGAGCATTCGAGGAGTCGATGAACGAGCTAGAAGGATGGGTGGACGAGGAGCTGGAGCGATATGCGCGCGAGGAGCAGGCGAAGGTGTTCGGAGACATCGAAGTGGTCCGATCGCTGATCGACGAGGAAGCACGACGGGCGGCCGAGCGGAAGACAAAAGAGAACGGAGTGAAGACGGTGGTGAAGAAGGCCGATGCCCTGCTGGCTTCGGGGGTGGATGAGAGTGATTCGATCACGCAGGCAAAGGAACGGCTCGTCGAGAAGTGGGAGAAGGTGGAAGAAGCCGCGCGGGTGAGAGGAGACAGCATCAAGGAGGCGGAGAAGGCCGCCGAGCAGTTTGACGCCAAAACTCACGCCCTTCTCGATTGGCTCGCAGTGGAAGAGCAGAAGCTGAAAGCGCCGGCGCCGAACGTGAAGGCCGCTCTCGGAGACGTGGAGCAGGTGAAGAAGGAGATGGCGGACGCGGAGAAGAAGTACGAGGAGTGTCTCGCGAAGGGCGCCGAGATTTTGGAGAAGTGCAAGCCGGAAGCGGAGCCGACACTTCGCAACTGGATGCGAGTCGTCGAGGCGCGGTGGAAAGAGGTGACGGAGAAGGTCGACGAGCGAGAATTCGCACTGCTCGAGGAGGAGCAGAAGGCCAAGGAGCGCGACGAGCAAATCGAGAAGCTCGCCAAATTTGCGGCGGAAAAGCGGGAAGAGCTGAATCGGATGATCGACAGACCGCCGGCGCAGGACCTCGACACGATGGAGACGAATCTTCGCGAGTTCGCCGAACTCGATTTCGAGCTTCGCGAGCAGCAGCCAGAAGTGGACGCCGCGTGCAAAGCGTCAAAGAAGGGAGGCGTCCGAAATGCGGCCGCCGAAATGCTGTCGACCGAATGGAAGAAGCTGTGGCTCGACGCGATGGGACTGCAGTCGTCGTTGGACACCCAAAAGGCCCTTCTGGAGGAGATGAAGCGGTTGGAAGGATGGCGATGGGAGGATTGGAAAGAGCGGTACGTCGAGTGGAACGACCACGCGAAGGCCAGAGTCACCGACCTCTTCCGACGCATCGACCGGTCGCAGAACGGAAATGTGCCCCGACAGGTGTTCATCGATGGAATCATTGGATCCAGTGAGTCGCCTTTTTTCTAATGGTTTTTCCCCTTGGGTTACGGTACTTCTACGGGCGCCCCGCTTCTCTTCCCCTCACTATTTTTTGCATTCTTCTATAGATTACGTTCCAAACTCGACGATCACCTATTCCAGTAAGTTTTTCCTGCTCAAAGAATGCGTTTTTTGATCCAAAAAGGAACGAATGTGTTGTGGAATGGATGGTTTTGTCTCTCTTCTTCTTCTTCTTCTTCTTCTCTCTCTCTCTCTCTCTCTCTCTCTCTCTCTCTCTCTCTCTCTATCTATCTTTTCCTACTTTTCCGATGGAATTTCTTCCAAAAACTAGCGGTCGATGAGTGGTTTGAGCACGTTTTCTATGGTGTTTTCCCTTTTTTCTTCTACCCTAAGTTTCCAAACTTGAGTTGTTCAATAAAAAAGACGATTTCTGACCCAACACCTGTTTAGAATTCCCAACGTCTCGATTGGAAATGGAAAAAGTGGCGGATCGATTCGACAAGGGCGACGGAATGATCAACTCGAAAGAATTCATCAACGCGTGCCGATTCGACAGTGCTAACGTGAGAAAAACTTTGAAAATGCAGTCGCGCTCTAATGAGAATGTATTTTCAGAGAAACGCGAAACCGCAGACGGACACGGAGAAGATCACGCACGAGATAGAACGGCAGAAGAAGACGTGCAGTTGCTGTCAACCGTACCAGATTGAGAAGATCTCCGACAATCACTACAGGGTACTGTAGAATGGGCAAAATACTGGAGAGAAATCTTCTTTTCAGTTTTTTTTAAACTTGAAATCGAATTATTTGTACCCTTACCGTATCCGTTTTGCAGTTTGGCGACACGCACATCAAACGAATGGTGCGAATCCTCCGATCGACGGTGATGGTGCGCGTGGGCGGTGGCTGGGAGTCGCTCGACGAATTCCTGCACAAGCACGATCCGTGCCGAGCAAAAGGACGACTCAACATCAACATGTTCCCCGAATCGAAGCCCACGCACGCGCTCGATTCGATGCGCGCCTTCACGAAGAACCGGCACGCGAAGGAGCCGGTCAGCGGAACGCCCGGGCCGATCATGAAGATCCGCGAGAAGACGGAACGGAGTGTGCCGATGAGCGGAGGACTCGGAGGCACCGCCGGCTATACGGTAACTTCACACGAACACCATCATCACGCGAGCCGCCCGTCCCGAATCCCGCGTGCACCGTCGGATTTGAGCGCCGGACACTTGAGCCGCGTCGGATCGGTCTCGAACTCGCGCAACTCGCTCATGGACTCGACGACGGCGCCTTCTAGGCCCGAATCCCGGGCTTCCTCGGACGCCGGAGACCGACAGACGCGAATCCCGTCGTTGAGAGGCAGGAAGGGTGTGAGGTGAGCATAGTTATGACGAAATTGAAAGGCTTTAGCGTGTTTGCTCGAAATTTGAACTGAGATGGCTTTTTTAGGCATGCCAACTCGATTTTGCCGAATTTTAGTTTCGACTTTTCCTTGAATTTCGGCTCAATCCCCCAATTTTTGCTTAACTTGCAAATGTTTCAGATACAACCCATCATCGAAATAATCAAATCAATAATCAACCGGAAGAAATCGCAGAATTTATCGAATTGGCCCGGATCTACAGTTGCGCGCCCCCATCCCGACATCTTGGGTTACTGTAGATTTGATTCATTTCTTGTTCCTTCTCGATTTTATCCGCCCCAAAATTATCCGAAAAAGACTTGTAACCGGTATGTTTTTTTCTCGACATTTTATCTTTTTGTCTACCATTCAAAAATGTTTTCCCCACTTTTACCCGTAGTAATTTATACTTGTACCCCAGTTTTGGTCCCCTCAAAAAGTGCACTTATTATCATCATTTTAAATGACTTGTTTCCCTTATTTAAAACGTTTTTGTATGTCAAATTTGAGCCCCCTCTGCCCCCCGAAATACTGTTTTTTTGATGTTGACCATCAGTTTTTTTGTGTCACCCCCCAAACATGCTCATTTTGTTGTTTTAATAGTTATGATGAATCCCTTAATGCTTTTATGGGTGAAATAGTATGTTTATTTTTCGAAACCATTCAAAGCAAAGGTAAGTGTCAAAATTTTAAATCTAAATCCGAAAAAAAGTTGGCCTACAATATGTACTAACAAAAATTGAATCAATGAAAAGCGGTAGCCATGCTACCGGTGCGCTGACTCGCTTCCACCGAACTTACGAACGTTTGTCGCGTCAGAAAATCGATTCTGAACTTTTAATTTTTGAATAGAAAGCTATAGAAAGTACAAAATAGAAAACGATAATATTAATATAATTACAGTACCTGAAAACACGCTGCACCTCTTCTTTGATAATTCTTCGATAAGTGGGATTGCTGACGATCATCACAAAACACTGGGACATTGAGTGCGAACTCACGAGGAACATGGTGTCGGTGGCCAATTCTGAAGACATTGACAATATTCCCAAGTATTTGTGCAGCGGCTCGTTCATCGCGCGAGAACCTTGTAAATCGACCGAATTGGTGAGCACGACGTACATGCAAACGTCCATCGGAACGATGATGAACACGGCCGGGATCACCAATTGCATCACCAGACTGATCAGGGCGGTCTTGTGCATTTGATACGTGGCCGGCGACATGTGATGCCGCAGCCGTTGCAGAATTATCATTGTGTGCACGCCCAGACCCAAACAGTACCTGACAGAAAATCAGTTTGGGCTTGGAAATTTCATTCTCTTCACTTTTTGTCGTAGCTATTCGGGTTTTCGAGATACGGTACACGGCGCGGCTTTCGCAACATGCGCAGCCAAATGGTATGCATTTTTGCGCGTCGGTGTAGCTCTGCGTACAGTGCATTTTATGTTACGCGCAAAGTTCATTTTTTTAGTTGTTGATGAATTTTCTCCAAATATTCATCTCTTTAAAGCGTTTTTTCTTTAAAGCGTTTCGGAAAAACCGATAGTTTGCCGGAAGACAGTGAAATTTCGTTGAAAAAATTTTTTTTTTGCTTCTACGAACTGGCACTCTGTGAATGTTTTCGAACCAAAAAAAAGTAGTCATGTAAGTAAACTATTTAAACAAAAAAATTAGAAAATCTAGTCGCGTTTTTCGAGAAATCGTGCATTTTCTGAATAAAACCTTACTTTCACTTACTTACGCGTTTCTTTTCATCGCATCGACTTCTCTTCGCGTATTACTTCACCTGGAATCTGTAAAAAGGTCTAATTGAGGTAGAAAGTAGAGAAAACGCTTTAAAGAGATGAATATTTGGAGAAAATTCATTAAAAACTATTAAAAAAAAGAACTTTGCGCGTAACATAAAATGCACTGTACGCAGAGCAACACCGGCGTGCCAAAATGCACAGACTGAGGATGAAACGTTTGGTGAACGTCGCAAAAGCCGCGCCGTACACGTGTAGGCTTAAAAAGACGGAAATCAACTAGTAAATTCCAAAAAATAGTTCAAACACACAGTTTCGCTCACCACGCGATCACAAAAACCCATGCAAACGCGCCGAGTGCGGTGGCCGTCAGCCAGGGATTCAGTTTCTGATCGTACACTTCGAAACCGTCGAATTTGATCCATTCGAGACATTGCGGAAAGTTCTGGAACGGGAAAAAAAGGGCGGATTTAAAAACGTTTCAAAAAAAAAGAAACGTACACTCTTCACAAACGCATACTTTTGCTGGTAGCTCAGATTGGAGTTGAAGTGGCAAAAGGCGGTGAGAAACGGAAAAATGTGGGTGAGAACGAGCAACGTTTTTTCAACGTACATACTGCTATTGTTGTTCTGCAAAAAGTTGGGGGCCGGTGGGTGGTTTTTGGGGTTCTGTGATACCTGATTGATTTGAACAGCTGCATTGTGTCGGTAGACAAAACAGCAAAGACCGGCGGCGAGCTCGAAGCAGAAAACAAAGATCCAGATGCTCATGGAGTGGTGCGAAGTGATGAATTGGCCGAAGAATTCGCCCGTGTTGTAGCCGCCGACCATCGGAAAAAAATAGTATCCGGGACAGATCCACGACATGTGGATTTCAGTCAAAAACGTCGCCATCTGTAATATTATGCGATTTTTTGAATGAAATCTTGACACCTTCAACTTCAAAGAGCTACAGTACCCCGGGAAATGGTTGTAGACAAAAATGATCAACTACAAAAATGAAGTTCATGTCTAGTACAATATTTTTGTAGTTGACCACTTTTTTGTACGACCACTCCCCGGGGTACTGTAGCGCTTGGAAGTTGGGACCCGATTCAAGCATCTTCATTTCAGCGCCAACTTCCAACAGCTACAGTACCCCAAGGAGTGGTCGTACAAAAAAGTTGTCAACTACAAAAGCATAGTCAAAGATGTCAAGATTTCATAAAAACAAATTCCAGAACCATAGGACACTTGAAACAGGCCGCTACAGTACTCGTTTAAAGTTTACTCGCTAAAAATGTGGAAAAGTTCAGTAAACCTGCATATAAACAAGACAATATTTATATCCGTGCATTCCGGGCGATTTTCGCATGACCAAATAGAGGCCGAGCATGTTGACGGGCACGGATACGGTGGCGATGACGTGTAGCGTCGTCGGATAGTAGTCTGGAATTTTGCCGGGACACGGCGCCGACGACATCGAGTTTCTGGATTGTGTGTGTGTGAATCACTCGAGAAAATACTCGGAAAAACCTGGAGGCAACTGGAATTAAATGCGACAGAGACAGCTGCAAATTCGCTCGTTGAGCCGGGGCCTGAATTTTCCACGTTTTTTATTTATTCGACTACGCATTTTTGATTCTGAATTCTGAGTGGACATGTGTTATTCTGAGCTCTTGCGATTGAAAAAAAGTTTTATTTATGAACGATGTAGCCACGTGGCGAACTTGGAGATCCTACTGTAATTACCAGACTTGCCAAGGCGCGAATTCAAATTTTTTCGTTTTTTTTTGCGGGGATCGAAAAAAAAAACTACGAAACTTCGACATTACTAGCCATTTTTTTGCCAACTTTCGGATTGCGGCGTGTATAAAACATTGACTTTTGCTTTGATGCCAATAAAAAGTTTTTATTTTTGAGAACTACATTTCTTTTTGATGCTCGAGATACTTGCAAAATTCGTTAGTTCTACGAAAAACTTCTTTTGTCAACCGAAAATTAGAAATATAACGGCTAAAGAGCGCGCGCGCCCGTAATATCGGAGTGTCGTAGTTTTACAACATTTTAATAAAAAGAACAACTTTTTGAAAAAACTCACAAGTGAGATCTGAGTGAATAAAAACAAAAACAAAAAAACGCAAAAACTTTAGTTCGAAATTTTTTTTTGTGATAACGAAAAAAAAAATTTCCGCGAAAATTTGAATTCCCGCCTTTTGAACCGGGCCGGCCGGGCCGGCACTTTACCGGAAATCTATTTTTTCGTTTTTTTTTGCGGGGATCAAAATTTACAAAAAAAAACACTACGACACTCCGACATTACGGTCGCGCGCGCTCTTTAGCCATTTTTTTCCAACTTTCCGATTGCGGCGTGTAAAACATTTATTTGTTCGCCGTTTTTTTTTGCTTTATACTGCATTTTTTTGCTTTGATGCCAATAAAAAGTTTTGATTAAAAACTATTTTTGACAACTACATTTCTTTTTTATGCTCGAGATACTTGCAAAATTCGTTAGTTCTACGAAAAACAAACATTTTATTTAATCAATAGTTCAACATTTGGATTCCCGCTTTTTGAACCGGGCCGGGCCGGAGTTTTGTGGCAACTCTGGTAATTACCAGGGTTACTGTAGTTGGGGAAGAGCAAATTGACAATAAAATAGAAGCGCTTGGAAGAACATCACAAGAAATGAGATTTGAGGTAAAAATGAACGATAGATTGAAACCGACAGTTGCAAACCGTCCCGGACTACTGTAGTCGTTACCAATACTTGCTGTATCCCCACGATTGCTGCCTCTGTTTCCGCCGCTCCTCCTCCCGCGTTTTCTGCCGCCTCTCCTTCTCGATTCGCCGTTTTTCGACGTCCTCCGCGTGCAGTTTCTTGGCGACCAAAAAGAGGCAGGCACGCGCGTCCTCGACCGAATCGTGCCCGCCCTCCTGGATTTCCATCCGCAAATGCACACTGGCCAGGTGTCGGAGCGAGCGTTTATATCGCGATGCGTCCATGTACATGATCGACGTGTCCACGATTTTTTGGTGGACGACGCGCAACGCTTTCAGGTCGTTCTCGAGAGAATGGCCGATGAGAATCGAGTCGTCGCACACGTGCTCGAACAGTTTTTCGCGGATCTGAAGAAGTTGCTCATTTGTGTGTGGAGATATCGAAAAGTGGTCAACTGATGAAATGTTCAGTAGGAAATTCTGTACATTTTGTCAGTTGACATCTTTTTGATAGCTTTTCAGACAATCGAGATATTTTGCTATAAATAAAGCACTTTCAAAAATCCGCTCCAGATACAGTATGCCTAGAAGCCGGGCGATCCAATTGGTCCGAAAATTTTGAGATGATAATACTCTTACAGTATGCAAAGTCTCTGTCGCCTGCTCGACCTGTTCCTCGGACAATCCCGAGTACTCTGTGTTCGCATCGTAGAGCTGTCCGTCGGGTTTCACCAACGAATCGATAATTTCCGTGCCGTACACGTCCAACAGTGAGATGCGAGCCAATGCGGGACCGCGAGAGGTGTGCACCATTTCACAGTCCAGTGCGAAGACCTGCAAATTCGGTTTTTCAAGTAGAATGGGAGATTTAAAGTTCGCACTTGAATACCGCTCATTCAAGGCCTTGTATCTCATTTGTGAGTAAAGATATCAAAAAGTTGTCAACTGATAAAATGTTCACGGTAAAATTGTGTACATTTTATTAGTTGACAACTTTTTGACAACTCCATCAGCAGCGGAGATACAACGTTTCGAATCGACAATATTAGAACAGATTAACGAAAAGTGGATACAAATTGCCAAGAAAACCTTGTTCCGTCGTGGATCATCCGATCCTCGGGACCGTGGTGTCGATTGAAAATCCAGCAGGTCCATTCGATCGATTCCGTTGAAAACATGAAATTTCGAGGCCAAACACGGCGACGGCATCTCTGTTTCGTAGCGATAGCAGCACGGGAAGTACGAGTCGCCGGCCTCATTGTCCCACACGGATTTGTGGTGCCAGAAGCACTGGTGGTCCCCGTGGATCAGGTGCGGCGGTGGCGGCACGAATCTCTGACGGCAGCGGATGCAGTAGCGCACCGCGGAACCCGATTCGACGAACAATTCCGAGTGTTTTTTGAACTTGTTCTCGTCGATGTTCACCAATTGGCGGCCGTTTGCGGGCGTGTGGTACGGGTAGCCGTTCTTTTGCATTTCCACGTCGGTGAGCAGAAATTTCGAGACCGCCTCGTAGCTTTCGTGGTGCGTTCGCCCGCGGAACGGACCCACGATCCAGTCTGCAAAAAAAAATAATTGTTTTTTGAAGTTCAAGGCCTTCTAATGACCCTTCCTTTAAATAAACTTCCCGGCAATTGGTGGTCCGTCCCGTTCGGCGGGTAGTTACCACTTTTTTGTTCGGTGCCACATTTACCGACAACCGACTACGAAACTGGTGGTGGCCTAACTTTCTCAAGTGGTGGCCTAACTTTCTCAAGTGGTGGCCTAACTTTCTCAAGTGGTGGCCTAACTTTCTCAAGTGGTGGCCTAACTTTCTCAAGTGGTGGCCTAACTTTCTCAAGTGGTGGCCTAACTTTCTCAAGTGGTGGCCTAACTTCTCCTACCTGGTTTTGGTCCCCATTCGGGTGGATTCGGCGGCGGTGTGAAGTGATTGTTGAGTGGCGGAAAGTCAGAATCCAAATTCATCGAAGATCCGGAAGGGACCGTCGGATCAAGGGGATCACGAATATTATCCGGTTCTAGAAATGGATTCATCGAACTCTGGGGGTCCATTTCTTCGTCGACGTCGAAACTGAAAAGATAGTGTGTGAATCCAATTTTAGAGCTCTGAGAGTAGAAAAGCAGTCAAGGGAAACATTTTGATACCCATTTTGATACACTTCTGATGATCAACTTTCGGGGACCACTGATCCGATAGGGACCGTCAGCTTGAGCAATATTTTTAAAGTCCCAATGTAATGGGGAAAGTTTTGACACCCATCATGCCCTACTTTGCAGACATTGAGATTTGTGCCCCGCGAGCCCACCCACAGCTCCGAGCTCGCGGAGCTCTAAAATTTCTTGCTCGAAACCTAGGCTTGATGTATGTCAAAACTTTTGTCTCAACCTGGAGAATTCAAAAATTGTGGACTTACATTGCCAAATTGTGTTCGCTCGCAGATCGTCCGTGTAACGAGTCAATGTCAGAGACTCCCGAATCGACACTCTCAGTCACTTGCAGCATGACCATGACTGAAAATTAACGAGTTTATTTCGAAAAAAGAGTCAAAGGTCAAGTAAAGCGCCAAAAATATGCAAAACAAGTCATGCTTCAATGAATGTCAGCTGATATTGTTGTGTTCCCAAGAATAGCGAAAAGAAGTGTATCTTGTGCGCTCATCAATCTTCAAGCTTTCGCATTTTGTGCTCCAACGGGTGTCTGATCCATTAGGGACCATTTTGGAGCCGACCGAGAGCCCAACAAATGTCTTGTCAAAAACAAATGCACAAAAAAAGTGTCGAAAACTTCCTTTTCAGACTAGAAAATTAACAAAGAATGGCCACTTTCTCTGTGCTCGGTGAGCCGTACGCCAAAAGAGCGTCATGAGGCTTGAAACCCCCTTTTCTTTTTTTTCCGCTCGGGCAGACAGAAAAGGCATGAGAGAAAGAGAGAGAGAGAGAGAGAGAGAGAGAGAGAGAGAGAGAGAGAAAGACACTCCGTTTTATTAAAACTGAAGGAGACGGCGCGCTGCTCACAAAAAGGACACGCCGCCGGAGATTTCCGCGACGGAGAGACGGAAAATGAGAAAAGACGTTATTTTTCCCATTCTATTTGATTTAGACGGCGTGTCACTCACGAGTGAAGAACGGAAATTGGATTGGTTACGCCGCCGCGCGAGCAGCAGTTTCGGACACATTTTTGGGCGGTCCTGAGGTCGTGGGGAACGTTTTGAAGCGAGACTGATTAATGGAATGCGTAAACCTAGAAAAACCCCGATTGCAAATTGAATAAAATCGCGTTATTCGAAGAGAATTCGCAATACATTCCTTCATCGATTGCAAAGAAGAATAAAATATCCCAAAGGGGAACAGCAGGTGTACAGTGGTGGACGGGGACAGCAGACTCCTCAAAAAGGTGTGATGACAGGATCATGAACAAGGTACCCGAGTAGAAGGTATCCACGTTTTCGCCCCACCTTAGTCGTGAGAGCAGCGCCGCCCATTTGGTAGCTGCAGTCGTGAGAGCAGCGCCGCCCATTTGGTAGCTGCTGTCGTGAGAGCAGCGCCGCCCATTTGGTAGCTGCTGTCGTGAGAGCAGCGCCGCCCATTTGGTAGCTGCTGTCGTGAGAGCAGCGCCGCCCATTTGGTAGCTGCTGTCGTGAGAGCAGCGCCCAATTGGTAGCTGCTGTCGTGAGAACAGCGCCCATTTGGTAGCTGCAGTCGTGAGAGCAGCGCCCATTTGGTAGCTGCTGTCATGAGAGCAGCGCCCAATTGGTAGCTGCTGTCGTGAATAGTTGAGAATAAGTACATAATGGGGTAGGCAACAAGTGATTTTGAGAAGAAGATGCATCATAGTATTTATCAAATGAAATCCGTGCTCGCAACAACGGAATTCGATTCGTGGGGAAGGACGAAAACGAACAAATCGATAAAAGTTTGTCGGGCTTTTTGAGGCGCGCACAGATTCGGACTTTCAGGCACCACGTCATCGTCCTTTTCGATATTGTCTCTCAACTGCGAGCCGGCTTTTGTGCACCAACACCGATGTTGAAAACACTTGGGAATCGAGTCGGTCTGCAAAAAATCGGCAACGTTTTGTAGTTATTGGTATTACATCTTTCCGCAGAAATTCTACGACTATTGTCGTCTTCCAGATTACTTTGCAAACCGATACCTCTCGTTGCTCAAGACACCAATCCGTGCAAATGTTCGCCGTTTTGCACTTGAGCCGTTTTCCGCGCTTCATCGGCGCCATAGCCTCCGAAACGGGCACGATGAGGAGGAGGCAGAAAATCGATAAAATGACAAAAGAGACTCGCATCGCTGCTCTTCTTCTGTGCTCGGAAAGTGTTGTGTGTAAAGTGTAAAGGCCGTCGTCGCCATCTGTCGCCCTCTTTTTATATTGAGGTGTGTAATTGTCTGGTCGGGGGAGAAAGTTCGAGAAAACAATGTTATGATAAGAAGCATTGAATTGAGCACAAATCAGAAAATGCTCGGTGATAACTTGTTCCTGGCAACGTTTTCGTCGTCTCTAGACGATTCTTTCATTGATTTTTGGATTCTTTGAGCCCCATATTGTCCCGTTTTGAGCTCAAAACGGGTTCTGAGCACACAGAGCTTTTGGGGGCTCAAAACGTTGCTCTCGACGTCAAGAATCCAATTCCGATGCAAAAAATGTCTGAAACCGTCATTTAATAGAACTTTTTATTGAAAATATATTATATGTTCGATGTTTTTTTGGTCAATTTTTCTAGAGTGATTCAAGTGTGTCACAGAAAAAAGGGGGGTGGAACAGGGAAGTCTGGATTGAGCACAGAACTTCCCTCCTTGAGATCATCAGGGTTTGCGCTTGGAAACAAGAGGGGGCAGGGGTTTGGGGTTACTGTAGCTACAGTAACCGTCGTGGGAGAGGGGGGGAACAGAAGTTAGCGTTGACAAACTTCTTCCATGAGATCATTGGAAAGCCGGCAAAATAAAGGTTGGGGGGGTTGGAACAGAAATCTTTTGAAACAAAACAAAAAGGTTTCCTCCATGAGATCAATGAGGAAAGCCTAATAATAATAATAATAAATATTACACAAAGAGATCATCACAATATTCGACAAAAAAATGGGATCCATCACTCACTATTCTAGAACATGCGTACTTGGATGGGAAAATGTGAAAGAAGAGATGATAATAACAGCCAAAACGTGGAAACGGGGGAGCGGAATCAACAAGAAAGTGTGTAACTAGTGAGAGAGAGAGAGAGAGAGAAAAGGACAATATCTACAGGATCACGTTCACGCGCGCGTTGAGAGCAACATTTTGAGCCCCATATTGTCCTACTTTCCGAGCAAAAACGTTTTGGAGCATGGAGCTCAGGGCTCCGCGAGCCCTCAACTCGAAATTTTCGATTCTAGGCATTATGGGTGTCAAAACTTTCGTCTCAACGTCAACATTTCGATTCTCGCCACGAAATGTGTCGCCTTGTCTCAATTGAACGGCGCGCGCACAAAAATGTTCGCTTGGTGATGGAGTCTTTGAAGATTCGACTGAAGAAGTGGTGGATGATGGTGATGGTGATGAAGAGGAATGTTGGCTGTAATTACAATCAATTCGCGCTCATTTTCCCGCAAAATGTTCTAGAAAAGTGGAAAATGGGGGGAGGGGGTACGATAAATAACAGTGACACACAAAAAAGGGTACAAACTCGAGAAAAATGAGACAAATGATGATACAACGTGTTACACTTTTTTGCTTCGCATTGCGTGACTAGACTAACTACTACAGTAGGGGATCATTGGGTTTAGGGGCGCGTCGTGGGCGAGGACTAGAAAGTCGAGAAAAGAAGAAACTGAACACACACACACACACACACACACACAATGTGATGAGTTGGTGGCAAGAAAAATGTTTTTTTGGGGGCCGGGGGGACAAAAAAAGAGGAGAGCGATAGGAAAACGACATGCGGATACTGTGAAAAAACATTGGAGTTAGGATAGATAGGTTAGGATAGCGTCAATAGGGACGATCGTTGCGCGGCCGTTTCAGCTGCACTTTGAGACGTTTCATGCCGATTTGAAAGCCGTTCATTGCGGCGATGGCCGCCTGCGACGAGTGAATGTTGTCGTAGGAGACGAAGCCTGAAAGTGGAGGTGTGAACACATGCCCGATGACTAGAAACTGCTAGAGAGGGGGGCGTTGGGAGAAGGGCTAGACTCAAAATGTTGAGAAATTCGAGTTCTTCGCGTTAAAACAAACGTTTTGGCGCAAAATTCGCGAAAAAAAAGCGCCTCTTCGCCGAACGCCATCAAAACTACGAATATTGATTGATTAGACGACCAGAAGACACCAACGTATTCTCAACTTCGTGCTAGTGATCGAAAAACGAAAAAAGATGAAGAGAGAGAGAGAGAGAGAGACTGGACAGGAAAATATTGAAAAATAATCATTGAAGCATATATATATGTATATGGATCAGATCAATCACAAGCACGAAATAGGGTTGATGACGTGGTGCCGGAAAGTCAAATCACATGGAGAAAAGCTGATATTTAGAGACATGTACAATAGCGGTTGACAAAAAAAAACGTTTTGGTTTTCACTGCAACTTTGAACGAGTATTGTAGAGCCGAAAAGTGTGTTGGACACTTTTTTTACAGCCAATCCTAAAAGTACTGTAGTTCTTGGAAGTTGGAACCAGTTTCAGTGGGATTAATTCTTATCCTAACTTCGCTGAGCTACAGTGAACTTCGGAGTGGTTGTACAAAAAAGTTGTCAACTAGAAAAATAAAGTTCACATTTCGTACTATCACTTTGTAGTTGACAACTTTTTTGTGCAACCACTCCAAAGCTTACTGTAGTCAATGGAAGTTAGAACACATTTGCAACGTGTGCATTTCATTGCCAACTTCCAAGAGCTACAGTACTCCAGGGAGTGGTCGTATCAAAAAGTGTTCAACTACAAAAATACAGTACTAGACGTGAACTATTCACAAAAAAAATTTGAGAGCTATAACACATTCCTCGACTCCACAATACGCCGTCAAAGTGGATCGTCGCGTTTTGTTGACCGCTATTGTAGGTGTACCGTAAAACTAGCTAATCCTGTATGAATCTATGAAAAAAAAAATTGGGGATTGAAGAACACGAACCGAAGCACTTGCTCTGATTAGTGGCGCGGTCGACAAACACTTTGGCGGACACGACGTGGCCGAACGGCGCGAACATTTGAATGAGCTCCGCGTCGCCAAACTCTTGCGGCAGATGATAGATGAAAAGATTGCAGCCGTCGGGACCAAGCACTAAAAGACAGAAAAAGACAATATACCACAATATTGAAAAAAAAGTAAAAACACTTTTTTTTTCCCGTCACTTTTTACCTTTTCAACACTACCACAAGCTGGAGAGAAGAAATATTAATATAGATATATATATATATATATATAATATATATCAAGAAATCAAAATGACCGCACAACAAACGATCATCAAAAAAACTTTCGGAAAAAGGGACAAGAGGGGGCGGGGCGGGGGGTCTGAAATTTAGGAAAAAAAAAAAAAACCAACCTTCTTTCGGTGTGACCATTGGCAAAGCGGCGGCCGCTTGTTGTTGAATTTGTGCAAGTTGGAGGGCTGCCGCGGCATCTGAAAAATAAGTAGGAATTCAAAAAAAAAAAAACACTCACTGTGCTGTGACTCCATGCCTAGCAAATTGTTGTAGTTGGCGGCAGCCGCCGCCGCCGCCAATCCGTAGTTTGCATCTTGTTGTGACGTGGCCGGGTTGACGGTCTGATTCACCTGATGCACCTGAACTTGAGTATGGGCGGCCGCCGCTGCCGCTGCCTGTTGCTGAGCCTGTTGGGCGGCGAGCGCCTGTGCCGCAAGAGCGTAATGCGGGTTTTGGGCCGCCTGAGCCTGCAGCGAGAGTTGAGCCGCCAAAGGTTGGCTCTGCGAGAGCACCGGTGCAGCGGCGGCGGCCGCTTGCAGTTGCAGCATTTGGAGTTGGTCCTGCAAGAGTTTCGAGTTCGATTTTGGGCACCAGAAACGGGGCGTGGCGCCATCACCATTTTGGCGCGAAATTCGAAATTTAACCCCCTATTTTTCATGTTTTTCGTCAAAAATTAACCAAATTTTGTACGATTTAATTGCATTACTTTGTTAAACTAATCATCGCCGCGCACTTTTTGAGCTTAAAACGAGCAGGTTTCGTTCAGAGAATGAATCAATTCAATCGATTTTCAAGTTTTGTGCTGAAAATGCGCAAATTTCAGTCATTCGCCGACACTTTTTGCCGTTTGAACGCTTAAAATACTTGTATTAACGTGCTTAATCACTTCCGACACTCACTTCGTCTCAAAACTATCCACATCGGCCGGTATGAAAATTCCAAAATTGGCCGCGGAGAGCGTATTGCGAATGATGCCAAAAAACGTCTCAAACGCGGCGTTTTCACGAAAATTTCAATGTTTTCTCTCAGAAATGTCTTCTTTCGCACGACCTCCAGAGCTTACAATGAGCGCAAGTGCGCCCCGCCCAATAGAGCGATAAATTGGCGCGAAATTCAAATTTTAACAGCAAAATTTGTGTTTTTTGCCAGATTAGCCACGAAAAATCGATAATTTCTCATTTTTCTTTCGATAGACCGATTGTATAGGCTATTACGAATTTTTTAAGCGCAAGAGCGTTAAATTTAATCAAGTCGCACATCACATTTATTCGTTTGAAGGTTTTTGACTAAAACTGCTTGAATTTCAGTTGCTTTTCGGTAGTCTTCGCGGTTCGAGCGCTCAAAATGCTTGTATTTACGTGATTTATCATTCTCAAAACCAATTCTGTCGGAAAACGGTCAAGAAAGTGCAAAATGAGAAGGCGAAAAAGCGAAATGCGCCGAAAATGCGCCAAAACGTAATTAATTCTGAGAAATAGTGTGTTTTCATGTCGAACAATCATATTTCATCGCCGTTGACCACAAAAATCAGAGAAAACGTGCTCAATTCATGAAAACGCCCATGTTGTCAGCTCTGGAGACCGTGTTTTGTCGATATCGAACACAAAAATGGCGGAAAAGTGTGCTTGAATTGCGACAATTTTCAGAAAACGCGTCTACACTTTTGGTGTCAGCTCTATTCATCTCCGCCACAAGAAATACATAGTACAAAAAAAAACGAACCGAAGCGGCCTGATTCTGCTGCTGCTGCTGAAGTAGAAGCGGATAGGCGGCGGCGCTGGCCGCAGAAGTCTGGGCGGCGGCGGCGGTGAACGCCTGCTGCTGGAGAATCTGCTGGTAGGCGTTGTACTGAAGTCCGACCTGGTTGATCAACATCGGATTGAGCATGCCCATCTGCGCGGCCATCTGTTGCATCCGCCGATTTTGGCGCTCGCGCTCCGTGTCCGCGTACTTGACGACGAGCGAAGAACTCGCGCCGGGCATCGTTTGGCTTCCGTGCAACGCCGAAATGGCCATGTGCGCGTCGAGACCGTGTTTGTACTTTACGAACGCGCATCCTTTCGAAGCACCGTCCGCGCCGCGCAGCACTGTCACCTGCAAGCGGAAAATGTCGAAGGAGGAACTTGAGGTGGCATTGATCCTCTTTTAGAAGTCGAATTTTGGATAGACTAGTGCGATTTTTAAAGGTGGTGTCCAACGTGACATACAACATATTTTTAAAATAAACTTCAAAGTGGACCATTTACTTTCCCAAAGTCACGAATTACGAAAAAAATTCCACGATTTTTAAGATTTTTTTCAAAAAAGGTACCGAGAGAAGTACACGGCGAAATGGAAGAGCTGGCCTAGATTTTTCTAGTCCCCGGATGGAATTCCCCTTTTTTCCGATTTTCTCCGTTTTCGTGTAATTTTCTTAAATTTTCAATCGTTTTTTCACTGAGCACACTTATTTGTAATATTTAAAAAAAATTTATGACTTTTTCTGTGCCGTGACGCCAAAAAAATCGATAATCAGAAACTTTTTTTTGTTGTTTTTCCGGGTTTTTCGCTCAATCTTCGGTTTGCGAGCTGAAAAATAAATAGAAAGAGATCGCTCAATCATTTCCTGAGTCTAAATTAAAGTTTGCCAGTTACAGAAAGCTATATTTTTCAAAGTAATGCGAAAAATCCAAAACTTTCTATTTTCAGTTTTACAAGAAGTTTTAGAATTTCTGAATTTTGCAGAATTTTGAAAGTTTCTGATTATCGATTTTTGTTTGGCGTCACGGCACAGAAAAAATCATAAATTTTTTTAAAAATTGCAAATAAGTGTGCTCAGTGAAAAAACGATTGAAAATTTAAGAAGATTACACGAAAACGGAAAAAAATCGGAAGAAAGGGGAATTCCATCCGGGGGACTAGAAAAATCTAGGCCAGCTCTTCCATTTCGCCGTGTACTTCTCTCGGTACCAAAAATCCGGGGAATTTTTTTCGTAATTCGGGACTTCGGGAAAGTGAATGCCCCACTTCGAAGTTAATTTTAAAAATATGTTGTATGTCACGTTGGACACCACCTTTAAATTCTCCAGGTCAAGACAAGAGTCTAGACATACATCAAGCCCATTTTTGTGAAGTTCGACTTCAGAAGAAGGCGGAAATGATCAAAAATCAAAGCTGGAGTATTCTGAAGTCAATTTGCAGAAAATCCCCTCAAATAGTGTGCGTAGCAGAGTTGAGCGGAAGAACTCAACGCAAGAATTTTTATATTTTTTAGAAAATTTTTTCATGAAATGTGATCAACTGACGAAATGTAGAGCAAAGTGAACTCTGCTCATCGAAAAATAATTGTAAATTTAGCGATTCATACAAAAAAGTTATTCGAGTTTTTGCGTGAAAATGTCCTTCCGTCTTCGGCTAGTCCTTAACTTTTTTGTATGAATCGCTAAATTTACAATTATTTTTCTATGAGCCGGGTTCACTTTGCTATACATTTCGTCAGTTG